GAAGGGGCTTCTCATGATTTTCCCGCCTTTTTTTTTTTTTTTTTTTTTTTTTTTTCGTTTTGCTTGCGCCTGCGACACAGCGACCATACAAGCGGGCGGAGCCACGACACCACAACCGCAGCCACATCTTGCCCGCCAATAGTGCTTATCGCAAACCGTGGACAGCAAAAGAGTCAACTTGGAGGCAGCAAGGGAAGAAGAAAAAGGAAAAAGAAGAAGAAGAAGAAGAAGAAAAAAAGACTTTACCGGTCCTCTTCTGTCAGGTCCATGCTCAGGTGCTGTTCTGTTCAGAGAAAAGAATGAAGTAATAGTCCAAAGCTGGCATGTAGGAGTTGTTCAGTTCTTCAAAATTATTCTCTCAACTCGTCCGAGATTGAGTTGAGAGAATAAATTTCGTCGAGCGCGGGCACCAACGCTACTGTCCATTACTGTGCGCTTCACTTGTTCCTTGTTCAGTCACTCTTCTATTTTACTCTGTTAGTTTTCGCAAATCACATCTAATTCGCTCAGAAATGGTGTGCAAAGCTTGTAAGTTCCGTGAACGAGTCGCGCTCGCTGCAGTCAAACCGGCTGATCGCGGGCCGCTGCTCCCTGCTTCTCACTAGAATTGGGGGTAGAACAAGGAGGATGAGGATGAGGAGAAGAAGGAGGATGAGGAGTGCCAGTGCTCACTGACGCTGTGGACGTCTGTTACAGGCGAGGCCAAGCAACGAGCGCTGCCAACGACCGATCCATTCAAGAACAAGACATCCAAGTGTAAGTCTATACAGATCAAGAGAGTAGGTCGTGCTGAAGCGGTGTGGCGGTCGGGAAACTACCACTCGCCACCGTCCGTCGCTGTTCACCCGACTGTAGCGAAGACTTGACGAGCTGTTCGGCGTTACGATTGCACAACGCTCGAATGTCGTATAACTCAACCGAGTGATGATAACGCAGTGTTGAGATTGTGAGGGAGCTGGAGAGCTTTGAGCACTGTTTTCACGAACAAAACTGCTGTCGTTCTTCCTTCTTGTTAACAGTGACGGGCCAGTCAAGCAAGGTCCGGGTAGCCGACAACAAGCTCTTGTCGAAAGCAAAGTATGAGCTACTTGCTGCATGTGCACTCGTGTTTTTTTTTTTTTTTTTTTTTTTTTTTTTTTTTTTTGGAGCAGAGAACGCACCAAAACAGTTACTCACTTTTCGTCAACCAAAAACCTTCTCTCGCTTCAGATACACACCGTATCAAAAGTTTGAAAAGTGCTTGACATGTAAGCAAACGTGCCACATGCCGCACCACAAGTACTGCCAGACTTGCGCGTACAAGCGAGGCATTTGCTCCATGTGCGGAGTTGCAATTGCAGACACGTCAAGTTACAAGCAGTCTGTTGTATAGAACAGTGATGATTTCGGTTTGTTTTTGTTGCTTTCCTTGTGTCGTTGTGACGAATGGCAGTGATGCTCTTCATTGTGGGAATCTACAGCTCCGTGACATCAACACAAAAGAGTCTTATTTGCTTTCATACAAGCCAAGACGCAATCACTCCTCCAACACAAGTCAGGCCAATCAAAACACCCAAGATGCTCATGATGACAGCTGGCAGCTTGGTTCGAGAGAGGTAGGCGCCAGGCAGTATCCGAATGAAGAAGAGCGATGGCAGCACAAACATGAGCGAAACCGATGAGGTCGCGCCGGCAAGTCCAAACACGTTCTTAATGTCTGGGACAAAGAGAGCTAGCACGAGGGTAAAGCCAACCAGGAAGATGGTGACGGCGTAGTGCAGGAACCAGCTGAACGGCCTGTTTGGGAAGAAGAACAGCATGATTGTTTTGCGAGCCGGGAAGTACACGCCGGGTGCAGTCAGGATGACAGCCAAGACGAAGGCCGTGCGCACGACACAAACCAACACGTCTTCGCGCTGGAAGGAGTACGATTTGAGCAGGTCGCTATCCACCGATTGGTAGAAGGTCAGATAGCCAAAGAGTCCAGCAATAAAGTACAGGGAAAAGCAAGTCATAACGGCAACGTTGGACACTGCCTGCATGCGAGCCTGCGTTGGCTTTTTGAGCTCGGCATAGATGGGCAGCAGCGCAGTGTGGCAGACAAACGAGAAGGCCATGGTGGGCAACACAAAGAAAAAGTTGGTCGAAAAGGCAAACAGTTCGGCCGTGCACGAGTCGGACGTGGTTGAGTTGTCCGTGGCATAGTACAGTGCAGGGAGCGCAGTCGTCGGCGGTGGTGGCGGTGCGGTGATGGTGGCGAACGCCGACGAGTCGGTCTCGTTGCCAGGCAGCGGGCAGGAAATGTGGTCGCGTTTGGCAACAACGACAAACGTCATCATGGCCATGAAGATGACAGAAATGGTGCTCGTGTATGCCAGCAGACCAATCCGACGTAGCGAGGTGAGCGGGAAGACGACTGTCGCGGCAATAATGCACAAGAGAAAGTTGCGATCGACGTAGAAGGGCGTTTTCGAGTTGTCATTCTCGGACGTAAAGACACGCATGAGGTCGGGAAGAAGATCTCCCGCAATGACGAGGTAGCTTGTCGTGGCGCCAATGTTCTGAATCAGAATGGACGTTGACACGGCAATCTTGCCAACGCGCCCGAACGCCTTGACGCCAAGCCCCTCGTACGTGTTGATTCCGGTGTGTGTGCACAGTGTGAGCAGCATATGGATGGCATACAATCCGCACCCGGCCATGAACACCATCAGAATCGTAAACGGAACAATGCCCGAGTAGCGCATCGCGTAGGCGAGTCCGAGAATGCCCGATCCCATAATCGCAGTCATCTGAGTGAGACAAGTCGATAGGTCAAAAAAACCAACACAATCAGTTAACAACAAGCAATTTCAGTACAAGCTCAAGGTGTCATGGTGAGCTTTTTTTCTGTTGAGTGATGAGGGACGTAAGCGACAATCCATTCAAATAGATTGTTGCATTGGAACCTTTGGGACGTATTCTGCATCCAAAGCCAAAGCCAAGGGGTCGCCTTTTTTCGTTCCCAGCCTCAAGTCAAGGACAGACCCTTCACTTCAATGGTCTCGAATGTCTCAAAAGGTTGCAAGGCTCACCATGTTGAAGGAGGCGCCTGCAAAGGACGAGCTTCGGACGTGCTCCTCTTGCTGCGAGGAGCCCAGCAGCGGTGCATCTGCGCCGTCATTGTCGTTGATTGGGTGTGCCTTGGTGTCCTCGTAGCCACTGCCACCACTGCGACCGTGCGCCGCCGCCGCCGCCGTGTCGTGGTAGTAGTCGGGCGGACTGTGGCTGCGCGCCGAACCGTCGTAGCCCATGCGCCCGACGCCGTAGTCCCGCGATCCGTACCCGCCATACCCAGCGCCGGTGCTCTCGGTGGAGGAGTATGCCATGGACGTGCCGCTGGCTGAATTGCGCAGTGGCTGGTACGACGATGCCATTTGCCGCAAGGCTTTGTTACAAAGTTACAAAGAGTGTGTGAAGTTCGGGGAGCCTGGAACTGAGATGGACTGAGATTGAGATTTGTATGGTAAGACAGTACTGGATATTGGACAAAAGCAAGACCAACATGCATAATTCATCGCACTTGGATACACAAGAAGGACTACTGTAGCACGCTCTACGCAGGACTTTGGATGCAGCGGCTTTGGACCTGTGGTCACGCTCAGCCCAGAAACAGTAGAACATTCATCGCGCAGCTGATGCTTGCCGAACAGTTTGCTAAGAAGCTTGCGAATTTTAAAAGTGCTCTTTGGTTTGCTGAGCATTGGCTGGACGAGAGGGACGAGGTTGGTGTTTTTGACAGGTTTGCCAGTCTGCTCTGTCTGCTGAGCTTCTGCGAGGCTTTGCTTGCGTTATCTGCAAATGGGAGTCCAATTGTCAAGCTGTTTCATGATACATGCACTTTTTGCCCCTTTTCGCTTAGCCAACAGGCAAGGCAAATTCAACTGGGAATTCTGAGCTTTTGTCCTTTCCATCCATCCAGTCGTCCATCCAGTGCATGCTTTAACGCTCCACCTCAAATTGAATGAATCAAAGTCCAAACAATTTTGCTCACTTCTTTAATTTACCTCTCCCCCCTCTCTCCCCGTTTCTCAGACGAATCCAAACAATGCTCGGTCGAATTGCCTCTCGCGCTGCCGCCAGTGCCACGACTACAGCGACTGCGATCGCGTCCACCACTGCGACCCGCGCATTCTCTGCTCGCGGTGCTGCTGTTGCTGTTGCTGCTGCTAAATCAGGTGAGCGTCCCCATCAGCCCCTCTCTTCACCCATCCATAGCATTTTGGTTGTTGTGGAGCTGGGCGAGCGATCCATCCCACTCATTTCCCCCGACGGCGAATGGGCCTGCGTTGTTCACTCTGGTCGCTCAGTCGCTTGCTTGAGATCAGACGCTCGTCAAGGAATCGAGTCAGAGTGAGTGAAGAGTGTGAGAGTACGAGAGTACGTGCGAGAATATGGAGTTTGACGCGCCGAACACGCTCTTTGCTCGCAAATGCAGGGGAACCGCTGTAATGTGGCCTCAGTGGCATGGATTGTCAAAACACGGCAGGGAGAGCCAGGCAGGGAGAGCCAGGCGCACTCTGAGGGAGGAGTTGGCTCGTGTGAATGAGGTTTGCATTGGAGCTTCGATGCAATAGAGAAGCATTCACAAAACGGAAGCACCATGCAATGATCCATTTTCAACGATTCCACAACATGTACAAAACAACACAACCATAGCTCTGATCATGATTCAAGCATCCATCGCTGCTGCCGGAACTGATCGAGAGCAGCAACCAAAGCATACTCACACACACTCGCCACTCTCTCACATTTCACTCACTCATCCACACATGGTGCGAGCATTGCAAGTGGTCAGTTGCGGTCGTTCTTGATCTTGTGGCTGATGGCTGATGGCTGATGGCTGATGGCTGCCTCTGTGGCTCATGCGCTCCTCGTTCACTCCGGATCACTTCCATCCATCACTCTTCCATCCCATCTCCTTCCTTCAATCCCATCTCCTTCGATCTCATCTTCCCTTTCGTTTCCAATGCCTTTGAATGTGTTGCGGCTTTTGTGTTGACCTCGTTCTTCTCTTTTTTTTTTTGCGGCAATCCGCTTCAACTTGAATCACTTTCCACATCATCCGCATCATCCAACGAAGCACCCCATCATCATCATTGACACGCAAGTTTCTCCCCCCCCCCTCCTCCCGCTCCTCAACCAATAACAACACAAGGACTGACCTCGTTGTCGATTTACCGTTTTGTCAGCTGTGTTGTCCATCTTTGATTCCCAGTTCCGACAACCCAGCACTTTTTCAGTCTCTCTCTTCTCTCTCTTCTCTCTCTTCTCAATCTCTCGCTTCATCATCAATCTCCCACAATGCAACGCCCTCTCTCTCTCACTCTCTCTCTCACATTATTGACCTTGTGTTTTGATCCCTCACCTGACATTTGTCACTTCCCTTTTTGTTGGGTTTGTTTTGTCACGCTGCTTTTTTTGATAATCACACCACACAACCTCACTCTTCCTTATTTACTATTTCCTATTACTACTATTTGTATACTTTTACTACTACCCTGAAACACAATGGTCGAAATACTCGCTGCCGCTGATGCTGCAGGAACCTCCGCAAAGCACACCGTCTTGGCCGATCGCATTGCAGGCATCCCCACCGACGCCGAGGCCGCCGCAAACTTCCCGGCAAAGTTCCTGGGCTTTGAGCTGGCCAAGGACAAGCCGCTCTTCACTCCGGGACCGCTGGGCGTCTCGCTCACCACAAAGCAGGCCGCCCTGCGCGATCTGGGCTCGCGCGATCGCCTCTTCATGGACACGGTCAAGGACATTCGTACCCAGCTCGTCCAGCTCGCTGGCGTCTCCACCAAGGACTTTACGTCCGTCCTCATCCAGGGCTCGGGCTCGTTCGCAGTGGAGGCCGTCATCCAGACCGCCCTCCCACGCAAGGGCGGCAAGTTCCTCGTGCTCGCAAACGGCGCGTATGGCTACCGCATGAACAAGATGGCAAACTACCTCGACATCCCAGTCATCATGTTCGAGTTCCCCGAAACCGAAAAGGCCCCGCTCGCAGAGGTCGAAAAGCTGCTCAAGGCCAACCCCGACGTCACCACCGTTGCCATCGTCCACAGCGAAACCAGCTCGGGCATCATCAACCCCATCTCCGAGGTTGGCGCGCTCGTGCGCAAGCACCTCCCCAACGCCACCTACTTTGTCGACGCGATGAGCAGCTTTGGTGGCATCCCGATCAACATGGAGGAGGCCAACATTGACTTCCTCGTCAGCTCGGCCAACAAGTGCATCGAAGGCACCCCCGGCTTCTCGTATGCGATCGCCCGCCGATCGGCCCTCGACAAGTGCAAGGGCAACTCGCGCTCGCTCTCGCTCGACTTGCAAGACCAGAACGCCTACATGGAGCAGACCGGCCAGTTCCGCTTCACCCCGGCCACACACTCCATCCTCTCCTTCCGCCAAGCCCTCCGCGAGCTCGAAATCGAGGGCGGCGTCGAGGCCCGTGCTGCCCGCTACCAGCTCAACCGCGCCATTCTCCGCAAGGGCATGGCCGAGCTCGGCTTCCGCGAGCTCCTCGACAACTCGCACGAAGGCTACATTATCACCTCCTTCCACTTCCCCAAGCATGCCAAGTTTGACTTTGAAAAGTTCTACAGCACGCTCAGCGCCAAGGGCTACGTCATCTACCCAGGCAAGGTCACCAAGGCCGATTGCTTCCGTGTCGGCTCCATCGGTCGTCTCTTCCCCAACCACATGACCGAGCTGTTGGAAACCATGAAGGTCGTGTTGGCCGAGATGGGCATTCCGACCCCCATCCAAGAGTAGAAAAAACCCCCCAAGCGTTAGCGTTGTTGGTTTGAGTTCGACTGTTCGTTGTGCTTTGGGTTTTTTCGATTTTGGATTTTCAACACATTGTATTCAACACACTGCATGTCGATCTGCACTTGACCACACCCGCGTTCTCTTGACGGGCCAAACTCCACAACCAGACCGTCGCAATCACAGCCAAACAAAGCCATCACACCAAGGTCGCTCAAACAACTCTCACAAGATAAATGAAAACAAACAAGAAAACAAAAATCAATGCAGAAACACATATCCACCGCCAGATGGAGATTCTGCGAGAATGGATCGAGTAAAGGCAAACATGGTCAGATTTCACTCACTAACAAACGTAAACGAGACATACAATTACAAAAAAAAAGGGTTCCTAATCACTTACGAATCCAGAGCTTCGTGTGGCTGCGAGCACCAGCAGCGGCGTGAGAAGATGTAAAGTACACCCTGCCAAACCTCGAAGAGGCAGGGCCCACCGGCTTGCTAGAAAACAGAGACGAGTGCTGCGGCTGTTGCACAACCGTGACGGCGACGCCACACGGTGTGAGTCCCAGCTCGACAAAGACCTTCCAGATTGAGGACAGCGGGGCGTCGGCAGGCACGTCGGCAAGGTACACACACCAGTCTGTGCATACGCCTTCCGTCGTCATCGGTGGCAGCTGAGGTGCCGGAGCTTCGTTTTGCTCCACCCGTCCGGCCTGCAGGTGGATTGTGCTCGTGACTGCAGGCAGTACCTGAGGCGCAGGCATTGTATACGACAGCGGTACTGGCGCCACCTGTGAGTAGCCCTCAAGAGGCAACGGATGCATCGGCTGCATTGGCTGTTTTGGCTGCGACTGATGTTGCTTTGGCTGCTCCTGTTGGAACTTTTGCATGGAGAATGCGTTTGGGGCGCGAAAGGCCGACATCAACTCTTCAAACCCGTGGTCGTTCCAGCTTGCAGCAGGCTGGTGTGCGTGCAGTCCTTCCGGAACGTGGGGAAGGCCGCCGTGCATCGACTGGGGGAACGCAACTGGCGAAACGCGATCAGGCTTGCTCGACCAGTTGTTCGTGGAGAACATGTCGAGGCCGCGTTCGGCACCCTCCTGACTGCCGTGTTTGCCAACTCGCCACGACATAGCGGTGGGCGACGGCGGTTGCGGCAAAGCCTGCATCGTAGCCTTGCTATTGAACGGCAGCATCCCTTCTTGAACATGCAAGTGGCCGTGGTGCGGGGCAGACGATGGCGTCGGGAACAAGCCCGCGGCCTTGCTGTTGGGGCCCTGGAACCCGCGAGGCACAGCTGACGGTGTGGTCTCAAACTCCACGGGCTGCTGATGGCTGGGCATCGGTGTGCTGTAGATCGACTGAGTGAGGGCAGAGGGCCGAGGCAGCAAAGGTGCCTGCGCCGCCGGGGGAGAACGGGACCGCGGTTGGAATGTGGTTAGCGCGGCCATTCGCGGAATGCTGGCACCACTCGGGACAGCCGGAGGAGATGCGATCTCGGGGACTCTCGACGGAGTCGATTCGTAGGATGTGGCGGGACGGACAAACGGCGGAGAGCAGCCACGCATCGATTGCATTGTTGACTCGGAGGATGGTGCTGTTGCGTTTGCGGCCGATTCTCGCTTGCGAGCCGCGTAGGCTTTGACAGACTCGTTGTGCTCGAGAGCTTTGACCAAGTGCTCATGCTCGCTCGGATAGATTTCCACGTACCTGGTGATTTTTGTGCAATGGAATGAGTGGGTGTCCAAGCAACGTCAAACAACTATTGTTTGGAAGAGGAAATCAACCTACCGGCCTTTGAGAAACCGGTGATGCATTTGCAAGGCCGCAGCAATATCGTTTGCGCTCACGAGCTCGGCGTACGCAACGCCAGAGTGATGCATCTCGGAGCGGCGCTGCACCACAACCACTTGTTTGACCGGGATGTCTGTTGAAAATCGAGCAGCAGAAGCGACAAATAACAAACGAAACGCAATTTGGTTAGCAGACGCTCACTTTGCTTATTGTTGTGCTTCAAACGACTGAAAGAAATGATAAAAATACACTCAAAGTCATACGACTTCAGCTGTCAAACGCCTTCAAACTCCAAAAAAGGAAGGATTTTGCTTTTGGTTTTGTGTTTTTTGTCGGCATCCCGCCCCCCCTCGGCCACATCCCGTCCCATGTTATGGATTGATGTGTATCTGTATTTGGAGTGTGTTCACTCGTCGCTTTGTATAAGTGAAGTCTCTTGTTTCCCTATCATCACTCTCATCATCAACCCATTACTCGTATCTTCGTGGAAGGATCTCTGATCATAACATCCCATGGCACATGGACTGCAGCCCTGTGCATGCTCATCATCACCACCATCATCTCACATACCTGAGAAAAACTCAACAATGTCTGTCTCCGTGACGGCGTAGGCCAGACCGACTAGGCGAATGACTCGTTGGTCTAGCTCGGTTTCGTGGTGGTCCTGGGACTCGCTGGAGCTAGACGGGTCCGACGCGCCGTTCGATGCATCTTGATCGTCCTCAGACTCGGAATCCATGGACTGCTCATCCTCGGAGCGCGCCTGGGGGAACAGCGGCGGAACAGATGGCACGCGGCGTGCTTCCAAATCGAGCGATAGCGTTCTTCTTTGAGGGAAGCAACCCGGATGCGTACGCGATCCACGCCGTTCGCCTGCCAGAGACGAGTAGCCAAGCGTGGTGGTTGCTTTACTATTTTGAAGCGGGGAGTGGAAAGCCGACCCTGGATCCGCCCGAAAAGCTGGGTCGCGCCAGCTTGTTTCGTCGTGCCGCGTCGGCGCGCTTCCAGCACTGCGAATCTGCGCGTCGGCGTTCCGGAAAGTGGACTCGCGGTGGGGCTTGCCATACATCTGACGATGGGGCGAGGTCCGGTGGCGGTAGGTGGAGGTGGAGGGACGCTGGGTGAACATTTAATTTTTGGCGGGAACGAAACGAAGTGTGCGCGGCAAAAGCACGGCAAAAATGAAGACTGCCAAAAATCGCAAGACAGCCAGAATTCAAAATGATCAAAATAAAATGAACGAAAGGGAAACAAAGCCGAGACAATGTCGTTCGAGCGTGGCGCGCTGAAGGCGGTCGACCAGCTTCACTCACCCAAAAAATGCATGATTCATTGATCTGGAAGGTAAGCGCGGAAGGGGAAATGGAGCAAAGAGAGAGAACAAAAAGATGCTGTTTTTTGTTTCACAACTCAAACAAAAAGGCACAGTCTGGCAAGCACAGTCTAACTACAGGTCGCGGTACTTGTCCGTCGCCTCAAGCAGCAGAGCGGTAATACCGGGCTCCTTGGCCGAGTGTCCAGCGTCGGGCACAATGTGGAAATCAGCCTCTGGAAAGCGCTGATCAGTCACAAAAACAAAAGAAAAACAAAAAAAAAAAAAAAAAAGAAATGAGCAAAAAAGTAAAAAATCAAAAAAAAAAAAAATAAAACGCCTGTTGCGATCAGCAAAACAAACACTCGTTGCCCCCCCCCCATCTCCGTTTGTACCTTGTGCAACTCCCAGGCAGTGTTCATCGGGCACACAATGTCGTATCGACCTTGCACGATAGTCGTTGGGATGTGCCTGATCTTGTCGACGTTGTCCAGCAGGTACGTGTCCGAGTTGAAGAACCCACCATTCACAAAGTAATGGCTGAGAGCACATTGCAGGAAAGTTGCATGACATCACGTTAGCCACAACCATCGAGTCTAGTCTAGTCTACTCGTTAATCTCGTTCACAACAGCTAGTTTGGTTTCAGTTACCACTCGATGCGGGCAAACTTGACCGCCCAGTCGTCGTTCTCGGCCTTGGCGAGCATTTCCTGGTCAATAAACAGCTTGCTGGTAGCACACTCCCAGGTCGCCCAGACCTTGGCAGCCTTCATCTGCACGTTCTTGTCGGGATGGGTGAGACGACGGTAGTACGCAGAGATGAGATCGCCACGCTCGCCCTGTGCACAGTTCAGCAAACAACACGGAAACAAACAAACAAACAAACAAGCACACAAACCGAGTTGATGCAAGCGAGTGAGTTTGATCGCGTCATGCTGCTCGCAAAAAAGAAAAAGAAAAAAAAAAAGAAAGCAAAAAGCAAAACGCTGACGCAGTACCTCTGGGATTTCGTTCTTGTACTTTTCAAAGTGATCAGCGTAGATCATGTCAGCGCCCTCCTGATAGAAGAAGACGAGCTCTTTGCGCCTCAGGGTGAAGATGCCGCGGAGCACGAGCGCCTTGACGCGGTCGGGGTGCGTTTCAGCGTAGGCCAGAGCAAGCGTCGAGCCCCAGGAGCCGCCAAACACGACCCACTTGTCAATGCCGAGGTGCGTGCGCAGCTTCTCAATGTCCTGCACGAGATCCCACGTTGTGTTCTGCTCGAGGCACGCAGGCGGAGTGCTCTTGCCCGCGCCGCGCTGGTCAAACAGCACAATCCGGTACACGGCGGGGTCAAAGTAGCAGCGGTCGCCAGCAGACGTGCCGCCGCCAGGGCCGCCGTGCAGGTACACGACGGGCTTGCCGGTGGGGTTGCCCGACTGCTCATAGTACCTGTTTGGGTTTGTGTGGGAGTGAGCGTGTGACAAGCTGTTCTCCAATTCAAACCTGAGCACACAGCGAGCGCAACAATGCAAAAAGCCAACGTACAGCTTGTGCGTTTCAGAGACCTCCAGAGTGCCCTCGTTGTAGCAGTGGATGGGCGGGTAGAAGGCGCGGCGGGGCGAACCGGGGATGGCAGCGCTGCTCATGTTTGTATCGAATCGAATAAACGATGAGGAAGAGATTGACTGATGCGCTCACGTTCTGAGCATTCTCAGAAATGTGCGTTTTGTGATAATGTCAACAATACCTTCATCGGATGAACGGTTGACACTGGAAATCGTGGATCAGCTAAGATTGTTGCACGAAAGCGGCAGCCACCTTCTGCGTTCTGGCTCGCAAGCGGCGTGCAACCCTGCTAGACAAGGTCTTGTTTCGGTGCTAGATTTTCTAGCATGGAGGTCTGGAGAGACAGGTGACTCTGCCCCCATACAAAACAGGAGGGAAGGGATTCAGTCTACAAACGTTGATCCTGAGAAATGGAAGCGACCTCCATGCAAACCGAGCCAACCGCCGCGCCCTCGTCCGTCGTCGCCCAGCCAACGCAAGCGCCAGCTTCGTCGTCATCCAGCAAGCAGCCATTCCACGCTGGAGAGACGCGCATCAAAGAGCAGTACGTCGTGGTCGATCTGCTTCACCCTCGTGCGCAATGATGGTCCACGAGGAACGTCGACCAAGTGTTCCCCCCCCCCATCTCATCTCCCTTCCCCACAGACGCACATTCACTTGACACTACGACGACTTGCCCTTTTGACAGGTACCGCCGTCTGCCCAAGCCGCCAGCACCCGCGGCAGCAGCGCCAGTTGTTGCGCCCGTCGAACCATCCGCCGCAGTGTTCGTTGCCGCCGAGTCCGCCGCTGCTGCAGGCGTCTCCACGACATCTGTGCCGAGCGTGCCAGCCACCGAAGTCGATGACACGGACGCGTTCGACATGGACGACGCGGCCGAAGGAAAGCGACACCGTGAGGACAGCTCCAACACTGGCGACAACGGCGACCGGAAAAAGTCGCGCGCAGACGGTCAAGGCAACCACCACGGTCGCCAGAAGCGCAACCAGGAAGCAGCACGCGAAGCACGCAAAGTAAGGTGGCCGCGCGTTGGGCGCGTTGGTGCAGGCAAAGCGCAGATTTTTCCACACACAAGGATTAATCTTCAATGACTCACGATTCGTGCTGGCTTCTTCGACCCAGAACAATCTGTGCAAGCAGTTCGCCATCAAGGGCACCTGCTCGTTTGGCGACAAGTGCAGGTTTGTGCACGAGCGCGAGGCCAACTCGGACGCAGTCATCAGCGACCAGTGCCCCTTCTTTTTGCAGTACGGGCAGTGCAAGTTCGGCCTGGCATGCCGCTTCCGCTCGGGGCACACGGATGCCGACAACAAGCCGATTGTGGATGAGGCCAAGTGGCTCGCGACGCAGGAGGCTCGAGAAAAGTCCGTTCTCAACGTGCCGCAGCGTGAGGTCTTGTTTGCCACCTCGCGTCGCAAGTACCAGTTTCCCCGCACCAAGGAGATGCTGCGCAACCTTTCCCGCCAAGGCCAACAGCAGTCTCAGTCTGCTACCACGGCCGATGCCAGCGCGTCCGCCCCTGCGACGGAAGCTGCTGCTGCTGCTGCGATATCCAGCGAGGCTGCCCCTGCCGCTGGTGCATCCGCAGTAGACGACGGCGCTGCTGATACGCACACCGATATGGACATTGATCCCCAGCCCGGTTGCGATGACTCTGAGGCATGCCCAGCCGTCGAAACCTCCGCCTCGCTTGCCGCCTCCATCATCGCTCCAGAGGACGCTGCTGCAGGCGCCGCTGATTCCGAGTCTGCAGCCACCGCCGCCCGCATGGGGGAGGCGCTGCTTTCACACAGCACGGGCGAGCGCGTCCATCTTCGTGAGAAGAAACTGATTGACTTTAGAAACAAACTTTACCTCGCACCCCTGACAACGGTTGGCAACCTCCCATACCGACGACTGTGCAAGGAGTTTGGCGTTGATATCACCTGCAGCGAGATGGCGATGGCTGTGAAACTGATCCAGGTATGTCTTAATTGTTTGTTTTGATGAAGGATTGTGTTTGTGTTTTGTTGGGGGGGGGTTTTTTGTTTGATTCTCAAAAAGTGGTGGTGCTCAACGACTCTGTTCGGCTGTCTCAGGGTGAGGCGCAAGAATGGGCATTGACAAAGAGGCACGCAAGCGAGGATATCTTCGGTGTTCAGGTTGGTAGCGGTCTTCTTGCGGTTGATTCTCGAAGACCCTTCGTCTCACACTTTACCCCGGCGTCCTTGTGTGTCTTTGTCTGTTGCAATGTGCTATGCATTGATAGCTTTGCGGCGGCAATGTCGAAGTCATGGGCAACGCAGCCGAGCTGTTGAGCAACCATTGCGAGTTGGATTTCATTGATGTCAATTGCGGCTGCCCTATTGATCTTGTTGTCGAGCGTGTAAGTGACATGTTTTGAAATGTGGCTGCGCGTGGGCATCATCCGATTGACCATTGTGATTGCGTTGCGATTTTCCTTCGTTTTCAGGGTCAAGGCTCTGCATTGCTGTCGCGCCCCTCCCGTCTCGAAACCATCGCGAAAGGCATGCTTCAGGTATCGTATCATGTGACTGCTACTGCCGCGGAATCGAGTTTGATGAAACTGACACTAAAAAATCGTGCAACATTTCAGGTATCGACCGTCCCGATCACAATTAAGCTGCGCACCGGATTTTCGGAGGATCGCCTGGTTGCGCATACCCTTATTCCGCGTTTGGCCAACCTTGGTGTTTCGCTGGTCACTGTAAGCTTTCGCATTCGTTGAGCGTGATGGGACTTCAAAGCAACAATGGTTTGACGCAATGTAATTTTTCTCTCCTCGCTTTCTAGTTGCACGGTCGCACGCGCGCACAACGCTACTCGCGATTAGCCGATTGGCAGTACATCAACCAGTGCGCCGAGGCTGCACCAACGCTGCCCGTTTACGGTACTTGCCGTTTCCGCAATTCTTCTGTAATTTTCTTGCCCGTTCTTGTCCCCGCTGACTCCAACTCACTCCTTTCAGGCAACGGAGATATCATGTCCTATCAAGAAGCAATGGAGCACCGTGAGAAGACCAAAGTCAGCGGTCTGATGCTTGCTCGGTGCGTTTCCTGCTTTCCCTGCTTTTGTTTGCGTTGTCGCTGCTTGTTGTGGAGTAACTTTCATCTCATTGGCTTTCGCCCCGCTTGCCCTGCAACAGAGGTGCTCTGATCAAGCCGTGGGTTTTCACCGAGATTAAAGAATCACGCACTTGGGACATTTCGTCAGGCGAGCGATTCGACATGCTCAAAAAGTTTGTCAACTACGGCCTGGTAAGCATTGCTTGCCCAGCTTGCGTACTTTTATGAGCAAGTTTTTTTTTTTTTTTTGCGCGAGTGACTCACTGCGCCACGCTGTGTACTTTGACAGGAGCATTGGGGCTCTGACACTCGCGGTGTGGAAACCACTCGTCGCTTCTTGCTCGAGTGGCAATCGTTCTTGTGCCGGTAGGTGCTTGTTGAGTCGGATTGGGTTTTTAGGAGGCGTTGATTGACTGAATTCCTGCTTGCTCTCCAGCTACGTCCCTGCTGAGCTTGTTGAGGTTCTGCCACAACGCATTCACGAACGGCCTCAGCCATTCTATGGTCGTAACGACCTTGAGACGCTGATGGCGAGCCGAAACGCGGCCGACTGGCTCAAACTGAGGTGTGTATTTGGTTTGTATGAAGACATCGCTGAGGTTTTGTGTGGATTCTGACCACGTTTTGTTGGCCGTTTTTGTCCTCTGCAGCGAGATGCTACTTGGCCCTGTCCCCGGCGATTTCAACTTCCAGCCCAAGCACATTGCCAACTCTTATTCTGGTTGAGGTTGCTTTGAGTTGACGATCAGCCCCAAAAATACACATTCTCAGTTGGATTCCATTGTCATCCAGAAATTTTATTCAGAAACGGACAGATTTTTACTGTTCGGCAGCTCTATTTTTGCCCTTGCTGTGGGTAAGAGTTTGACAGCAATGCAGGAGAAGAGGTTGACGGTGCTGCAGCCGCTGCAGCAGCTGCCGCTCGCTCAGGCTTTGGTATCCGGCTCAAGGCATCGCGAACGGCCTGCTTGTCACTGCTAAATGTTTCCCAGGTTTCATACAAGGCCAGGATAGGAGTGGCGATTTCTATCAGCTCCTCAGGATTGACGTTTAGCTCGGCAAACCATTCGACCATTTTCTAGAGAAGACGAAGACACCCACACAGAAGAAGCGAGCAAGCGCAAATTGCCAGACCATGAGACATGAGCAAGCGCATGACTGGCTTCTTAAAGCGAGTGATGGACGAGAAGCAACAACGCGTTTGGAAAGCAATTCAACTCGACTAACCGGAGATAGTTGCTTCTCTTTCATGATACAGGCCAGGTAGAGCGCAGCCAACGCAATCATGTATGGCGGATATTGTAGACACAAGTCGGTCCGATACGAGTCGTTGAGAATAAACCACGCCTACGACAAGGAAGGTTGAAGCAATGAGTCAACTGTTTACGAAGAGAGAGAAACAGCCAGTCTCTTTGATTCGATTGGCAGCCCATACAGTTGTAAGCAGTTGCTTGTCGTCCAAGCCATGGCAGTAGTGCGTCAGGGGGCGGTACGGGTGAAAGATGATCAAGTAGCAGCCCAGCTCCTCCAAAATGTAAAACTCGCTTTCGACGACATCATTCACCGTGAAATTGAAGGCATTTTGAAAGATCAAGTCCATCTCGTTATTGCACACGTATTGAGCCTGGGTTATGATGGAATAGACCGGAATGATGCCCGTTTCTTCAACCTGCAGAAGAAGTGCAGAGATTGAGCATTGATAGTGTCCCCTCCCAAAGCAAGCCAACAATCAAATAGCGCATTCTTCGAGCTTGCCAATGGGGGGTTTCTTCCGATACTTACTTTGGCGGACAAGTACAGGCAAGTCGTGATGGCGAGGAGAGGATCGCAAGCCGCCCAATCCACGCGAAAGTAAAACCGGCGAAAGTAAACGAGTGCTGTCGCGACGACCTGAGCAATCCCAGCATTTTTCAAAATGTCGATCAGAATGGCAACGAATAATGTAAGATGCAGCTGGTCGTGCTCAACGGCACTGCACATCACCAAGCGCTGCAGAGAGAGAACCGTTGCTGCACCCCTCCCCGTTTACCAGCTGCCTGAGTCGCATGCGTCTGCCCATGGCCTGAGCAAAGTTGCCGTAGAGGATCTTGAGCAGGTTGATGTCTGTCTCTGAGCCATGGACGAGGTCTTTGCGCCGGGAGAGCTCGAGCTGCTGCGCGTCAACCAGCCACTTGTTGCTGTGTATGTCCATACAACAACGAAGCAAGCATCGTCGAGATCAGCAAGACAAATCGGTGGCTTTGCGATCAATCATTATCAGATGCTTGTATGCTTACCAATGCGACGACAGCCAAAAGTTGGCCGACATGACAACCTAAGGGGCAGAGAGAGACTGAGATTGAGGCTGAGACTGAGGCTGAGACTGAGACTGAGACTGAGCTCCAAATCAAATGCGCATTCTAACTCTGAATACAGGCCAATGCGACTTACTTTTATTTTTTTCGACCCTTGGAAGGCTGAGCTTTGGGAACTTGACAGAGTAGAAGTGGATGAGAAAACCGAAACCTCAGTCTTTTTTTTTTTTGTTTTTGTTTGTTTCTTTTCCCCTCCATTCTGTATCGACCGCACCCGCAAGTTCAGATGAGTGTGCCGAGTTATCTATCCTTGCTGCATATTCCAGGTATGTAGAAATGCATCGTAGGAAACATATTCCAGGTATGTAGAATGCCCCGAAACGTGCTGTTAGGCGCGTTGACCATCCCCCCCCCCCAGGTCTGCAGGAGCTGCGCAGAGCTGCCCAAGATCAAGACCTGCAGTTCGTTTTGCACGCTGCAGCCCAAGGTCAAGAGCTGCAGTTCGTTCCGCGCGCTGCAGTTGCCGACTTTAGTTCCCGAATCTATGAGCAAAGCGCGCCGCACGGCATCTACCTGACCGGACCCGGCGGCGTTGGAAAGTCGTCCATTCTTTTCATGATTGCCGCGTCCGTCCTGGCGCGTGAGTGGGAGCGGCAGACGAGAGCCCGCCGTCGACGACCGCGCGACCACGGCGACGACGGCGACGGCGACGACAATGCAGCCGGCACGTCTGCGACTTCCTCGATCGTGCAGCAGCGCTCCCCGCAGCCACGTCTCGACGTTGCAGCGGATGCGGCCGCTGTTGGCGACGCTTCAAGTCAGGGACCATTTGCTGCAGCTGCTGAGACTGCCGCCATTTCTGTCTATGCTGCGCACACCATCTCGGCATCCGTCCTAGAAGTTACGCCACCCGTGCTTGTCTTGTACATTGTCAATACGGCTGAATTGGTCGAAATGTCGCCGGAAGATGCTGCAACGGAGCTGCGCAGGAAAGTTGAAGCGCTCAATGCATCGCTGCTGGAAGCGTTTCCCAAGATTGCTCAGATTCTCAAAAACCTCGACAAGTCGGCGCCTGAGAGATGGCGAGAGTTTTGCACAGCATGCCGTGAAGCTCGTCGCGAATTGCGCATCCTCGACCAGTGGAACGCCCTCGTCGCGCGGGTGAACGACCCCGCGTTTCCCACGGACCACCCGATGCGCAGCTTCTCTACCATCGCATCCAGCATTGGCTTCTCGTTCTTGGTCACCGCGGTCAGCTCGTCCTTTTCGGCAGTGACCACCGCACATGGAGTCTTTTGCGACGACGAAGTGCGTGTCTTTCGCAGCGACGAAGCCCGCATCTGTCAGCACCATGTCGTCCCACTCACACTGAACGAGCTGAAAGTGCTGCGCGACATCTGGCGTTCGAGGCCGTCACCCGCTGAGGTCGATGATGCCACGATCGCAGAGTTGCACGAGATGACGGGCGGCATTCCACGTCTGTGCGAGTACTTTGCGGAGGCGCGGGCCACAAACCCAGCTGCGGATATCAATGGCACCTGGCAACAAAGCTGTCTTCACTTCTACCGTGAACGTCTTTTCAGCCTTCAGCGACAAACATACCGGGATCCCGAATGTGCGAGCTGGTTTCGCGGCGACTTGGCCTCCGTGCTCCTGCGTAACGCGAAAGAACCGATTCCATTCAATACCCACAGCTCCTACGAGTGGCTCAATGCGGGGCTGATGATGCGTGACGCCACGGGACACCTAGTTCCAATCAACCGTTTTATCAACGTTGCGGCCGAACTTTTCTTCCAGCAGGAAAAGCAATCGTTCTTGCGCATGCTCTACTTGGATAGAGCCACATCCTGGCGTGCTTTGGAGCTGTTTGTTCAAACAAACCTCCGTTCCGGTGGATTCGTGCTCACTGGCACAACGCTCCGAGGCGAGGTCCGACCTCCACTCGAGAGCATTTCTAGGATGAACGTCGTGACTGTCGATGAGTCGTTCGCTCGCGATCCTGCGGCCTTCCTTCAAGCTCGTCGCGCAGGAGAATCGTACCCACCCGGCACACTTTTTATTCCCGGCTGGTCGCAATACACTGTGGTGGATGCAGTCTTGTATCTTCAGCTGAGGAATCACCAGTCGCCCTGTCTGATCTTTGTGCAAGTCAGCCAGCTATTGTACGGCAACCACAGGTACAAGCTCCCAGATTTGGTTCATGAAAAGTTTGGGTGGACCTTGACAGTTCTCGACTCATACAAGGTTCTGTGCGGTCTTACCAACGATGCAGCCTTTGCACCGGCTGCACCAAGCTATGACATCGCTCAGGGCACGCTTCCACCCCGCATCTACTACGTTTATGTGACCGCCGATGACTCCTTGATGCGACCCGGTCAAGTCAACAGCAATCACGACGTCTTGCTCATGCGGCCGTCAAATCTCGCACAGCTGGACTCTGAGACGTGGGCGGAAATGACCCGCGGCTAATCTCGAGTGTTTCGATGTCATCCACGACACAATTCATGACTGTGTCTTTTGTCTCCTGTTTGCAGCTGTGTTGTTCATCTTCAAATTCAAAGTTTTGACCCCACCAACCATCAACCATTTTATCTGAGCCCTCTAAAAGCAAAACACAGCTAGTTTTTCCACACGAGAGAAAGCATCCAGCAGTCTTCATTTGTCATTGAGTGCGAGGTGCTTGAGTGAGTTTCATCCAACTCCATGGATATTGCCCAGAGCGTGGCGTCGGACCTTCTAGAGTATTGTTGAGATGGAACGCAAGCGAGCGCGAGCTCAAGCGGTGCATGGCGCCAACTCTGCTCAGAATCCATCTCAGCTTGCTGAGGTTTTTTTTTTTTTTTTTTTTGTTTGCAAAGGCAGCACTCGCAGCTTCGTTGCGATGTGCGTGTGTTTTTGCAGGTTTTTGTTTGACAAATCACTATCAACATCTCCAATCTCAGACAGAATCAACAGATCTCAGCGCAGTCTCAGTTCCCATCGCTTGCAATAGCTTTGGGAGCTTTTACACATTCGTTGTTTTTCCCGCGCTTTTTTTTTTCTTTCCTTGTTGTTGCTTTCGGGGTTGGTTTCTGGTCTTTGAAGAAGCTCCTGCCCCTTCTCCTTCCTTCTGTCTCTATTGCAGCAAAACTGACCAGTTGTTCGACAGACAAGCGCCCGACTGGCTTCTGGACCAACGTAACGTCAGCCGCTGGTCATCATCATCATCATAACGCGTTTTGGGGTTGCGTGTCTCAACCAAGCAACTTTTGGCTGTTTTGGTCCCTGAGCACCACCACGCCAAGATTCAGTCACACATTGCGAGACTCTGAGCCATGGAGAATACGGGACGACCACGCACGCCGGCTGGGATGAGCAGCAGTGCTTGGCACGATGCAGAGCAACTCCGGCTGCTCGGTCTAAAGCAGTCAAAGCTGCCGTCCGCCTGGGCTGCGGCTGCTGCTCGATCAAGCCATCCAGCTGCAAGTCATTCTGCTGCAAGTCATTCTGCTGCAGCGCCTCCAGCAAGACCGTTGGGAGCTGACGCGACAGTCACATCGACCACGAGCAGGCAAATCCAGCCATCCAGCGAGAATCGTGGCGCAGTGCCTGGCCGCCCGCCAACACCGCCGCATTCCGAAGGGCCATTCCAAGTTATAAGCGAGAATAGCAACGGAAGCAACAGCAACAGTCTGGACGGCACAGACTTTTGGGCGATGAAGCAACCCTCCAAGACAAGTCGTCCGCCATCCAGTTCGAGCGTTCAACACCCGTTGTCCCATTGGGGAATCGGCAGCAAGAAGGCCGGTGCCAGTCTGTGGGGTGCACCCGCTCGTTCCTCTGCTTCCTCATCCTCTTCTTCTCTCTTTCCAGCGAGCAAGACCAGCGACTCGGCACTGAAAAAACCGTCGACCACTCGACCTGCTGCTGCAATTGCTACAACCGCCGCCTCGACATTGGCTGCATCCTCTCGACCAGGCTCTGGATTTCACAGTCTTGCACCAAGCTCAGTCGAGGTCTACCCGCCTGCACGTTCTTCTCCAACGCGCACATCCGCCCCGCGTCCAAGCGCAGCCAACGTTGCTGCCTCGCTCGCTGAAGCAGACGAGTTTGAGTTGCTCGAAGATGATGCAGTGGATTTGTTTGGTGACGAAGACCTCATCTTGCAGGCTGAGGCAAACGCCGTGGCTGGCGGTGGCGGTTTCGTTTCTTCCTCAGCGCCTCCGCCACCCGCCGCTGGCACCATTGTTCCAGCTGCAGCCGCCAGCCGGCATCCAGTGTTTGCAGCCATGATGATGGGCGCCACCTCTGCAGCTTCAACGACGACCACACGTCCTTCGTTGTTTTCGAGCGCGGCGCCGTCCTCCACAGCAGGTACACAGCGCCCTCTCCACATGTTGTTGACGCGCACCCGTCTTGCCTTTTTGTTTCTGATGATTGTTGCCCCTTTCTTTGTTACTCTTGACACTCTCACAGCAGCTGCAAAGCCCATGCTCCCGTTCCCGCCTCCCGCTCCCACCAAAGCGCCGTCTAAAGCCACAAAGGGCGCCAAATCCGGCAAGTCTGGCACACGACCCATGTCAGCATCCCCACAGCCGCACACAGAGGATCTCGACGAATCCGAGCTGCCAGAGTTTGCCGCAGAGTATGGCCAAGATTATATTTATCCCACCAACTATCAGCTACGCACGTACCAGTTTGATATCGTTCGCTCGGCCTTGTTTCAAAACACACTTGTTTGCCTGCCCACCGGTCTGGGCAAAACCTTCATTGCCGCCGTGGTCATGTACAACTTTTACCGGTGGTTTCCGACTGGCAAAGTCGTTTTCATGGCTCCTACCAAGCCTCTTGTCCAGCAGCAGCTCGAAGCCTGCTTTTCCATCATGGGCGTGCCCCAGAACGAGACAGTCATGATGACGGGCAGCAAAGCGAAAGAGTATCGGCGCGAGACGTGGCGCTGCAAGCGCATTCTGTTTGTGACGCCGCAAATCCTGCAGCACGATCTCGCTGACGGCGTTTGCAATGCCCGCGACTTTGTATGCGTCGTCGTTGACGAGGCTCACAAGGCTCTTGGTGACTATGCGTATTGCCAAGTCATCCGGCACATGGTTCGCACCAACCGTCGCTTTCGCGTTCTTGCTTTGAGCGCCACTCCCGGTTCCAATATGGCTTCTGTGCAGTCTGTGAGTGTGCCGTTTTTAAATGGATGCAGGGGTTTGGTTTTTTGAACGCGCTGACTTTGTTCCTTTTTTGCTTTTTTGCTTTTTTTTTTTGGGTTGCTCGAAAATCAACCTCACAATCAAAACACCCAGGTGATTCAAAATTTGCTCATCTCGCATGTGGAAGTGCGCACAGAACAATCGCTGGACGTGCGAACCTACATTTGCGGTCGGAAAACTCGGGCCATCATCATCCAGCTGGGCGATGTGATTGCCAACATTCGCGCCATGCTTTTGCCCGTGCTTGGCTCGTGGCTGCATCGGCTTTGCGACCGTCGGGCATTCTCCAACCGCAACCCCGAGAATGTGACCAAGCAGCAACTGGTCGCAATTCGCAAAGTCTACATGGACCGGCCGCCCGACACGCCGGAAGACCCACAGGGCTACCAACACAGCAAGGGCCAAGTGCTAGGCGACTATGCTGTTGCCATATCGCTCTTCCATGCGTTCGAGCTCCTGGGCAAGTATGGCGTTCGACCGTTTTACGTCTACCTCAAGTCTGTCGCCCAAGGCTCCAAGTCTGGGAATCGCTCTCGCTACGAGATTGTCAACAACGGGACGATTGGCAAAATCATGAACGATTTGTACCGCCGAATCGAGCCTGATGCTCCTCATTGGACGGCGCCCGACTCTGCTCCAGCGGCTCCTGCTGCTGCTGCTCGTGCCAAATCCAAAGCCCCATCTCGCCCAGCGGCTTCTACTGCTCTCAGCAGCGTCGGCAGCGACAGCGAGCAAGATCAGGCCGTGGTGGGTGACGATATCGACGCACTTGTGCTCAAGCCGTCGCAGTCGTCCAAGCAAAAGTCGACCTCCATCGTGGACAACCCAAAGCTCGCCAAGATGATTGAGGTTGTCCGCGATCACTTTTTACACTTTAATGAGCGGCAGCGTGCTCGAGAGCAACAGCGACGAAACAAAAGCAGAAGCCAGCCTGCTGTTTCGTCGGGCGATTCGTCCTTCCAGTCCCCCGCTGCTGGCCGTGGTCTGCTGCCGAACGGCGCAGGCGCGAACTCTGCTGCTGGTGCCAGTCAAATCGAGATTGACGGCGACGCGGAGGAGGACGGCGATGACGAAGAAGAAGAAGAAGAGGTTGTCGACACCAGAGTCATGATCTTCTCCGAGTTTCGCGAGTCCGTCCAAGAGATTATTGACGCGCTGGCGGATCAGCAGCCTGTCGTCCGTGCCATGGCGTTTGTTGGTCAGGCAACGACCAAGGGCTCGAAGGGCTTGACGCAAGAGCAGCAGCTGCGGATTATGCGCGCGTTTCGATCCGGAGACTACAACACGCTCGTCTCTACATCTGTCGGTGAGGAGGGTTTGGACGTCGGACACGTGGATCTCATTGTCTGCTTTGATTCACAAGCGTCTCCGACACGCATGGTTCAGCGCATGGGTCGCACTGGGCGCAAGCGTGAAGGGCAGATTGTCATGCTGTTGTACGAAGGCGCGGAAGCCCTGGCCTACCAAAAAAGCGTCGAACGGCAAAAGAGCGTTCAGGATGTGCTTGAGCGACAGATCAAATCGTTCGTCATGTATCCGACGCCTCCGCGCATGATTCCGCTCAAGTTTGTGCCCAAGGCAACGAAAACGGTTGTAAAGACGACCGACTTTCTGCACAACGCGTCCCCAATGTCGCGACGACGAATGCTGCGCGAAGCCAGTCGCAATGCGGCCAAGGAGGCAGCGGGTACCACTCCCGCTCCGGCGTGGGCTCTCACCGGGTCCGAGCAGCAAGAGTACGATTCCAACTTTGCCGTCGAGCCGTCGGCCATCGATATTTTTGCCCCCACAACAGCTGCTGCTCGTCGAGCCAATCAGGCTGCCACGATACACGGTGGTCGTTCTCGCCAGCGCCACGATGCGGTCGACAAGAGGGCTTCGCAGCAAGCGCGCATGGAGCTCCGGCGCGACGATGGAGCCGAGTCGTCGTCCGAAGAAGAAGAAGAAGAAGAGGCTTCTGCCGACGAGCAGCCCATAAATACGCCCAGTGTAGTGCAGCAACTGCTCGGCAACAGCGGACTGGGACTCGTCTCCCGTCGAGGCGCGAATGCCCATGTGCCCGAGCACAGCATTCTTCACTCCAGCGAGACGCATCTGATGAAACGAGTGGTGGCGACAGTCAATGACCTCGCCTTCCAGTCCACCCAAGAGTTTGCGGCCTTTGAGCAGGCGCAACAGGATTTGGTGCTCTGGATGGACGTGATGCCGGATCCCCAGGCCGTGAGCAGCTCCACGACGTTTCCGCCAGAGCTTGCACCAAACGGCGCTCGGCAGGAGATTGCAGCACCGGCGGCCACTTTGAGTCGAGGGCACCGATCGTTCTCTCTCGGGCTCGAGGCGATTAATCAAGCAGAGGATGAGCTTTTCCGGCGGCGAATGCACTCGGACGACGACGACAATGACAGCTTGGATGATGAGCTGATGAACACCACATTGACCAGTTCCGTTTTGCCGGCCGCACGGGCGAATTCGACTTCTGTTGGGAGGGCTTCCAGTGTTGTTGCGCGAGCCTCGGCGTCTGTGCTTCCCACCGGTTTGAATCCCAAACTCCAATCCGCCCAGGGTCGAAGGGAGACTTCTCCAGCAACATTGAATTTGCTCTCTAAGAGTCTCGATCCGCTGCAGCCTCCAGCTGTTTCAGCTGTTCTCGACCCCACTGGCCCTGTCATTCAAGCGGCACATTTGGCATTCCCCCAAAGCGTTCCGGCAAGCAATGTCACCTTTTTTGAACGCTTGCCTGACGATGCAAACTTTTCGAGTTTTGTCCAGCTGGATCCCGTTCCATCCATTTCAAGCCGTCCACTCCCCTATCAGCAGTTTGCGACTTCCTCGGGCTCGACATTCGACCCGAACGCTGCTCGAGACGTGTGGCAGTTTTACGACGGTGACTTGGAGCAGACTTGGCTGGCTGCACGCGTTCCAGAGATTGTGCAGAGCGTCAGTTCAGTTGGCCTGGCCTCCTTGTCCCCAACCGTTGTGTTTCGTGCCAGATCCGAAGGTCCTGACGCAGCTCAGAAAGGTCTGCTCAGTTCCAGTCCTGTTGCCATGCGTGACTCGCCAAAAGTCAGTTCTGCCGCTCTGGGTGCCTCTTGCATGCCGCCGCAAGAGTTACAGCTGGAGCGATCGTCTTCCTGGGACGAGTTTGCCGAAGATGCCGTGGACGACTTGATTGGCGCGGTGCCTCTTTCCATGCTCGCAGACGTTTCTTCTTCAACGCCTGAACGGACCCGACTTTCGTTGTCAGTGGATGCCAATGCCTCTCCTGTTTCTACCAAACCGTCACTGTCCAGTCAATTACTCCATCCTGTGCACGCCGAGGCTGCATCACAGATGCGCTCATCACAGGTGCGCAACCTTCCAATCGAAACCGTCGAGATTGTGGACGATGAGGACGATGCAGATGACGTTCTCGCCAACGTGCCTTTGTCAAATCTGCTGCATCCAACGAGCACGTCCCCAACAAAGGCTCCGGAACCAGCTCTTCCGCTGCCACTGGCTCCTGCGGTGGCGACGACCGATCAAGAGAGCGTTTTGAGACGGCCGGGTTTGAATGACGATGAGTTTGACCTCGACCCGAACGACTTTGCTGATTTCGACTTGAGTGACAGCGAACAAGGCATCCCTTCGTCGTCGCTCATCAAAGCCGCGGATCTCCCTTCAGCGCTCGAAGCTGTCGTGTCATCGAGCCATCGCACCTTGCTCTCATTCCGACCGCAGCAGGAGGTGAGGGAACTTGGCTCACCCGAGTCTATTCCTGTCGAGCCACCAGCCAGTGTGCGTAGCTCTGTGAAGCGGCGCCATGCAGAGTCAGAGCCGGAGGATGACCTCATGGGGTTTTTATCTCCCACCGCCAATCACTCCCATGCCGAAGTCATGGCCGCTGAGGCGAGTCCCGATGGGCCGCAACTTTCAGCGCTGGCTACGACTGGTCATAGCGATCAAAGCAATGCGCCACAAGCTCAGAAGCAACATCCGACCAAGCGTGTGCGCTGCGCAGTCTTGTCCCAGGACTCGCCACAGGTCACTCCAATCAAGCAGCAACAACAACAACAGGAACAACAACAACAGCTCCAATCATCTTCGCAATTTCAGCCGCGCCCTTCGCCGCTCGTAGTTTCGGATTCAGGCACTCCCATCAAGCGCTTGCGCTCTGGCATGGAGCTCTATCGACCGTCTCGTGCGTCCAAAGCCGTGAAACGCAAGAAAGTCGTTCTTTCCGACGATGACGCCGCGGATGGCGACGAGGGCGAGTCTGACGACGCCAAGGATAGCGATGGCCGTGCTGACAACTCTGAATCTCCTGCGCCAAAGCATCGCCAACCAAAGTCCCATCCGGTCCGCCGCTCCAAATCGGTGGCCACAATGCCTCAGCGCCACCGCTCTCGGTTTGTGGACGACGAAGCCGAATTTGGCGACGCCAGCTCCGAGTCGGAAGCCGAGGAAGGGGCGGTCGTGGGCTCGCCAGATGGTCGTGCCGCGGCTGCAGCGTACAACGACAGTGGCGATGAGGACGAGAATGACCTTGGCGGCGAGAATCCGGACGAGTACGACATGAATGACAGTTTTATCGACGATGGCGGTCCATCGAGTGGCGCACATCCTGGCGCAAGGCGGCCCCGCGCTGTCGCAAGCAGCGCAGACAGCGGTGGCTCACCGCGGTCGAGTGCGGCTTCTGAAGGGCAGGCGTCCCAAGAACAAGGCAACCTGTACCGCACTTCGCTGCTCAACACGCCGCCGCTCAACAGGCTTGCAGGGATTGGTCGCATGCGCCACGTGATTGAGAGTCGCGTGGCGAACATTCGAGCTCGACGTGACGCGGGCCTCTTTGACGATGATGATGATGAGGAGGAGGATGACAACGACGACGAAGCAGAAGAGGACGATAGCGAGGACGAGCTGGAGAATGATAGTCCAAGCCCCAGGCGCCAAGGAACTGGTGGTAGCGATGATGATTTTGAGAGCGAAGCGCGCGCACCACACCACAATTGCATCGGTTTCAACTGCAAGAGCCTCGATCTCTGGCAGCGGCGGGCTCTGCGGCCTCGGTGGCTCCACCCTCGACGTCTCACCAACCTGTCTTGTTCCATCGATATCAACAAGCTGCTGCGGTCGCTGCTGCCTCGTCCCGGCCTCATCATTCTGCTCAAGCGGGTCGCATGGTTGTCGGACACTCAACAACAAGGGGCTCGCCGGCCTTTCCACCCAGCTCTTTCATTCCGCCCCTACAACAGCAAGCCCAACGTGCGATCAACCCATCCAGCTTGTTCAGGCGCAACGCAGGCTCCTATCATGCTTCGTCCACCACTGGCAACAGAGACACGCGGTAGCGTCAAATGTCAAGTTGGTGGAATTCGTTCTTGACTGTTCTTGCGGTGTGCCGTTGTACAAAATACACGGGGTTTGATGCCATCAACGCGCTTCAGCGCTATGTGCCATTCCTCTCTCACCCATCCCTCCCCAAACTTGAACACAAGCGAAACAAAAAAGTAACTCAAAAATGTTTCAGATTTCAAACAGAGCTAGTTTTACTTGTTCTTCTTGCCAACGTTCAGGGCCATCGAGCCAAGACCAACGAGAACAACGCAGATGCCGAGGGCGGATGCACCCATGAGGCCGCGGTAGATCATCAGGTCGTTCTTGCCACGCAGGAAGACGGGCAGGCCGTTGGGAATCTGAAAGTGTGCTTGCTTGGAGTGCACTTGGTTTGGCTTGCGGACCCAGTTGTCGACAATCGATCCAGACGACGGTGCGCTGTGCGAGGCGCCTGCAGGTCCGACGTTGTGACCGGCAGCGGCCGAGACGCCGGCCGTGAAGCGCGATTGGGTCGCCTTGACGCCCGAGAGACCCTGCTCCGAAAGCCAAAGAAATGGACAAAAGAGTTGAATATCAAGTGAGCTTTTTTGAGTTTGAGTTTGAGTTTGAGTTTGAGTCGAAGTGAAAGTGATCTCGCTGAATAGTCAAGTGTGAGGAAAGCCACGCGTTGCGGTTTGACTGGAACAGCATTGAAAAAGACCGATCGACGGACGATTGGGGGGAAAGTCAGCGAGTGGCAGATCAACAGAGATCGAGAGACAGCGAGACAGACAGAGTCGGCGTGTGGAGTCGAGAGTCAGAGAGAGAGAGAGAGAGAGAGAGCGAAGGGGGAAAGAAGAAGAAGGGGGAAAAAGCACGAGGCAGCACCTGCGCTTGTTGCAGTCATTGTATGAAGTTGAATGTTGGATGATCAGGCATCGAGAGCATCGTAATAGCAGAGTGAATGACTTGATCTTGAGGTGGATTTGGCGGAGGGGGATGGGGAAAGCGGAGGGAAAGCGGAGGGAAAGCGGACGCTACCTCGGGGTGGAAGGCAGCTGAAGCGTCTGCAGATTGAGTAAGGCCCTGCTTGGCACTCGAGTACTGGTACGCCATCGAATCTGAGATTTTGTGGAAAAGAACGAAAGAAGAAGAAGAAAAAAAAAAGGAATGAGTTAATAAAAAAAAAAAAGAAACGAACAAAAGGATATTCAAAGAGCGAGATATCAATGCAGGGAACATTGGATTGAAGGTTTGATTCCGGATTCATGCACTGGCGAACAAGAGAAAGCGGTTGACAAGAACACAGCAAAAGCGAGACACGGCAATATGAGCAATTCAAGCATCCTGGGAGCAGGTTGGCTTTGAATAGAACCAAACAACCAAAATCAAAGCCGTGATCGCTGCAGGCATTTTGAGAAGCCTGTACCCCATGGTCGCTCGCTTCCCAACAAAGACATGCTGCGAAGGGAGATTGTACGCCGCATGCACTTGAGCGGTACGTCCATGCGACGGAAACTTGTGGTCCCCTCTTTTAATAGGTCAGATCGTCAAAGTCGGGCGTCGGCGCACTTCGAATGTACAACGCGTCTAGTGGGTTGGACGCTCGCTGCATGCACTGAAGTGTGTAGATGGCATGCGCGAGGAGATGCTGCGGCGATTCGACAAACGGCAATAACAGCTGATTTTGAATGGCATAGAGTATCTCTAGCGGTGCTTTTGGCACAGGCAAATTTTGCCTTGGCTTTCCGGCAAATAAAAACTTTGTAAGTGCCCATAGCCGCCGGGCGCGCTCCGGTCGTGTGGGTGCCTCAACAAGCACCCGTGCCCCGATGAAAGTGTCTCGAAGCTCCTGCGAATGTGGGCAGAACAAACAGCAAGCGCAAAAATCATAGTCGGTTGAGTTGTTCGAGCACTTTGATCATTTGATGACACGTTGATATTCCGGTGTCTGAGCTGTTCTGAGAAGCCTCATTGTCACAAACCTGTTTGGCTCGCTCCCGCAGTGCGAGACGCGGAACTCGTCTGATTTCGCGCAGGTAGGCTCGATAGAGTGCGCGTGTCACTTGCGGCGTGAAGACCGAGCTCAGTGTGGCGATGGACGCGTCCTCGAGCGGAAGCGACGACGGCGAGCGTGGAACGTGCTCAAAGTCAGGCACTGGAAATCGGTGGACCGTCCTCAGTGGTGTGTCGCTCGATGCTGCTGAAGTTGAAACTGATGATGATGACGCAGATCGAGTGGACTCGGACTGTCCGGCAATGCTTGGCGGCCGTCGTATTGGCGCTGCAACAGCGAAAAACGAGGTGCTCGTCAGGCAAAGTGCACTCCTCGCCAGTGCAAGTCTTGTCATTGCCATCATCGTCATCATCATCGTCAGAATAATTGTACCAGTATTGGCACTATGATGTACGATGCGATCGTGGTGTTTGTAAGTCGATCTCAATGACAAATGAAGACTGTTCTTTCTTGTGTGGAAAAACTAGCTGTGTTTTGCTTTTAGAGGGCAGATAAAATGGTTGATGGTTGGTGGGGTCAAAACTTTGAATTTGAAGATGAACAACACAGCTGCAAACAGGAGACAAAAGACACAGTCATGAATTGTGTCGTGGATGACATCGAAACACTCGAGATTAGCCGCGAGTGATTTCCGCCCACGTCTCAGAGTCCAGCTGTGCGAGATTTGACGGCCGCATGAGCAAGACGTCGTGATTGCTGTTGACTTGACCGCGTCGCATCAAGGAGTCATCGGCGGTCACATAAACGTAGTAGATGCGGGGTGGAAGCGTGCCCTGAGCGATGTCATAGCTTGGTGCAGCCGGTGCAAAGGCTGCATCGTTGGTAAGACCGCACAGAACCTTGTACGAGTCGAGAACTGTCAAGGTCCACCCAAACTTTTCACGAACCAAATCTGGGAGCTTGTACCTGTGGTTGCCGTACAATAGCTGGCTGACTTGCACAAAGATCAGACAGGGCGACTGGTGATTCCTCAGCTGAAGATACAAGACTGCATCCACCACAGTGTATTGCGACCAGCCGGGAATAAAAAGTGTGCCGGGTGGGTACGATTCTCCTGCGCGACGAGCTTGAAGGAAGGCCGCAGGATCGCGAGCGAACGACTCATCGACAATCACGACGTTCATCCTAGAAATGCTCTCGAGTGGAGGTCGGACCTCGCCTCGGAGCGTTGTGCCAGTGAGCACGAATCCACCGGAACGGAGGTTTGTTTGAACAAACAGCTCCAAAGCACGCCAGGATGTGGCTCTATCCAAGTAGAGCATGCGCAAGAACGATTGCTTTTCCTGCTGGAAGAAAAGTTCGGCCGCAACGTTGATAAAACGGTTGATTGGAACTAGGTGTCCCGTGGCGTCACGCATCATCAGCCCCGCATTGAGCCACTCGTAGGAGCTGTGGGTATTGAATGGAATCGGTTCTTTCGCGTTACGCAGGAGCACGGAGGCCAAGTCGCCGCGAAACCAGCTCGCACATTCGGGATCCCGGTATGTTTGTCGCTGAAGGCTGAAAAGACGTTCACGGTAGAAGTGAAGACAGCTTTGTTGCCAGGTGCCATTGATATCCGCAGCTGGGTTTGTGACCCGCGCCTCCGCAAAGTACTCGCACAGACGTGGAATGCCGCCCGTCATCTCGTGCAACTCTGCGATCGTGGCATCATCGACCTCAACGGGTGACGGCCTCGAACGCCAGATGTCGTTCAGTGTGAGTGGGACGACATGGTGCCGACAGATGCGGGCTTCGTCGCTGCGAAAGACACGCACGTGCCAACAGATGGCTTCGTCGTCGCAAAAGACTCCGTGTGCGGTGGTCACTGCCGAAAAGGACGAGCTGACCGCGGTGACCAAGAACGAGAAGCCAATGCTGGACGCGATGGTGGAGAAGCTGCGCATCGGGTGGTCCGTGGGAAACGCGGGGTCGTTCACGCGCGCGACGAGGGCGTTCCACTGGTCCACCAGAATGAGGAGGCGGAGGATGTAGGAATCTTCAAGGAAACCTTGAAAGGCAGCCCAGCGGCCAAGTGCAGTGCCATCTCCATTGAGAATTTCAGCGAGCTGGGAAAACTCTTGCATTAGCGATGCATTGAGCCGACCCAGCGTGTTGCACAAGCGTTTGGCAGCATCTTCCGGCGACATTTCGACCAATTCAGCCGTATCGACAATGTACAAGACAAGCACGGGTGGCGTAACTTCTAGGACGGATGCCGAGATGGTGTGCGCAGCATAGACAGAAATGGCGGCAGTCTCAGCAGCTGCAGCAAATGGTCCCTGACTTGAAGCGTCGCCAACAGCGGCCGCATCCGCTGCAACGTCGAGACGTGGCTGCGGGGAGCGCTGCTGCACGATCGAGGAAGTCGCAGACGTGCCGGCTGCCTTGTCGTCGCCGTCGCCGTCGTCGCCGTGGTCGCGCGGTCGTCGACGGCGGGCTCTCGTCTGCCGCTCCCACTCACGCGCCAGGACGGACGCGGCAATCATGAAAAGAATGGACGACTTTCCAACGCCGCCGGGTCCGGTCAGGTAGATGCCGTGCGGCGCGCTTTGCTCATAGATTCGGGAACTAAAGTCGGCAACTGCAGCGCGCGGAACGAACTGCAGCTCTTGACCTTGGGCTGCAGCGTGCAAAACGAACTGCAGGTCTTGATCTTGGGCAGCTCTGCGCAGCTCCTGCAGACCTGGGGGGGGGATGGTCAACGCGCCTAACAGCACGTTTCGGGGCATTCTACATACCTGGAATATGTTTCCTACGATGCATTTCTACATACCTGGAATATGCAGCAAGGATAGATGACTCGGCACACTCATCTGAACTTGCGGGTGCGGTCGATACAGAATGGAGGGGAAAAGAAACAAACAAAAACAAAAAAAAAAAACTGAGAGGATGAACGCAGCAGTAGCCATTTGAGCGGTTGTCAATCCATTCATCGGTGACAAACCTGTGTTCGAGCAGTGCCTGTATACTTGAACATGTACTTTGTGATATCGTGATTTGCCAGTCCCCCTTCATCGAACCGAATCGACTCCGACCCCGAGCCCGACCCTGATTGACCTGATTGATGTCTGAGCACATCGTCAACTCCAACAACAACCTGAGCGACGAGCAACTCCCCGAAGTCGCCGTGGTCACTGTGCACGATGACGACGAGTATGATGACAATGTTGCTCCTGACCCCGACGTCGCGCGCACAGTGAGGAACGCGCCCCGCGCTCAGAACGACGCGCTCCAGCAGCAACAGCAGCAGCAGCAGCAGCAGCAGCAGCAGCAGCAGCAGAGTCGACGCGACCCGCACGCTGCACGCCGACCACTGCATCACCAGACCGGTGTGCTGGACTATTCTGGTGTGACAGGTCAGCCTGGCGAGACCCCCACAGGGCCCAATGCTGGTGTCGGCGATGTGGGCGTGCTGCAGCCGTCGCCCTCGTCGCCCGTGCAGCACCGCCTCGCGTCGCCGTCGCAGTCGGTCGCTGAGCCTACCATACACATGACGCAGCATGTCGGAAGCGCTGCCGCTGGTGGTGGTGGGCATGTGTCGAGCTACCGCGGAGCCATTCACCGCTCGCAGTCGCTCTTCCCGCCGCATCACAGCGGTGCGTTGCACGGCGTCTCAAACCCGCACTTGCACGATGCCGACGAGTCGTACTACACGCCATCGCAGGCACAGCTGCACCAACAGTTTAACGCCTCGTTCGATCGCGAGCACGAAGCGAGTCTGCTGTTTCCAACAACAACGCGCCGGTTGAGCCCGGTCGGCGAGGTGCCTTCTGCCGACGATCCGTCCACGCCGTTGCTGCACCATGCTGGTGAAGCGCGCCATCGCGCTACCGGACATTTGATTGGGTCGCGCTCGCACAGCATGTCCGAGGCGAACTTTGGCCACGTCCAAGCATCCGGCTCGGCTTCACGTCTGCTTTTCGCTGGAGACAGCGGCGACAACTCGGATCGAGCTGCAGACCGCAGTCAAGAGCGCGAGCCAGAGCGCCGCACGGGCCGTGGATTGATGGGCTTTTTGCGGCGAAGGACGTCGCGCGCGTCCCTCAGCCCGTCCGAAACGACGACGAGTCCGGAACCGGGCGACTCGCAGCCCTTGTTCGTGCCAGACAGCTCGCTTCAAGCCTCTTCGCCATTGCTCTCGCCGTCGAGCTCACGCACCATTGCCACAGCGACGCCATTCCCGCCTTCTCCGGTTTCAGTGTCGTCCGCCGATGACCTTCCGCCGGTCATGCACGAGCCCGCGCTTGAGCATGGTCTTGATCCCGACTTTGATCTGTCTGTGCCCCACTTGCTCAAGCTGTTCAACGCGCTGGATGCCGACAAGGACGGCGAAGTCGCGCTGAGTCGCATCCTGTCGTCGCTCGAGCCGCTCGCCCGCGCTGGCGCGCGCTCGCCTCGGCAGCTGGTGATGCACATGTTCAAGGGCCAGGAGAGCGTGACTCAGGAGCAATTTGTCCTCGCCATGCAAGAGATTGGCGTCATGTTGCTCTCGCGAACAACCGGAGTTGCGGTTCAGGACCAGGTCATGCTGGACATGTTCTGCTACGACTATGGCCCATCGCAGGCAATTTGCCGCTGGGTCTCGCCAGATCCGCGCATGTCCATGTCCAGCCCGCCAAACTGCATTGGCGAAGTCCACGAGCCGGCCACCGACCCGTCCATGCCGACCTCGGGCTCTGCCAACTCGCTCAACGACATTCAAGAAGGCACCATCACGCTGAGTCACTTTCTGCGGCGAACCGTGCCTCACCAGTCTCTGCCCGTGCGCTGGATTAACATGGTTGGCAACGACGCAAGCACCATCATCCGCGTGTCGAATGCCTACAAGCTGCACCCACTCCAAATCGAAGACATGCTCAATACGAAAGAACGGCCAAAGGTCGAAATCAACTCGGATGGGACGATGCACATTGTCATTTCCCGCCTCACACTCAAGTCCTACGACTCGAAGGATTGGCTCCAGCTGGTGACCGACCAGCTCAACATTTGCCTGCTCCATGCCGATTCCACCGTGATCACCATTGAAAAAAAGCCCGCAGCTACGACCCATACCCTGTTGCAGCGCATTTCCTACGCAGGCTCGAAAGTTCGGCTGAACAACGCCCGCTTCCTGATCTATGCCATGGTTGACGGCATTGTTGACGACGTGTTTCCCGTTCTCAAGGCGTTCCACTACCAACTGCGCCAGCTTCAAACGCTCGTGCTGGGTCGAAAGCAAACGACATTGGCCACTGCCAAAGAGTTGCAGCATTTGCATCGCGAGCTGAACAACTTGGTTTTCTGGCTTCAGTAAGAGCTCTAGTCGATGATGGAGGTGGCTGTTGTGTGGTTTTGACAAATGAGAGAGTTCTCACCTGTTTGTGCGCGCGTATGCCCGCCTTGATGGTAACAGCTCGCTTAGCTCGGTGATTAATCGCTTGCTGGAAGAGTTGCCGCAAGGCACGGACGCGCTGGATATTCGCAAGCACATGGAAGATTTGAAAGACCACGTTCAAACTCTGCAAGAACAAACCAACTCGATGATGCAGTGGGCCAAGTCCCTCAATGACGATTTGTTGAACGAGCAGCAATTCCGAATGAATCAGGTTTGTGGGAAAAGCAGGCGCCCTAACTCTGGCTCGATTTGTTTGTTCTCACTTTTCGTGGGGGGGGGGTCTGGATGGTTGTACAGGTCATGTACATGCTTACGATGGTAACAACCACGTTTGTTCCACTTCAGTTCATCACTGGCGTTTACGGCATGAATTTTGAAGTGAGTCGCGCGCAATGCATCCGTGGGCGCAACAAAGGCACTTTCGCTCACTTGGCTTGATCAATTAATTGTTTCGTTTTTTGCTTTACAGACGCTCCCTGAGCTGACGTGGCGATACAGCTACTTGGTGTTCTGGATTATCGTACTAATGCTGCTTACGATTGCGCTCTGGTTCTTCAAGCGTCGTGGTTGGCTCGATGTCGCTTAAAACTGGCTGGAACTATGACTTCTGTTGGATTTAGCCGAAAAGCAAAATCAAGAACAATGAAATGCATTTCGAAACGGAATACAAATTAGAATGCAGTCATGCATCACAGGATGACACTACTGAAGTAACCGCCGAGCAGCAAGCACACGCTCAGCAAGGGCAGCAGGGGTTGAGCTCTCGACAACATGCTCTGCAGCAAGCTCGGTCTTGTAGGTGGTGTTGACGAGGTTGAGCAGGTAGTACAGGCGCACCGAGTTGGCGCCATGCGCAATAAAGCTGTCAGTAGGGCGGATCTTTTCGACTTCGAGGGCTTCCGCCATGAACTCGCAAAGCTACCAAAAGGGAAAGGGAAGTGAGTGTTCGGAAGCTCGGGAACGAATCAAATGCCACCTTCGTGTTATTCGCTCTTACCTTTTCCGTGACAACAGCCGAATTCAGATTTTCAGTCGAGGGGATGGACTTCAAACTGCTGGTGCGACGGCTGCAAAAGACACCAAAGAAACCGGCAACCGGTGAATATCAACGAAATGAAAAGAAAAGCTCGACGCAGCAGCATGGACGACATACTATTGTTTGGCGAGCAGGGGAACCTTGTCGATCAGGGGCTCGACGCGATCAACAACCTTGACCTTGATCTCATCGGTCTTGACCTTGAGGGCCGAAGTAAGGCCAGACTCGTGACGGAGCTTGTCGCCGTACAACTTGCGCATGTGAGGGCTGATTGCAATCAAAAGGCAGCAGCAGGCAAATGCATCACAAGTCAGTTGGCTCCAAACAACACACAAAACAAACAACAACAAGAACGACACGGCAGTTTCCAAGCAGAGCAAGGCATTACTTTTCCACGTATGTCAGGAACAAGGACCAGATCACCTGGGAGACAAGAGCAAGAACAAAAACGGCAGGGCTGTTGGAGATCAGAGCAATGCCGTAAAAGCCGGCAAAGCCCATAACCTTCTCGGGATTGTTGAGGAAGCGGTAGATGCCGTGGTAGTAAATCTCCTTCTGGTACTCTTCGATGAAAAAGTCACCATAAAACCTAAAAATAGTGCATGGCAATGCGCAAAATTAAAAAAACAGTGAATGGCAACAGAAACGAAACCGCCAAGACAAACAGCCAACGATCCGTACCATCCGAAATCACCAAGAACCTCAAACATGGACGAGGAAACCCAGATGTGCAACGCAACCAGGACCTGCGTGTTCGCAAAAATGACATCAAGATGCATCACGTCAGTTGAGTTACAATGCGAAAACCTGGCATCGTGGTGCGAGATACGTACCAAGCCGACAGTGTGCTTGGCGAACACGGCACCCAAAGTCCATTCCTCGGGCAGCTCGTACATTTTCAGTGCGCACACGAGGAAAGTGACGTACGTGAGGGTCATGGAGCCGTTGAAAATGCTGTTGAGAACGAACGTCAATTATGGTGAGCGAACGAGTCAGGAAAAGAGCTCCAAACTACCAACAAAACACACAAGGCGACATACGTCTTCCATTGCTCAAAGGCAAACTCCTTGGTCATGCCACGCGAGATGAAATGGTTGGTCCAGAACTTGTGGTTGCTCTGCAAGTGAAGAACAAGGCCAAGACCGACGGTGTGGACGAGACGGAAGGCAAACGCTTGCCTGTCATGAAGTGAAGTGAAGTGAAGTGAAGTGAAGTGAAGTGGGGGGAGGGGTCAGACTGTGTTCCGCTGCTTCCGACGACACAAGGCAGACAAACAAAGACTCACAGGAAATAAAGTGAAAGGGGGGAGGGGTCAGACTGTGTTCCGCTGCTTCCGACGACACAAGGCAGACAAACAAAGACTCACAGGAAATAAACCCATGTTGCGGAAGACGATGAGATCACGACGGAAGTACTGGTGCAAGATTTGAGTCTGGGCTGGATCGGGGGCGGGACCGCCGGTGTTGTAAGTCTTGTCAATGTCTGCAACCAAAAAGAGCAAGTGTGGATTGGTCAGCCAACTGCTCGTAGTGGTCGATACAGAGCCGACCCGACGTTGAGAACACACGACTGGCAACAAAAACTTACGGGGATTTTCAACGAGAGCGAGAAAGACAAACTGGCAAAAGTGCGCCGCAAGACTAATGTACAAGACAATGTACGAACGAGTCACCAGACTCATGCCGTAGAAGAACAGGTAACTGTTTGACGACGAGGAGAAAGCCAGACGAGAATGAGATCAAACGATATTTCGTCGCTGAACGTCAAAAATGTTGACGAAGAAAAAAAAGGGCTTTGCTTTGGTGTGACTTACCCAACACTGTACATGGGATGCGGGGCCATCTGGAAAACACCGTCAAACGTAAGCTCTTGCTCGATCAGGAAGAAAAAGTCGCCCCAATCTAAGCAGCGGAGCAAGCGCGAGACGAGCGAATCAAAAGTGTCAGTGACCAAAAAAAATTACCTCCAGGCAGTCACGCACTTACACCAAGCAAAGTCCTTGACAACTCGGTGAGCATCGACCTTGACCCAGAAGTTCACGACACAGAGCGCAACGCCCACAATGTACTGGGCGACGACAAAGACGGAAAAGCTTTCCGGCGCCTCGGCAAACTTCATGCAAAACAAGAAATAGCAAATCAAGTCGTTGGCAAGAATGATGTCGACCAGCTGGCGGAACAGGAGCCAGGCGTTGTACTCGATCGGGACAGCCTACATTGAGCGAAAGTGAATGAGTGACCGAAAAGCTGCCTCAATCAAACCGCCCCCCCCGCTTGTCTCGTCGTACCTCAAAGTTGTAGTCGTCGCCCATCTTGCGTGTGAGCTGAGCCTTGATGAAGGCGCGAGGAGCAGGCTGGTTGAGCAGCTTCTGGACATAGTTTACGACATGCTTGCCGTTGGATTGGTAGTGCAGCAACGCACCCAGGCCAGCGTCATACCCAAGGCGCCAGAAGAAGAAGAAGAAGACGTAGAGCTGTGTGATGCAATGTCAATCCACGAGGAATGATGCACCCGAGAGTCAGTCGGCCAAAAATTCCACCACGCAACAAAATTCGCATGGGCAACGTCACGTCACGCATACCCATGCAGGAAGGCTCGAGAAGAAGAACAGGAAGATGAAAAAGGCATTCGTGCCAATGTTGCACAGGTCGAACACGTTGAACTTGGAAAAGTTGCTCAAGTTGCGCAGCAGGTCGTGCGTGGTTGGCACAAAGAATTCTGCCAAAACCACACCAACCCAAAAAAAAATCGAACCAATCGAAACATGTTAGTCCCCAGCTTATTTGAACGAGTGTCCGTCCGCCTTTGTGTTGAGCACAGCTATTCTGGGTGTTGGGCATCGTAGAGAGTGGTCTGAAGTAGTTGCTGCTTTGGCTTTGTTGCTCACCTTTGCCAGCGGGAGTCTTGCCGCGACGGCCTTGCTCGGAAATGGTGACGGAGCGCTTCTTGGGCGGCGACGCAGACGAGTCGGTGCTCGACGAAGCTGCCGCCGGGGTCACAGTGGCAGTGGCAGTGGCAGTAGCAGACACGGTAGCTTGCTTCTGCTGCTTCTGCTGCGGAGGCTGCTGCGGAGGCTGCTGCTGCTTGGCGTCAGGAGCAGGGAGGAGCTCAAACCCATCATCCGAGTCGCCATCCTTGTCCTGGCTGCTGCCTGCGCTGGTCTCGCTGGTCTCGCTAGTGGCAGCAGCACTGGCAGACGGGGCACCGCGGCGCTGTCGCAGCTGAGCCGGGGCTGCTTCCGGCTGCGCTGTTGCTGGTGCTGCGTTGGCGCCCAGTTGGTCGCCGTCCACGCGCTCTTCTGCCGCTCCACTCGCCTCGCTGACACGCACGCCGCCGGGTGTCTCGTCGCCAGCCGCGACCTCGGTCACCGTGCCAGCAGCAGCATCGACAGCATCGTCAACAGCAGCAGACTCGATCGCCGATGTCGCGCGCTGTTCGTTCTCGTCGTCGCTCATTCAAGATTCAAGGAGAAAAGCACGAGGAAAAAAAAAATCGACTGAGGATTCGTGACTTTGCTGACTTTGCGCTGGCATCCAGCATGAGCATTGGGCATCCTCGCAGATCGAAGGCCAAGTAAACGTTTGGGAATGAAGAAAGCGTCCACGAATTGCTTGGTGCTGGCAAGCGAAGAAGCTCAGAAGCTCAGAAATGGGAAGATTCGCATGCGTTCTCAGCGAGACTTTGCTTCGCTGCGCATTTGTTTCCCCCCCCCCCGCCTCCCCGTTCCCCCTTCCCTGATCACTCTGATCTCAATTGAATTTGGTGCATGTACTCTTTGTGGATTTCTCTATTGTTGTACCCAATCGAATCTACGTCGTTGGGACAAGGCTACTCCACTTTTTTCTTCTTTTTTTTTTTCTGTTGCATTCACAAAGATGTCTGGCAAGGATCGTATTCCCATCTTCCCAACGCGCATGTAGGTTTGCTTTGAGCTTGTGTATTCCGTTGCGCGTGTACACTTGTGATGCCGTAGTTCACAGTCGTGGCAGCAAGCAAGCGCGCAGGAGGAGCGCAGGGAGAGGTCACTACTGTGTAAATGGAGGGGTAGCAAGAGGGTAGCAAGAGGGTAGCAGCTGGATTGCTTTTTGTTAGTGTTTCCTGCTACTTTAATCGTTTTCCCCCGATTTTGTCACCTGCTTTTTTTTTTCTTTTTTTCTTGCGCTTGCTGTCGGCTGTTCTTCGGAAGTGGGGCAACCTCCTGCCCCCCCCCACCTTGACAGCCTCTTCAACCCCATCTCCACGATTTCCGCCGGGTGCGCTTCTCGCGATGCCACTCACGTCGACCCCAGCGCACAGACCAGCATCGCAACCTGGTTTTTTTCACCAACTTGTTTTTCTTGCTGGGATGGCGATCACTCCCGCCCTGGCCGCTGCGTTCGGCTCCTCGCCTTTGCCCTCAAGTCCTCATGCTGCAACGCTGGTCACCAGGAGTCGAGGGGAGGAAAGCCGATGGCGCTGCACTCGACTCTGTCGCGCATGTGCGGCCTCGTGTGGAAGGCGAAAAAAAAAAAAAAAAAAAAAGTTGAAGGGGAAAAAACACTACACTCGTGCTTTTTTTTTTTTTTTTTTTTTTTTTTTTTTTTTTTTTTTTTTTTTTTTGCTGACTTTCCATTGCGCTTTCGTTTATGATCTCGCGTCGTCTTGTGCTCATCCCCAAATGCAAACCCCTTCCTTTTTTTTCCTTTTTTTGCCAACTGCTCATCCAAACCATTCTTTGAACACGTTAGGGCGCTGACGACCATGAAGAACCGCTTGAAAGGCGCTCAGAAGGGTCACTCGCTGCTCAAGAAGAAGGCCGACGCGCTGTCGCTGCGCTTCCGCTCGATTCTCGGCGCCATCATCCGAAGCAAGGAGTCGATGGGCGAGGTGATGCGCCTCGCTTCGTTCTCGCTGGCGGAGGCCAAGTTCGTCGCCGGCGACTTTAGCCATGGCGTGATTGAGAGCGCCAAGGTGGCCAAGGTCCGCGTCCGCACCAAGACGGACAACGTTGCCGGTGTCAAGCTCCCGGTGTTTGAGCAGTACATGGACAGCGTCGGCTCGACCTTTGAGCTCGCCGGTCTGAGCAAGGGTGGCCAGCACATTGCCCGCACCCGCCTCAACTACATTGAAGCCATCAAGCTTCTCGTTGAGATTGCCTCGCTCCAGACAACCTTCATCACCCTCGACGAGGTCATCAAGATCACAAACCGCCGTGTGAACGCCATCGAGCACGTCATCATCCCCCGCATCGAAAACACCATCTCGTACATCAACTCCGAGTTGGACGAGATGGATCGTGAAGAGTTCTTCCGTCTCAAGAAGATCCAAAAAGAAGAAAAAAGGCCAGCCGCGCTGCCTCCGAGGCCAAGGCCGCCCTGGCCAACGCCGCCACCAAGCTTGCCGAAGACCAGGCTGCTGAGGCCGCCTTCGCCCAATCCAGCGCCGGCGCACCAGCTCCCGCCAAGCCCGCCAAGGGCAAGAAGGGCGACAAGGCCGCCGCCGCCGCTGCTGCTCCTGCTCCAAACTACGATATTCCAGAAGCCCTCCGCGAGGCCGCCACTGCACCAACAAATCCCTTCGAGACCGACGCCCCTGCAGACACTAGCGCTGCGGACACTGGCATGATGAGCAACCCGTTCATCACGCCAGAAGCGCATGCGGGCCAGGATATCGTATCGCAACAAGACCAGGACCTGCTGTTCTAAGCCAACAGGCTCCCACCATACCCCCCTCGTTTGTTTGTGTCACAACCCACAAAACAAAACAAAAAAACGGGGGGCCTTCAAAAGCGCTGTAACCGATCTCGTATCTTTTCTTCTTTGTTTTCCCCCTCTTTTTGCTTTGAGTGTTTTGGGGTCAATTGTTGTTGTCTTCAATCTTCAAATCGTTTTCTGTCCATTTTGTGTTGTTCATTTCGATCAACCAAACAACGCATCAAACCAAAGCAACACAAGCAGCAGGGCAATGGAGATTCTTGACTGGGCATTTTCTTTTCCTTTTCCTACGGGATGTTTCCATCGATTTTAGACCAACGCTTTGCTTTCCTTCAGCAGATGCACTCCTGGCGAGTCTTGTATGTTGCTCGATGAAGGAGACAAGGTGCGTGTGTGGCCTTGGATGCACCTGTGGACAGCAAAAGGAAAGAAGTCCAATGAAACTTTCCGAACCCACGACATGAGATGGGAAAACAAGGTGAGAACAATTGAAAAGGAGATTCTTTGAGCCAGACCAATGTATGCTATTCGAGGCATCCCCAAAACGGCGTACATAAAGAGTCAGCTGCAAGTCGTAGATGAAGAGTAATACACAATTGTTCTTTTCTTCCAGAAAGAAGTTCATCGCCATTGGTGTTTTTGTCTGTCGGGGTGGCCGTTGGGTATCAAAGCAAAGAAAATAACACAGGCTTCATGCACTCACACAACCATGCACAGCAAGTCGGCCGCTCAACGAGCATCGAGAATGCCGTTAAACTTTACAATTGGCTTTTTATTCTCAGAGCGACGTCTTCAAGATACAATACAGATGCTGAGAACGCATTGCAACACACGAAAGCGAGCGTTGGCAGAGGGTGAACGCTTGAAGATGGCTCAAGAAGCCAGAAACAAGGGACGGCCCTACGGTCTCGTGCAGTTCAACAGGGCAGCCACAGAGCGCTGAACGTGGCGCGAGTGAAGGGTGTAGGTCTTGTTGGGATGGTAAGCGAGAATGTTGATGTTGGTGGCGAGGAGTTTCTTTGTGAGGTCGAGACCAAGCGAGCGCTCCACGGCATCGAAATCGCGCGCGCCTCGAGAGAGAAGACAGAAGGTGCTGCTCACGGGAGGCGATATATCGAACGCGTCCAGAACGCCAATCAAACGCAGAAGAGCGCCTCGAGTTTCCAAGTAGAACTCCCGAAAGATCTCGTCCACAGTCTTGAACAGAAGGTCGTCTGCTAGATTGTTGAGCAGAATGAGACGCCCACCAGCAATCTCAGCGACCGCACGCTTGGCCAAATCCTCGTGGATGTCACGACGCACCAGATATGTGACAGCTTGTTGGTCGGTGAGATCACCCACTTCGACAACGCGAGCACGAGTCATTGCTGACGATTCCTTGAGCGCGGGCAGAGTCGAACCATCGCTGGTGACGAGAACAACATTGAGCAGGTTGGCGTCCGCAGCCGACTTGGCAAAATCTTGAATCACATGCAACAGTTCGGGCCCCTTCTTTGCGATCATGTCTACGGCGTCGATGACGAGCGTGGCAGGATGACCGTGCTTGGCCTTGAACTGTGCGGCGACGATCTCGAGATCAGCAACAAGAGCCTCCCAACTCTTGAATGGTTCCTCGGCCGGTTTGTCTTTCAAGGTCGCGCCACGGTCAACGAGATAGGCGTCTGCGAATTTGAATTGGTTGGGCTCAAATGCGAGAGACCCCGCCAGTAGACCCGGCACCGAGACTAACACCTCGCTTTTGACAATGTGGTAGACAATGCCAGTGCGGTTGGGTCGGATGGCGTCGAGGACGGCGCTGGTCTTGCCGCAGCCTGTTTCGCCAACGACGACGGGGTAGCGCGTCATCTCCTTGGGGCGCAGCACCCCTTCAAGCATCGCAACAACATCCGGGCGATCGATGTGGGACTTTCTGACGGGCGGGATGACGGAGCCGGCCTCGAAGCGTGCGAGCATGCGAGCTTGAACGACTTCGGGCGAGTGGGTCTTGGCGATCGTGTTCTTGTTGTCCAGCACGTGCCGAGCAACGAAAGCCGCCACAACCAAAATAATAAATGTGGCGACCGTGTTGGCGACCGCGCCGCCGATGAAACCGAACACACGCCGAAAAGCTGGCTGCTGCTGATCCGGGGCCGCAGCTGGAGCCGCAGCTGGAGCCGGAGCCGACATTTCGGGATAAAACAAGAAAAAAAAAAAGGAAGAAGAAACTAAAAACTGCGCTCAACGTTGACAATCCATTATCAACCCGTTATGAGTTGAATGATTGTACAGTATTATGCAGTCGGTCCTGATGATGCTGCGTTGTGCCGCTTTTCAAAGCGGTCTGAGTGGTTTCAACGAGACAGGTGGCTTTTTCCAGAGCCTGCCGTTTTCCCCTGTTGTCGCTCGACCTCAGGTAATTTCAATGTCTCCATTTTTTTACCAAGCTTACTGCTTTAATTTTATTTTTTCCGCATCCAACAGAGCGCGCAGACGAAATTGAGTTACTTGAAGGGTCGTCCGCATTTAGATGCTCGCTCTCTCTTATTTCTTACCATGCCGCGCCCTGTCTGTATTTCTCGAGCATTTTTTTTGCTGGCAAACCATTGAGTTTTTTTTTTTTTTTTTTTTTATTTCCTTCGATTTTCGTTGTCCAGCCAGCTCGTTCTCTTTTGCTCTGCCCTCGATCCACCCTTGCCCCTCTCTCTCTCTCTTTCTCCCCGTCCACGCTTGACTTACGGGTGGTCTCCAGCTAACTACTTTACACCATGCTCTAGAAACCGCCAGCATCAATGACTTTTTGTTTGAACAGCAGCAAACGACCTGAACGACTACAAAAAAAAAAAAAAAAAATTCTGCTTGGCCGCACTATTTTTTTATATTTTTCCCTCGCGCTTTTTTTTTCCCCCTCCTTGTCTGTGGCTGTCGTGGAGGCCTCCGCGATAAGCACTGGCCCTTCTTCATCCTTCTTGTCTGTTGTGTGTGCAGCAGCCGCGCAATCAGCCTTCCGGCCTTCCGCACGGTGCTGAGGCCAAAAACCTTCACTGCTTGCTTTTCTTTTTTTTTTCTTTTCTTTTCTTTTTTTTTTTTTTCTTTTTAACTTTTCTTTGATTTTCGTTCTTTTCCACGCGGTTGATTTTTTTTTTTTTTTTGAGTTTTGTCGTTCTCGTCGTTGCTGTCGGAAAAGTCGCTGCCGGTTGATGGAACAAGGGCTATGTGGTTTTCGTGGACGACTCACTTGGCGAACGTTGGTATTTGGGAGACTGGGAGAGGTCTGGCAGGCTGGCTTGTTGGTGAACGGCAGGGAGACGAGCGGGAAGTGGATCGGATTGAAAGCGAAAAATGAAAAAAAATCGAAAAGCTCAATGCCTTTCAGCATGATGCACGGAAAGAGCAAACTAGCAGCTCCTCATGAAACGAACGGAGCACTCGATGGACTTGTTCTTCAGTGCTATTTACACAACACGAAATGAAAGAGGTCGATGTGTGCTGCCGCCAACTGCATGTGCCACTTTGATGCGAGCGAGCTTTTTTTTTTTTTTTCGGTTCCCGCATTTTTGGCTGGCTTTGCATTGGCTGGCGCTCCATTGAATTATTTTTTTTTCAAGTCCCTACCCTTTGCTTGGGTTTTTTGTCGGAAAGCGCTTGCTTAAGCTTCCTCTGGCACCACTTTTGAGCTTTGTTTGGGTATTGGTTTGGACTGTGGTAGTGTCGTCCGTGGTCTCTGTGGCAAAAGAGACGAAAAACGCTGGACAGCAGTGAAAAAAGATGAAAATAAAAAAGCAAACGAAAAAGTCAAAAAAAAAAAACGAGGCGATCTCGCTTTTTTTCGTTTTTTTTTTTTTTGCTTTTTTTATTGAATCCGGGCCGCCATGATGCTCACGCTTGATGGCTTGGCCCCTTCCTGCTGACGATGGGTTTGCAGTGTGTTGTTGATGCAATGTCCAATCGGAATGGGTTTGGGGGAGCAACGCTCGCGACGATTGCCCGAATGGAAAAACTCGAAGCGCCCATCTGCTAGCAGCCACCAGTGCCCCGTGGTCCTCGTGTTGCTGGCTGTTTGGTGTGTTTGCTCTTGTTTGACATTTTGCATTTCGTACTGTTGTTCCTCTTTCCCATCCTGTGTGTGTTTTTGTCCTCACGTCGCGCTCTGATTGTTGAAAGCCAAACTTTTTTTTGCTTTTTTTTTTTTTTTTTTTTTTTCGTTCCATGTGCTGTTGCTTTTTTTTTTTTTTTTTCGCTTTTTTTTCGCTTTTTTTTTTTTTTTTTTTTTTTTTTTGTTTTCTTCATCCTCTTTTTGGCTGAACAATGGCGACTCGTTGGACAAGTTCACTCGCGTTTGGTTGTATGCGTCGATAGCCCCTGCTTTCTCCATTCCGCTGCTCTCGATGAAACATGGCGTATCTGTTCTGGCAGATCGTGTCGTGTGCAGCAAGGCTCTGGTGTTTTTGTACTTTGGCCCTTTTGGACCACCTCGACTTTTTGCCACATGTCCGATTTGCCCAACGTTGCCTCTTGGTTGGTCGCGCCAGTCGAATGTCCTTTTGCCGCTTTACTGTTGTCGATGCCTCTTTTTTGCCTCTTTTTTTTGCCCTCGTCTCTTTTGCTTTGATCCTCTGCAGGCTCTAAGACTGTCAAGACTCCTCGCCGCCCTTACGAGAAGGAGCGTCTCGACCGCGAGCTCAAGCTCGTCGGTGAGTTCGGTCTCCGCAACAAGAGCGAAGTCTGGCGTGTCCAGCTCACCCTTGCCAAGATCCGCAAGGCTGCCCGTGAGCTCCTCACCCTCGACGACAAGGATTCCCGCCGTCTCTTTGAGGGCAATGCTCTCCTTCGCCGCCTCGTCCGCATTGGTGTCCTCGACGAGTCCCGCATGCGCCTCGATTTCGTTCTTGGCCTGAAGGTCGAGGATTTCCTCGAGCGTCGCCTCCAGACCCAGGTTTTCAAGCTCGGTCTTGCCAAGTCGATCCACCACGCCCGCGTCCTCATCCGCCAGCGCCACATCCGCGTCGGCAAGCAGATCGTCAACGTCCCCTCGTTCGTCGTCCGCCTTGACTCGCAAAAGCACATTGACTTTGCCCTCAACTCGCCCTTCGGCGGTGGCCGCGCTGGTCGCAACAAGCGCAAGGCCTCCAAGAAGGCTGACGCCCCCGCTGAGGAGGCTGATGAGGAATAAATCCAGTTTTAACGGTAGCTCTGCTTATCGAAAAGCTCGTCCATTTCGTGCCTTTGTCCTCCGTAAAACATTGTTCCCGCTTAAAATACAAAATCCCAAAGTTTGCTTTTTTTTTTTTTTTCCTTTTTTTTTTTCTTTTTTTTTTGTGTGTGTGTCAAAGTGTTTACAGTTGCAGGATAGTTTTGTTCATACATGACAAGTGGCGCATTACGATTGCTCCTCCATCAAAATGTCATCGCAGATCCATCATTAGCTCGATGCGCATCAACATGATCCAGCGCCTCGATTTCTTCAACGCTTGTTCGCACATGCAGGCCCTTCTCTTGCATGAGATCGACCACATCTTGGAGCGAATCGTCCCAATCGTGCGGATTGCGCACCATTTGGAGTTGTGTGGCGAGATCGGGATGGAGAGGTCCGCGGTACAAGCCGCACTGGATGGCGTCCAGATACAGCACCTTTGCCCAAGGGCACTGCTGCAGCGCGCGAACAAACACACCGGTGAGTCGCTGGCGCTGGCGACGGTGGCGGCGCCTCCGTTCATCCTCCAGGCGCTTGTGAAATCCCGATTTCAGGCGTTCGAGTTCTGCGTTTTCTGCACCATCGCCAGTGGTCTGGTGCTGTTGTGGTGGTGCTGCTGCCGACGTCGGCTGCAAGAAGCGGAGTCGCTCGGCTTGGAGCAGTTGTTGGCCTTCCTGGCGCTCCAGAAGGCCACTCGTCTTCGTTTCGAGCGTCACAAGCAAATCGCGCTCTCGCACGCGAGCCGCCGCCTCCTCGCGGAAAACGCAGGACGCTTCAAACTGCAAAAACATGCGCCAAAGCGGAACGCAGTGGCGCACCTCGGACTGGAATTGCCCTTCGCACTGTCGACTCGTCGGATCAAACGCCCGCGCCAACACGGCACGAATGCGGTTGATCCTGCCTTGCATCGACTCGGTCTCTTCGTCAAACCCTCCTGCTTGATGCACGCGCGAGCCAGCGGTACGCTCGTCCTCGATGGCGAACGCGAGGCCCAGCGGTCCGCTCTCCATTGCCAACTCGCCGAGACCGGACAACAGCCGCTGATAGCGGCCCTGCTCCCGCCGCAACGCGTGCCAGGCTCGACGTAGGAGCAGACTGTGTGGAAACCACTGCAGTCCCCGGCCCATGACGCTTTTGCCGAGCTCGCTCGGAACTCTTCCACTCACCAGCGAAGTTCCGAGGGAAGAGCAGTGCGTCACCAGGAGCGACGCCGTGCCAAACACTTGCTCTAGCATGATGCAGCCAACCTGTAAATCGGCGTAATACCCACGAGTCCCGTGGTAGAACAATGGCGAATGGTAGGAGAGTGGCTTGTCGGCAATGGCCTGCGCATTCCCAGTCAGCAAAATGGTAGCCAAGGGGCTATTGCTACCGCCTCTTCTCGAGCCGGCTGCTGCTAAATCGGCTTGCGCAGCGTCGTTGTCGCGAACGCGATGAACCAGAGCGGCAACGCTGGAGACCAACCCCGCCAAGGTTTCTACAGCAGACTCGGTGCCGTCTAGAAGCTGTTGCGCCCATGTCCAGTTCAAGCACGGGAGAGTAGCTTCTGGAGTCAAGGCTGCTAGGACTGATTGAAGCAGCGCGCGGACTTCGCCATCTGATAGCGAGACGAGGTCCCGTCCGCCGACCAGTTGCAGCATTGCCTGGCGCAATGCCGCCGTCGTGTCGCTATAGAATGTACGCGTACGTAGAATGCTGAGATCAGATGGCGCAGCTCCAAGATCGGAAGCGGAGGCCGATTGCGGCGAGGCAGCCAAAACAAGCAGCTGCAAACAACGCGCACGTGCCGCAGCGTCGCGGGCATCGAGCAGAGCCAGCCGCAGACGCAGGCGGTCGGCCTCTCCGCTACTGGAGCCCGCCAGCGTTCCAGCGTGCAGCTGGGCCAGCAAGTCCCGTAAGTGGCGTCGTTCTCCCTGCCTTGGACCAGCGACCAGAACTAGCTCAGCCCGCACAAGCGTATTGATGACCCCGTGCAGGGTGGCGGCATCAAGCATGGAGGCGGTGGTTGCAAATACTTTGGCCATGGTTTTGCGAGCTTGGTTGAGAAGCTTTTCGACTGAGGGCACAATGCTTGCCACTGCGCTGCTTGCTTCTATGCGTTCGCCCCTTGCTTCAATGCGTTCGCTCCATCGAGCGTGCTCGTAGTCGATCAGTGCATACGCAAGCCACACGCGAACATCATTGCGAAACCATTTCTGCTCTAGAATTGCTCGAGCCTGCGCACGTGCCAAGTCAAACTGCTGGGTCGCCTCAGGCTCAAACACGCCGCAGCTGTCGCTGTATGGTATCAGTATGCTCAGCACGGCAAAACCTGCGTGTCCTTTACACAGGTGCTGCAGCGTCTGCTGCGTGATGGCTGCAAGCTTTTCGCGCGCATGAGCCAGCGTTGGACGAATTGGGCGGGAAAAGACATCCCGTGGCTCGTTTGAAACATGCTCACTCGGCAGCCCATGTGGCGAAAACTCAATTTGGGTCATTGCCAAGTGTTGGGCGTGAGCATCGAGCGAACAAGCATGCGCGAATAGGGCGTAGGTGGCCAAACCCGCGTTTTGCGGCGCTTGCTCGGATGACAATCCCGGGACGGACGACGATATCGTGGCTGTCAGAGGGAGGGCTTCGAGCAGCTGCCGCCCGCCAAGGAACTCGACAAACCTCCAGAGCAGGGCCTCTTTGATTTCTGGCGCTGTAATGCGAAACAGAAACGCGGAAATGTCCTCAAACAGGACAACCTGCTCTGGATCGCGCTCAATCAGCTCATCCAACGTCGCAGCAGCCTCAAGATTGCCAAGCGTGTCGGCATCCTGAGGAGGCATTCGCAGTGGTCGCCAATGGTGTGAGTCCCGCTTCAGTTCAGCATTGAGCCACAAATCCACCGTTCTGCCATCAGCCGACTGGGATGCCGCCAAGGGCCTTTCAACAGGCTGTCGTGCAAGAGTTTCTGCGTATACACTGAATTCGGCATCTTCTTGCGACAGGGATGGAGGAGTTGGTGACGAAGCTCGCATTCCTGAAACTGGAATGTCGTGTTGGGCCGCCGTCTGATTCACAACATGTTGCGTGTGCCAAGCACGCCAGCCAGCGGCTCCAGCATCGCTAAATCGTGGAACGCTGCTGTCCCAAAACGGCTCAAAGAAGGCCAGCAACCCTTTCAAAGTGGTCTTGGTGCTCGGCGTTAGGACGGGATCCATCGTGGTAGGTGCAAACCAACATAATTCGACGAGCGCCTGATACAGCGCAACCGCTTTTTCGGGGCATCCGCTATCGCGAAGAAAGTCGCAAAGCTGCGATGTAATGTCAAGCAAGTCACGCTGGATGGCGATCGTCGCGGCGGCCAAGGTCGGAGCAGCGGTTTCGGCAACGGCGAGCGTCTCGCGAATCGTCCGTTCGTTGATGCCCGAAAGCGTGGAAAAGCACTTGCGATATCCGCTCAGGCACGTGGCCATGGAGAACGTGGCAACGTGGGATTGGCAAAACAGCAAGTACTCGCGCCACATGACGAGGTGGGTGGAGAACTGAAAAATAATGCGCTCCCACTGCTCGGCCAGCTTGGCGCTCGGCCAGAGCTCGTGCCCAAGGCTGAGGTAACGGCGAGCAAGCTCGGGACTGGCTGGATTTTCCCGGAGCGCTCGCTCGAGAATCGCCAACTGCATCTCGGCCACCGCCATCCTCGGTGCCGAACTGCGATTCCATGCTTGAGCTTTGCCAGTTGCTTGAGATTTGCCAGTTGTTTGGGCTGACTGCTGGAAGAAGGAGGCAAAGCCGCCAGAGTGGAGAGAAAGGAGGGTTTCTTGAAACTCCACCAAGCGCATCCATCCGTCCACATTTCGAGGATGAAGCCGCACAAACTCATTCAACCTCCCAAGTTCCGCGGCTACAGAGGCATCGGTTGGATCGACTTCGTCGGCGAGGTCCTCGACCTGCGACGGACGCGTAGACGCGTCGACAGGATGCGCCAAGTTCGATGATTGCAAGAGCGGCGGTGGTGTGTGTTCGCCCGTCACGCCTTCCCACAGCAGAGCTGCGATATGGTTGGTTGTACGTGTTGCATCGACCTCCCTTTGTGCATTGGGCCCAGAGAGCGGGTTGGCAGCCTTGTCCGAAAGAGGGACAAAGTTGACATCTGTGTTTGCTGCTGTTCCGCTCGTCGAGCTCGATTGCGGAGGAGGTCGGAAGGTACGCGTGCCCGATTTGAGCAAGCTGCGCTTTGCATCAACATGAGACAATCGGTATGCGTCGCTCCCTCCTTGAGTAGTATTTTTGGATCTGAAAAATCTCCACCAACAAATCGAGTGTTGAGCATTTCGCACGGACAAGTGAGTCAAGCCAACAAAGCGCGAGCATCCGCAGCAGGATTGATTGAAAGACACAGCATAAAACAATACAGATTGAAAGACACAGCATAAAACAATACACTCACCGGGACCGAGTAAACTGATCATTGAGCGCAATGAACTGGTGCTCTCGTCGTCGACCAAGGATGAAATCGCCCCATCGGCGGTAGTACGAGGCAGTGTCCTGGCTGTACAGCGTCGGGTAGGAAAAGTTATTGCGATCGCCGGTCTTATCAGCAAAGTACGGCACAAATGAAGATAACGATTCGTCCGAGCGAAACGAGTCGACAACACTGCCAACAGTCGCCGTCGCCGTCCAAGCAAGAAAGGCCTTGCCGCCTGGGTAGTCGTCGAGCCAGACCGAGATAGGGCGTGTGGATCGGAGAGTGCTTTGGCTTGCACCGAGAGTGCCACGAATCGCTGGTGCAGCCGAGACGGTGGGTGTGGTTGAGATCGATGGCTCGTCGCCGCGTCGCCCTTCGCGCGTTGAGCTTCGGTGATGATGACGGTGGTCAGAGCTTTTCGACGAGTGCCGTTGGTCTTCTCGGTCTCTTGAGTCGCGACTCTCTTTGCTGGAGCGTTCATGGCGACGATCGTCATGCGAACGACTGCGATGATGGTGCCTGTCGTCTTCGCGATGGGACCGCCTGTGCTTGTGTGATTTGCTCTCCTTGTCCCGTTTCGAGCTGCTTTTATGCTCTCTATGGACTTCGTGCTTGGAGTGGCGGTCGCGGTGTCTGCGATCACGCCTGTCCTCGTCGTCGTCGGAGCCTGCATCCGAATTGGACGACGACAAACCCGAGCTCGAGTCACGTCTCCTTCGACTCGATCGCGATCTCTCGCGGGCTTCAAGTGATAGAGATGACGACAATGACGACGATTTCGGATCGTCTCGTGGTCGGGATGAGCCAGCGGGCGCTTGAATGTGAGCTTCTTGCGCTGGGCGAGCGATCGCAGCAGAAGCAGTGCTAAAGCTGCCAAAGCTGCTCGACGTCAGTGCAGATGCGGCCGCTGAACTTGCATTGGAGTACTCTGCCATCTGTGCAGCGTGGCTGCTGGCGTTGCTTGACAGCGGCCTGGCGAACGGGTCGGACGGCAGCAGCGCCGCATTGAACACTGGGAACGAGGCAGCCGTAGCATTGCTAGTCGACCAGCCGCTCGTCGAATGCGACACGGTGGAGCCATCCAAAGCATGGCCAGGAACGCTGCCTGCTTGGAGTGGACGCTGGTTGGTGAGCAGTGTGGATGACGACGACAGCGGTTGATTCTGAGCAGCAGCGGATGCAAACAATGGCGTGCGTTGTCGCTCTGGCTGCGTTATAGCTAGAGAAGCAAGATGATGGGTGTGGTGTGGCTCTGATGTTGCGGCTGGAGCTCGAGATGAGCGGTCTTGCTCAGCCGGCGCAGAGTGAGAGACGCCCGAAGGAAAGAGCGGCATTCAGAGATTCAGAGAGATAAACAACAGAATCTCAGAACGCGGATCAATCTCAAAACTCAGAACATGAACGACGACGACACCAAAAAAATCAAAAACAATGAAACAAAATAACGACTGAAACGGGCTGAAAATGAATGTAATGATTGGATAAAGAATGACTGTCGAGAGGCTTTTCTCAATGAGGCACGCGATGGCGCGGGCGGGGGGGGAAGGAAAAGCCAATGTTGAAAAGTACAGAAAAAAAAACTAACACTTAACAAGAGATCGTTACATCTCAGTTGGTCGGCGGCGGTTGCCGTGAAAAGCACAAGATGCTTTGAAATTCATTGTGCGCTCGTCGACGGAGAGCGGTGCGGCAGTGCAAGCCGTCGCGAGCAAGAATAGCTGCAATCTCGGCGGGGTCATTCTCATCGATAGTCAGGAGGTAAAACCGCCCAGTTGGGGACAAGATCGAAGCGACCAGTGGAAGCAAGCGGTCCGTCACACGTCGACCTCGCAACCCGCCAGCCCAAGCAGCCGAAATGTCTCTTGACGAAGTGACCTCTTCGTCCTCGGTAACCACATACGGCGGATTGAACACGAGCACGTCGACCAATCCGGCAAGTCGAAGTCCGCCCGTCAAATCGCCAACAAGAACATCGACCGTCTGATCGCCATTGTACTGCGCCGTCTGCGCTGTTGCTTCTGCAGCCCTTGTGTTGATATCGACAGCTCTGTGCAAAGGCAATTGTTCCAACATTCGAGATTGAGTGTTCACAAACAAACAAGCAAACCAAACAAACAACAAAACACAAACCCAAAAACTCTGAGAAATCAGTCCATCTATGGTCATCGCCGGCTTGTGGGGGGGGGAGAACTGAGAAAACTATTGATAACGTACAAGCACAATGCATTGGCGCGCCCGAGCATCTGAGCAAGAAACGTCGTGACGATGCCGCTGCCTGGTCCAATCTCGAGGCAGACTCGCGGGACCAGTGGCGCGTGGTCGTGGTCGTGGTTGTGCTGAGCGCGAGGACCAAAGTCTTGCTGGAGCGCATCGAGCATCAGGAAGGTGTCTTCTGCTGGCTCGTAGACATGCTCAAAGCCGCCCTTGCGGAGATGGCTCGTGTCGGGTGTGGGCAGCTCGTCGTCTGCAAACAAGCTGCTCATGTCAAAAGTGAGATTGAACCTGAGATGGTAACAATAATGACTGAGATCAAAAATAAAAAGATTCAGGCTCTATTGTGCAGTAAACAGATGAATCATGTCGGAGGAGAAACACATTGCTGAACAAGAAGCGAATGTGAGACATCGTGCTTAGCTCTCATTCGCAGTGATTTTTTTTCGCGATTGGAACAATCATGACAAGACATGCATCTTTGAGACGTGATCTGAACAGTGAAGAGTAAAGAGGGTTTCTTTTGGTTTTGAACTGCTGCCTGCAGAAATAATACATGACAAGGCGGTTTCAAAACACGCCCAACAAGAGAAGAGCGACAACAAGCAGCAGTAGCAGAGCAAGGCCGATCACCAAAATGACTGAACTGGCTGATCGTCCTGTTGTTGGTTGAAGAAGCCGTGGAAGCAAGCAATCGAAGGGGAAGTGAGTGATGGGCGTCGATTCTCAACTTTCCAAAAACCTCCAAATCCCCCGCGTTGTTCTCAAACATACCAGCTCGCAGGCGGGACGGAGTGGCAAAACTCAGGGTATCCGCAGAGACGCTCACCAGGTGCGAGCCACTTTGAGTGAATGCGAGCGCAGTGATGAACAGCTCGTGCAAGTTATCGACTCGAGCGGAAATCTGGCGTGTGTGAGGTCCAAAAACGAGCCAAGATGTCAACATGAGTAAAGGCAAAATGGGTTGATTCGCCAACTTCAAACAAAGTTTCGCTTACCGTCCACGAAGCGACATCTACTACCGCGACGCTTCCCTCTGCGTCACCGACACCGACGAACGCTCCATTGGGGCTGCCGTGTCAAATTGAAGAATCAGATCGTGAGGTCCTTTTGTTGAAGAGTGAAACCAACCCTCCAGCTCAAGCGGACACGAGACGTACCTGACGTTCATGGCAGTGATTGGAACTGGGCCCAACACAATGATGGATCGGCCAATCGGAGTCCAGCTGGACGTGTTCCACTTTACGAGGCGAGATTGGTGTTTTGGCAAAGAGTGAGCAGAAATGAAGACAACTTGCCCGTCTGGCTGCGTGGCAAAACTGTAGAAAGCAAGCGAAACAAACCAAAACAACCAATTGTCAACAAATCGATTGAACTCGGAAGCATCAGCTTGTCCACCCTGACAATTCCCAGTGCAACAAAATGTCGCAATTGTGAAAATGACACGCACCGACCAGCTTGGATCTTGTAGTCCTTTGCAGAGTTCCACTTGGGATCAGATTTCAAAGTATGAGTTAGTTGCGCCGTCTTGAGGCTCCAGATCGTCATCTAAACACGGAAAACCAACAAGCGTGAATGGTTTTTATGAGTGAACAAGTCAAGTCATGGCCGGGCCTCGGGCTCTCGCGGAAGAAAAGAAAAGTCCAGCCAAAACCGACCTCTTTGGTCTCGCTGATTGCAGCCACCCAGGAGCTGTCCGGCGAAATGTCCACGGTCTTCAGTCGATGACCTCCGGTCGCAAATGAATGTAGCAATTCACGCGACTTTGCATCCCAGACACGAGCCTGTTGATGATGGGCACATTGTGAGACTCCAATCCGAAGCAAAAACGAGAGCAACCAACCACCTCGATCGATCGACAACCGCTTCGTACCATGCCATCCGTTCCTCCAGTCACCAGATGCTTGCCATTGGCGCTAAAGTTGCAGGACTTTTGAAACGGCTCTGTCGGTGCGAAATCCGATACAACTTCTCCGGTTTGTTCGGCCGATTCGGCATCCAGCGCGACTTTAAACCAGCGAAAAAAAATAAAAATAATAATAAAAGCAAGAGGCCAGGCGGTTGAGCACACTCCTGATGCACATGCATCTCATATACACTTTCGATAGCTGATGCTATCTCCATCGAGGAGTGGTAACGCACCGACAAAGCTCGTCCATGCCAGCAGCGAGGATTGGCTCGGTCGGATGGGCCGCGACGTTCATGATGGCCCTGTCGCCGCGCGCAATGCCACACGCATGCCGGAACAGCGCCGTCCCTGGTGTCTGCGCGACGGCCTGTGCGCTCGGGTTGGTCGGCACTAGAATCTCCTGTGCAGATTGAGCAGCAGTCCAAGTCAGCAGAAACCAACACGACACGTCCACGTTGCCGCCGCCAATTCAAATGCCCCCTCCTCATAGTAACAGTGTTTGGGGGTGTCTGTTTTTGTTCTTGAAGGGGGTGGGAGAGGACCTTGAGGTTGAGGTTGGGTATAAGCTGTTGCATTGGTACACTCACAGCGCCGTTCGGAACGCCCGTGTTGGACGCGCCGCCGCCGCCAGCAATGACAAGCGCACCGGACGCAAGCACAGTTGCAGCGTAGAGTGGGTACGCGGCCTTCATCACGAGCACCGACGGCCCTTTCGTTGGCTGCACGGCTGACGGCAAGATTTCAGTCGTCGCTGCAGTCTTGGCTGGCTTTGCTTGGGATGGCTTCTCAGACATGGTTTGAATGAATACGTCGATCAGAATATCAATCTCAACACTCGAAAAGAACACAACACAAATTCAAAACAAAAGAGTGACTGAACAGCTCAGCTGAGAAATCAATCTAAATCACTTGAGAAAATCAGAGCGAACATTTTACACTTTGCAATGCAGCTCCAGTCCAAGTCCAAGTCCACTCAAGTCGGCAAATTCATATAGCCCAAGTCCAATTCAACTCAGCTCTTCATTCAGTCATTTAAGTTTCAATATCGCAATGGATAATCAGCCCGTCAAGCAGATTGTCAAAGCACTGAACGAGTCGTCGAACAGCAGCACTCCGGCAGCAGCATCCACGACCACCACCGCCAACGAGGTCACGACGCCGCGCCGGGTGATCAAGGAAGTGCGTGACAGCGCAACTGCAGCTGCTGCGGCGGTCTCACGGACGCTCTCGATGGACACGATGATCACCAACGGCAGCAGCAACACGAGCGAAACCACAGGAGGACCATTGACCGCGTCGTCCTCGGCATCGTCAATCTCGTCGCCGTACTCGCTGGTCTCTGCGCCCGCATCGGCATCGGCGTCTGCGTCGTCGATCACCCACTCTGGCGCCCCTGCTGCTGCGGGCGGGACCACTACTGGGCTCTTCTCGCCGCTGCTCCATCCATACGCGACGCCCGTCGGCTCGTCCGCCGTGCCGCCGCCGCTCGCCCTGCTCGGCCACCCCGTCGCCGCGTCGTCCCGCTCGGGTGTCCGCTTCAGCTACCGCCTCATGAGCGAGCGCAATGCCGAGTGGTCAGTTCACTTCAAAACCCCCCCCACCTCGATGGATGATGAAGGGACACAATCATGAGCACAGGGCACGTGCGGTTGTTGAACCGGTTTGGATTGGTCACGACAGAAGCAACCAGGGCCGGAGCAGGTGGGGGGGGGATGAAAGGGGAGAGGAGAAGGTCTAGTATGAATGCACTTGTAAGAAGTGGGGGATCCGGGGAGCGGGGCGCGAAAGGGCTCTTTGGAGTGAACCGAAGCAGAATGAAAGGGAAAACAAAAAAAAAAAAAAACAGGAAGCAGTTGGCTGCGAATTTGACAGCTGTTGATGTATCTGAGATCATACCGTGCTCTGAGACTCGAGCTAAGGCTGATGTTGAGACTGAAAGCAAATGGGAGACCATTTCCCATTCCAGTGAAATGCAGCGTAGGGGACAAAAAAAAACCCCTCACCAATCAACTTGAAATCTTCAACTCGCACACATACAGGAGCGAGAATTACATTGCTTACAACCATCTCAAGGCGCTGATCAGCGAGGTCGAAAGCTCCGCAGACCGCGCATCGCCCAGTTGAGTGCCTCGCTTGTTGGTTTCTCTTTGAGAATTTCCCGCTCCGTTCACTCAAGTCTAAGTTGTTGGTTTTTTTTTTTTTGCAGAATTGGCAGAGTTCCGCACGCGCATTGAAACCGAGCTGGCCAAAAAGAACTGGAATTGTGCTGCCCTCCATCATCATCATCATCATCATCACCATCATCATCATCATCATCATCATCATTTCTGCAAAAAGAACTGGAATTGTGCTGCACTCCATCATCATCATCATTCTCACTTTGAATCCATCCAAACACAGGCGACTCTGTTTGCTAGTGCTAGCGAGTCAGAGAAACTTCGACATGGCGAGGATCTTCAACGCTCTATGCGCGATTTGTATGTCCAGACCTTCCTTCTCGAAGAATTTGGCTCGCTCAACGTGATGGGTTTTCAGCGGGTTCTTGCCAAGGTAGAGCTTCTCACGAGGGCTGGTGCAGTAGCGTTTAGAGCGCGACACTTGCAGGTGGCTCACCGTTGTTCCCTTCCGCGAAGTACGATTTGCGCGTCAAATCCACAGTGTCGCTTTCAGAAGAGTATGTGGAGGCGGTCGCCAAGTCCAATTTCGCCAACACGGACGACCTGACAGTCATGACCACTGGGCTTGAGGTATTGGATGCAACTAATGTTCTGGCAACGAGTTCCGAAAGGGCGAAAGGGGTCATCAACATTGAACTGACCTGCTGCATGATTGTCCAGAAACTGTACGCGGATACGTTCGAAAATGGCAATCGCCGCAAAGCAGTCGCTGTGCTGACGACTTTCCTTCAGTCCGGTATGCATTGATTGTGCTTGGGAGGGGGGTGTTCCGCACGTTTAGTTGCATTCGCTGAATGCCTGCTCGCAACCGCCAAAACAGATCCGCGAACTCAACCTCAGCCAATCCCGCAAAACCTCCTCTCCAAGAAGGGGTGGATTATCGACATGGACGGCGTGCTGTACTACCAGAATCACTTGCTGCCAGGCGTGATTGAGTTTGTCGAGTGGCTCAAGACAGAAAAGAAGCGCTTCCTCTTTTTGACAAACTCGTCCGAGCGCTCGCCCAAGGAGCTGCAGCAGAAGCTTGGACGACTGGGCATTCACGTCGGCGAGACCCAGTTTTACAACTCGTCGCTGTCGACTGCCGAGTTCCTCCAACGCCAAAAGCCCAACGGCTCTGCGTTCGTCATCGGTGAAGCTGGTCTGATCTCGGCTTTGTACGAGGTCGGCTACACCATGAATGAGATTGACCCTGACTATGGTAATGACTTGCCGACACAACACGCAATTTGTTTACCAGTATCCCTTCAACTCGAGGATTTTGTTGCTCAGGCCCTAATCTTGTGAACCCCTTTTGGAAAATAGTTGTCATAGGAGAAACTCGAAACTACAACTACGAGCGCATGCAACTGGCCGTCAACTTGGTGCGTCGTGGTGCCAAGCTGATTGGCACGAACGTTGACGTCTACGACAAGGCGCTCAACGGCGTGAGTCCCGGAACCGCCTGTCTCGTGGCTCCGATTGAGCTTGCCACGGGTAGCAAGGCTTATTACTTGGGTAGTGTGACTTCTTTTGCTTGTTGAAGAACTGACGCGAAAATGGCCCACGACTAATGCGAGCTTGTTGGGCGTGCTTGTCTGCAGGCAAACCCAATCCTCTGATGCTGCGATCGGCCATGCGGAAGCTTGGCTGTGATGCCAAAGATACCGTCATTATCGGAGACCGAATGGATACGGACATTATTGGCGGTATCGAGTCGGGAATCGAGACCATTCTTGTCTTGTCCGGAGTCACCTCGATGGACGAGCTCAAGCGCTACGCATACCGTCCGGACCACATCATGGGCTCTGTGTCTGACATTGCGGCATTGAGCAAGGTTCACTCCTAGGTGCAAACCAAACGGCCATTCGTTTCAATGCCGTACTGAATTGATTCTTCTGGTTGATGGTGATTGATGAAAAAAAAAAAAAAAAGTCGTTTGTTTGTGCAATTCGACCTTTTGTCTGCGAAAACCAAATTATTCGTGTTTGCTCGTTTTGCATTCGGGAGGAAGTTTCACTCCATCTTGTATCTCTTTGCGCCCTGTTCCTACTTGCGAGACTTTTCGTTGCTGAATTTGGGGAACAGCAAACACTCACCGAGCCCTTCCCTCAAGAGCGCGGTTTTTTTTCTTGGTCAAATGCTGCATCATATTGTCAAGCAACCGCGCGCTTCTGTGCGTCAGGACTGCGGTACCAAAATGCGAAACCGACAGGATCGAAATCGGAGGATGTGGACCGTTCCGATGATGACCCTCGCCATTCTTCTCGTTGCAACTGCGAACGACTTCCCAACGACCGCTGCCCTTCCAACAGACACAAAGGCGAGCGGCGCCTTAGAACGGCAAGCGGACGGACTTGGAGATATGAGCACGAGCGCAGAAACCGCGCCGCTCAAGCTTGGAAGACGGCTTGATGCTGATTCGGAAACAACTGCGTCGGACTCGAATGCCGCCCCGCTTCAGTCCCCCGCACAGCAGCTCTGCACTATGCGGGTCTATGCGATGGGCCGTGATGGAGAAAACCAAGAGTTGTACGGCAAGTACGCGCCCTCCCTCTTCGGGCCCGCTATCCTCGGCTCTAATCTTCCCGGCGTTCTTGTCAACCTGGGTCAGTTCGACCCGTGCAAGCCACTCCCGACGCAGTCCCGCTCAACTCAGTGGATAGCTTTGCTGGGTATCAGCAGTGCTTGTCCTATTGCAACACAGGTATGTTTGTTGGAAGCAGGCGGCCGCAAAGAAGGAATAAAAGTTGGGTGGCGTTCTTCTTTTGTGTGTTTTCGGCTGTTTTTGTTCTCAGATAATTTTGCGGTGTCTTCCTTTTATTTTCCGGCCTTCATGTCTCCTTCCTTCTTTTTATTGACGCATGTGTGCGTGTGCCACCATCCCTTTGCTGCGCGCGTTCGCTCAAGCTGTCCGTTCCCTCATTCATTCCCGTGTTTGTTTTTGGGGGACAGGTTGCTCGAGCGGCAGATGCCGGAGCGAGTGCTGCATTGTATGCAGTTACATCAATCCCACCTCAGGGTGCCGTAGAGCCAGAGGGTGGCACGGACGTCGGCGTTCGCGGATATGTAGTGTCTGGAGCCATTTCGTCCGGCACTCGCCTCGCCTTGGTCGATCTTCTCGGCAGCAGTAGCTCGATCTGGGTAAGCATCAAGCACGGGACGAGAAGCACGTCCCAATTTCACACAATACCTTTTGATGTAATCGCTGACCGCTTCATTGGTTGTTTGCAGGTTGTGCTCTATCCGCCAGACTCAGATGGACCCGATTCAGCAGATTCAGGTCTGAGCACAGCGACTGTTTGGGGGATCATCGTCGGTTGCATTCTTGCGTTTGCCATCGCGGCCGCAATAATCAGCTACTGGAGCACGCGCAACATGCCTGCGAACGCCCACGGACAACATCCCGAGACCAAAACGCTGACCCAAGAACAAGTCAATAGTCTCCCAACACGAACATTCCAAGCACCGAAGAAAGCAACGGCGTCGCGGGCGCTCGACGCTTCAGGCCCAGTGTCTCGTGGACAACAAGGAACGGAGCGAGGGGCAGTCGACGCCGATTCCCAAGAGACCGCCCCTCCTACCGCAGATCAAGTGTCGCTAGCTTCAACTGTGTGCGAAGAAACGTGCGTCATATGCCTGGATGACTTTAAGGAAGGAGACACGCTCCGCTGTCTTCCTTGCTCCCACGACTTTCACCAAAACTGCGTCGATCAATGGCTGCTCACGAAAAATCGCGCCTGTCCGCTGTGTCGCTCGCAGCCGTTTGCCGAGACCTTGAGTGACAATAGCTCACAGAGTGACGACCTTGAACTGGTGCTGTCTCCGTCTGCCGAGCAATCACCAGAGCGGCAAACGCGGATTGAGGCTTCGCTCGATGCGGCAGTGTCCGAGGCCATTGTCTTGTTTCAAGAGGCCACGCAGCTACACGAACGGCCAATGCGGCACACTGGAGGTCAACATGCAGATGTTACCGCAGTAGCCAGTCTCAATGATGGTACGCAGCACTCCGGCAGCTCTTTGAGTACTCGGCGACCGCAAATGTCGTTGCTCCACGTTTGGAATGCAAGGCGGGCTAGTTCGACAGTGCTGCGAGCGTCGCAGCTCCTTCCTCCAATCTCACCTCTAACCCCAACAAAGATACTGCAAAGCATTCGGTTTGACTCGCCCGCCGTCTCTGCCAAGCGTCGATTCAGCACCAACAGTTGCGCGATACTTGGTGTTGCTCCCCCCTCGTCCACTTTGGGGAAAGAGTCCGCGCCCAATGTACGAAGGTGCGTCACTCCGGTGGCCACGCAAGAAGGTTGATATTATTTTGGTTGGTGCTCTACCTTGTGTGTTTGTTGCAGCCTAATCTTTTCAATGCTGGTTTGTTGTTTTATATTTTGTTTTTTGTTGTTTTTGTTGTTTTTTGTTGTTTTTTGTCTCTTGGAATGATGAGAGTGTTGAAGGTCCAAGTTGCTTGAACACTTTATTGTCTGTTGCGATTGCAAATCAACAAGGCAACAACTCCAAGCCAGCTCAAAGGAACTTTCCAATTGTCTCGGAGGTCTGGAGACGAGCGGCGACAAGCTGCGGGGGATCCGATGGAAGCGGCATGCGCATGTTGGCGCAGTGAGCAGTGCCAGTGATGAGAGTGGCAGAGTTGACGGGCGAGGTGATCTGGTAAATGCCAAGGGCGTGCCAGGGATCAATGGAGCCGTGAATAAAGAAGGTGTTTGAGCCAGAAAAGTCGAGCGAGCCGTAGTAGTCGTTCGTCCAGTTCAAGCGCTTCTGGAAGTCCGCCTGCTGGTAGTTGGTGCCGAAAACGTCGTTGCACATCTGGAGGCTGAAGGAAAGCGGGAACAGGTTGCCAAACACGTGCGAGAAGGTGGAGTCTGTGGTCTGGTAAAAGCCAAACTCCTGCAGAACAGAGACCAGAAAACCGAGACGCAAAATATGGCAAAGTGAGTCTCAGGTGACTTCATTCGAGCCAGAAGCAAAAAAAAAAAAAATCAAAGACATCACCAACCTGGCAAGTCTGCCAGAGCCAGCTGCGACCGCCGACATCAGCACCAGGAGCGGTATCCTGGAGCTGCTGGATCATGGGCTTGTAAGCAACATCGAGGCAAGTGACGTTGCCAGAAGCAAGGAAGAGCTGGTTGAGGTTGACGTAAGCTTGAAGAGGATCTGTGGTGCATGAGACAACATGAGTGTGAGTTTCAAATAGTAGAACAAAGGACACAAGAGAGCTGTGAATGCGAGAGAATCAACAACAAATACAGCGGCGACAGGCACGTACCAGAGTTGCTCAGCATGGTAGCGCAGACATCGGTGATGGTGGGGCCACCGCGGCCTTCGTTGTTGTACTGAACGACACCCATGACGTTACCGGCGAGAGTCTGTCACGCAGCTCGTTGTGAGTGCAGTGTGCGACATTGAACTCTGAACGGAACGATTTGGCCAAGATGGCGAGAGCTCTTACCGACATAAAGTTGGCAACGTCATCTTGGGAGTTGAGCGGGACGCAAACACTGAAGAGCTTGCCAACCTTGAGAATGAAGCCAGCCAAAACAAAAAAGCCAAGTCAGAAACAAGATGCACAACCAAAACCAGCTGGGTTTGTTCAACTTACAGAGCTGAGACCACCAGGCTGCTGAAGCAGAGTTTGGATCTTGTTGGTAGCTTGCGTGATGAGCGAAGAGCAGGTCGTGCCGCCGAAATACTCGAGCGAGGCCTGGACAACCTCAAGGTCTGAACAAGGATGGAGCGCAGCGTCAGATGTGGCGAATGTTGGTTTTGGAGTGCCCCGCAATCAACCACGGTCGTACATTGCACAAAGTTCAGCTCGGCATGCACGGGGCCAGAGGTCGAGATAGAGCCCTGGAAGAGGTTGGGATACTTGAGGCGAGCCCAAGCAGAGAGGCAACCTGAAGTTGGAGAGGGAATTGGGGGGCGGGGGAAGAATGCAACACGCTGATTGTCAGTGTGGATGAAGGGAATATCAGCCGTGCAAGACACAATCGGACTACGTACCAGGGTAGCTACCACCGAAAGTGACCCAGGACGAAGTCTGCAGGAAAAGTGACCCAGACGACCAAAAGCAATCCCACGATGAGAACCAATACTCGTCTGGGACTCACGTGTCGCATGTGCAAACGACCTTTACAAGGTCTCTTCCAGGCTCACTGCAGCATGAAGCAACGAGCAAGCGTGTCTTACAGGTGCGTTGAACTGCAGGGTAATGTTGGCGGCAAAGTTGGCAGCGTCGGCAAGAGCCTGCTGAGAGGTCAGGAAGCGGAGGTTGGCGACCGAGTAGTCAGCGGTGGGCACGCTCTCGCCGTAGAAACGGTGCTCGAGGGTGACCATCAGCGCCTTGTATGTGCGCGCATAGATAACATAGTCCATTGCAGTGACATAGCGGTCGTCGATCGGACCCTCGCCGCCAATCATGACTGCAACAACAAGTGTTCAGAGTAGCAATGCGATGGATGAGTTTTTGAATGCGTGTTGCATTATTGGCAAGGCTCAAGGACGTGCAGCAGCAGCAGCATCAATAATCGGCATGAATTTTTCCGAGTCAACACCAATCCAACGTACAAAAGATCGGGTAGCCTGGGCCGCCCCAGAAGGTCTGGTTGACGTAGTACTTTTGCAGCCAAGTGGTCTCGTCGAAGGTGTTGAAGTGGTCGAGCTTCTGGGTAAACCACTGCTTGGGGACGTCGCCGAGCGAGCGGCGGCCAGCATGCGAGTCTGTGTTTTTGGGGGCAACACGCAGCACCACACAAGACAGAAGTTCGATTGTGTAGCAGTTAGTACGAATACTCAGACCAATGCACCCCTCTCTGGCGGAAGGTCTCGGCGAGGCGGAGCTTTTGGGACCAGGGCACGAGGTGAACGGAATCGGACTATAAAGCGAGCAAACTGGGGAACTGACGGACTGACCTTGAGCGTCGAGGAGGCGGTTGGTGACGGAGGTGCCGAGCTTGAAGGTGCCCTGCGTCAGGTGGAAGGGCGCGGCGGCGGCGACGGCGGCGAGCACAACGACGAGCAGAGCTGCAGACCGCATGATCGAAAGGAAATGGGAAAAAAAAATGAAAGAAAAATAAAAAAAAAAAAAAAGATGACTACACATACAGATTGCTGCTCGTTCGTGTCCACGAATTCGAACAGAGTGAAGAACAAGTGAGAGTAATTTGCTTTTCATTTGTTGGAATGAAAGGCCGAGGTGAACCGTTCGCCGACCAGAGAAGGAATTGCCGTTCGAAACTGCTGAGAGAACTTTAAATGTATTTGTCGACATATCCGACATAAAGCGATTCAAATTGCACATCTCGGGTAAACTTGTTGCGCCCAACTTAAACTTGCCAACCCTCACGCATTTGTCGGATGATGGGATGACTCGCTGGCCAGATGGTCGCATGTGTGAGGTTCGAATTGCCTGAAGAGCAGAACAAACAAAAAACATCAAAACATCAGACCTGACCCGGATTCAGAAACCGGCAAGAGCTTTTTTTTTTTTTTTTCCATCACACTCACGCTCACAGTACGCACGCCAGCAACGCCTCAATCACACATAGTTTGTCGATGTGTTCTGCGAATGCTTGGTTCAACATCCACTCCTTTTTTTTTTTCTTTTTTTTTTTTTCTTTGTTTCTTTTCCTTGTTGCATTGGAGTTTTCGCAAGTGAACAAAGTCTTCGCCATCCAACCACCAAAACCAACCGCCGCCCCCGAACGACAAACCGACCCCCCCCACCACAGCGGAAGACACTTGGACAAGCACACCAACTGCCTCACCATTCAAAACAACATACCCCGCTCTCCTCACGCTCTCCCTTGCCAGGCGATGATGGTCGTTAACATCCACCTCAAGTGCGGCCCGTTGGAAGACGTTGGCTCATACACTGCGCCGCCACGACCGTCGCCCGCCGACCCGTCCACCCCAACCTCGCTCGCAGCCACACAGCCCGACGCCTTCCTTGCGCCGCTCGTTGCTCTCGCCATCGAGAAGGTACGTGCGTGTTGCCGCCCTTCCCCTTTTGCTGCGAGTGGCTGAGTTATTGTTGGCTTTTCGAGTGTTGTGTTCGCCTTGCTCGCCTCGCTGCTGCTGCCGTCCTGCCAACCCGCGTCGTGGTCTCGGCGTCGTGTTGCTGTGGCATGTGGCCTTGAGCGAGACTGCGGCTGAACGAGGAGGGGGAGGCCAACACGACGACTTGTCCCGATCCGCTGTTGCAACACAAAAAAAAAAAAAAAAAAAAAAAAAAACATTTATTATTGAATTGGTTTCTCGACTGGGGGCCACTGCGCTGAGCAGTCCGCAGCGACTTGCAGGGGGGAGGTGAGGAGGGTGTAGCGCAAGACACGCTCCAGTCGTGCGGTCAGGAGCAGGACGAGCGCCTTGCAAGTGCTGGCATCAGCGACATGCAAAAAACAAAGCGTCCCATTCAAATAATAAAATAAAATAAATGGGAAAAAATCAAAAATCAAAAAAAAAATCAAAAAAATCAAAAAATCAAAAAATCAACAAAAAAATTAAAAATTGAAAAAAAAAATCGATTCAAAATCGAAAAAATGAGTCAAATTCTCAGCAAAAGCAAAAAAAAAAAAAAAAAAATTGACGCATTATTTCGTGTTTGTTTTGTTTTGCATGTTTTGTTTCGCATGTTTTTGTTCCTGCACTCATTCTTAATGTCAACATCTCGTTTGATCCGCAGTTCCCGCGAGCCGGATTTGGCACAACCGCACCGCTGTTTTTTGTGCACGATTATACACACCCAAACGTGCTCGTACGCCTTGTACGACCAGAGCAAATCCTTCCGGGCGTGCACGTCGAGGTGGTGATTCCCGTCGGAGCTCCCATTCCAGTCGCCGCTGCGGCAGCTGCTGTGGCGCAGCCCGCGAGCGCCGCTTTGCTCAAGCACCATTCCATGCCGGCCATGCCGGAGACGGTTCACGGCTCGGGCGGCGCAACCCTCGCCATACATGCGGAGCAGGATGTGCACGAGCAGGACGGCGTGTCCACTCCCACACGGCGCCGCACCAACCCGGATGCGATTGATAGCGCTGGACGGCGGAAGAAGACGACAACTTCGCTGTCCAATCTGGCGGGGCATCCTCATCACCTGACCGTCAAGTCGTACATGAAGCCGACGTTTTGCGACTATTGCAACGAGCTGCTGTGGGGCCTTGTGCGTCAAGGGCTGCGTTGCGAGGACTGCATGCGCAACTTCCACAAGCGCTGCGCGTACAAGGAGCTCAACTCTTGCGAAGCCGCGCGCAATTCGATTGCCGGGGACAGCCACCAGGTGGCAATCTCGCGAGTTCCCGTCATGCCGCACAACTTTACTGTCCATACCTACAAGAATCTGACCGTGTGCGGTTCTTGCAAAAAGCTGCTGTGGGGCGTCGCCCGTCAGGGTCTGCAGTGCGCCGACTGCGGCTACAACTGCCACAAAAAGTGTTTACAGCACGTGCCTCAAGACTGCGGCTTTGGCCAGGTGGATGGGACATCCGATCTGTCCGCCGTCGTTGGTACCGTCGACGGTGTGCTGACCGAGTGCTTGCGTCTCATTGCACAAAACCTGTTGCCCGATCTCGACATTGACTCGCTCCCATCGTTCGACCGCGACAGTGCGGACGCCAAAAACCGAGCGCTGGGTGAGGTGGAAGACCGCATTGCCCGCGGCAAGTTTGGAGAGGTAGTCGTGCTCTTGCGGCACTTTAGCGCCATCTGGCCCGACGATGCGTTTGGGCCTCGCGACGTCACCGACATGGAACGTGCCCAAAACTTTTTCGGCGAGCACAAAACGCGAAGCCGGGCCTCGCTTGTTTCGCTGCCTGCCGACACGGCCAACATTCCGCTGCATCGCCTCATGAACGTGCCCGTCGACTACGACGAGTCGCACGACCATTTGGACACGCCTGACTCGCAACGGCTCAGCGTCGCCAGCACCGCGTCGTCGACCCCCAGTACCACCATGCCTGCAGTGGCCTCGTCCCCTGCAACCTCGACCAATGTCGCTGCCACTGCTGACGGCAAGGGCCGAAAGGTGCATCTCGTCAACGGGCACGAGTTTATCGCCACTCACTTTGCCGTGCCGACTTTTTGCCAACACTGCGACAAGTTCATTTGGGGCGCTGGCAAACAAGGCTACAACTGCTCTCGATGCCTGCTCAAGTGCCACAAAAAGTGCCACGAAGATACGCTCCCGTGTGCCGGCGCTGCTCCAACAGCAGCAGCAGCAGCAGCAGGAAGTGGTGGTGCGTCTCCCGCGCCCATTCCCGAAATCACCGTGTCGAGCGCACGAGCAAGCGTTGCGTCGATGGGTCAACTCGATGGGATGGTCATCAAGGAAGGCTGGCTCGTGCACCACACAAACAAGGACGCCAAGTCCCAAAACGCCCGAAAACGCCGGTTCTGGCGTCTCACTGGGCAAAACCTGTCTTCGTTCGTCTCCGACCGCGATAACAAGACGACCCGCGATGTGCTTCCATTATCCAAGATTTTGGCAGTCGAACCCTCCGCAGTCACACAGCTGCAATTCTGCTTTGAGGTCAAGATCAAAAAGCTCACGTACTTGCTGGAGACGGAGAACGAAGCCATGCGCCAGAGCTGGATGACGGCACTCCAGGAGCAATTGCACTTGCACAGCTTGCAGCACCCACAAGCGCCACCTTCGCCGACCAGCCTCAACTTGCCAGCCGGTTCCGGTTTGCATTTTGCCTTTGCAACAGCCTCCAGCGCATCCTCGTCGTCCGACTCGCCACTCCCGTCCCCAACATTGTCCACCACGTCGTCTTCGACCTCATCCACATCGCGCTCGTCCACTGGCACCATTGTTCCTCCTGCTGTGGCTTCCCCTGCTCCTGCAGTTGGCACTCCACCACCAGCACAGGCATCTGCCAATAATAACGCCGCTCCGCAGTCTGCCACCACAGCTGTCAGCGCGTCTGCAGCTTCCGCCGCAACCACCGCTCCTGGCTTGAGCTTGGCGCCTGTTGCTGCTGTTGCTGCTGCTGCCGGCGCAACGACTCAGGCTGCTGCCAAACCGGGCAAGGTACCCTCGCAGGGCTCGCAATCCAGCTTGAACAGCAATGATCTTGTGCCGGCCGGCGGCGGCCGCACCTATCGTCATCCAATTGACAGCGATTTTGATGTCCGCCGCGACCAAATCCTGGGCTCTGGTCAGTTTGGAGTGGTTGTGCGTGCGACCGACAAAAAGTCAACCCAAGTTTTTGCCGTCAAGATTATCAATCGCAAAAAGATCACTGGCGACCGCGCCGATCAGAGCAAGAGCAAGGTCAACTCGTTCAAGAACGAGGTGCACATCTTGCAGAGCGTTCGCCACCCTGGCATTATTGCTCTCGAGAGTATTTACGAGTCTCCCGACAAGATTTTCCTCGTCATGGAAATGGTTGAAGGCGGAGATATGCTCGACCGCATTTTGAATCACCCGAACGGCAAGCTTCCAGAGCGTGAAACGAAATTCCTGGTCTACCAAATTCTCGTTGCCCTCAAGTATCTGCACACTCTCAACATTGCTCACCGCGACCTCAAGCCCGAAAACGTCCTGTTGATGACCAAGCATTCCTTCCCGCAAACAAAGCTTTGCGACTTTGGCTTTGCCAAGATTGTCGGCGAGAACTCCTTCATGATGTCCATTGTTGGTACTCCTGCGTATGTTGGTAAGTTGGAGCGCAATGTTGAGGTTTTTGGGGCCGTTGAATTTTGTTTTTGGTCGAGTTTTATGCTTGGAACGGTTTTGCTCAACGCTTGCGATTTTTGGGTAATTTTTGCTTCTTTTTTTTTTTTTTTTTTTGGCCTCAGCTCCGGAAGTACTGGAGGACGACGATACTGGATATCAACGATCGGTCGATTTGTGGTCGGTTGGTGTTATTCTCTACGTCAGGTCAGTCGTTGCTGAAAAGGAGTGAAAGTTGTTCAGTTGACCTTTTGTAGCTGATTTGGTGTGTGCTCCCTTCCTCCCTGAAACAGCTTGAGTGGAACCTTCCCGTTCAATGAAGACGAAGAATTGCGTGATCAAATTCAAAACGCGCAGTTCATGTTCCCAGTGCCCGTTTGGGGCCACATTTCCCCTCATGGTACAGCTCTATCGACACCGCTCTATCGACTGTCTCTGCATTTGGTGTGGCTCAACCGCTCACTTTTGAACATGTCGTTCCTTGTTCTTGCCCTCTTTACGCAGCGGTCAATTTAATTCAGTCTTTGCTCACGGTGGATCCTGCCACTCGATGCACTGTCGACGAGGCTTTGAGACATGCATGGTTGCAGGCAAGTTGTCTTGTCCCTCTCTTCCTGTCTTTTCGCTGGAAGTGGCGTCTAACTTGCTTGGTCGATGGTTTTGTGAGACAGGATAACACCCTGGTTGGTGATATTCGCGATCTTCAAACACGATTGGGAGAGCGATATCTCATGTGAAGCAACTTGTGATCATCTGCCTGTGAAAGCGCGGCTTGCAGACAGTTTTTTTTTAAATTTTACGTTGTGTGCGTGTGTGCGTGTGCGTGTGTGTTGGAGGTAGTCATTGTGTGAAATGCTAAATGTTTGAGATTTGTCCATGCTGTTAATTTCGTTCCTCTTTTGTATTCTCAGTATCAACGCCTAAACGCAGGGGGGGGGCGGAAAGGGCGTTCTTCCTTTTTGCAGTTTCATACTGGTTGATGGAGGCTGACGGGAAAACGAGCAACAAATTGATATATTAACAACAAGAAACACTGTTTCCAAAAAATAACTATTCACCTAGTCCTTAACAGTGCTCTGTTTAGTGCGGAACGGCGCTTTTCGACGTTGACCGATTGCTGGGGGAATCGAGGCGCGATCGCTCCAAGCTTTGGCGGCGACTCGACTGCTGGCTGTCCCCGTACGTCTCCGAGGCATCGTAGAAGGATTCGTCGTCTGCGCTATTCAGGCTCACGTGCGACTTGCGCTTGCTGGGCGAGCCAGGCGCGAGGTCGTGCAACAACAGGTTGGAACGGGAAAAGGCCTTGGCGTCTGCGCCATGCTTCGAGTCGGACAGGGGAGCAGCCTTTTCGTACAGTGCATTGCTGGTGGCTTGTGGCGAGGCTCCGCTCGCTTGCTCGACGCGTCGAAGATAGCGCTGCTTCTCTTCGGTGAGCGTCTTGAGCTCTTCGGCGCGTTCCAAATCTCCTTCTGCCAGGGCCTGGACGTCTTCACGGAAGCGACTGTCAGTCGGAAGAGGGTCTGCGACGGGAAACACGGAGCTTGGTTTTTGCTGGCCCAGCTCCCAGAAGCGCTCTGCGCCAATGTCCAAGTGGGACAGCCAGGACCCGTCCACCGCGCAAACTTCCTCTCGGCCGCGTACAATGACGCCGCGCGCAACATCTCGCAGCGTCTTGTTGCTGCGGAATAGCCGGCGCCAAAGGCCAGAGCGAGAGTCGGGATGGAAGGTCAGGTCGCACGACAGCTGGTTGGCGTGGTCGTGGAAGTGCATCGTCCCGCCAAAGTCAAAGGTGCGGTCGCCCACGAGCAAGCCGCCAATCGAAACATACGGCAAGTCAAAGGTGACCTTCTGGCCGGTGGAAGTGAACTCAATACTGCATTCGCCTTTTTGCTGCGACTTCATCGAATTGCCAAATCCAGAGACCGACCAGCCTACTTGGCCACGGAAGATGTAGTCTCCAGCAGGTCCCGAGACCTCCCATCTGGCGCATGTAGCAGGTGCAAGAAGAAGATGATGGGCCCGAGTTGAGCGAGTTGAAAACGAGAGAGACAAAAAGTGCACCGGAACCATTTTCAAAAACAAAAACTTACCGGGAGATTGGTGGATGGTGGCTCACTTGTTCGACAAAAACGGCAGTGTTGTCTTCTAGCGTGGCTTGGAAGGTCTCACCAAGCACAGGGTTGAACGGCATGCGCTGAGTAGGACTCAAATGCAAGCCCGAGAAGGCGAACGCAATGACGCTTTTGAAGCGCTGCAAGGCCAGCTCGTCTGCTGATTGAGCGCCTGACGGAGGCACTGGTCGTGCTATGGTAGAAAGGAATGCAGGAGCATAGCAGAAGCCGAGGACGAGGCGCTCGAGCACTGTCCGTGGCTCGAAAAACTCGATCGGAAACTCGAGGTTGACAATCTCCTTGCCCTCCAGGATCGAGTTTCCCCACTGCGACAGAACCTCCCATGCGCCGTTGCGCTGCAGCTGCAGGTACTCGAGGTCTGTGAACTTGAGTCCGCCTTGCTTTGGCTGTCGTTCATGCGACAGGTTGACGCTGTTGGGTCGTGCCAAAATGAGAGAGTGAGATTCAGTCACCAGCCGACTTGTCCTTTCCCCCCCCCCCAACCTCAAACTCTGGTCATGTTCACATACATTCCCGAATCAGAGGTGGGGTGGGGGGATGACCTCGCTCGCTTGTGTCGCGCGGTTTTCCCCTCACCCTCATCCTCGTTTTCCCTTTCGCCCCTTTCGCCCCCCGCCCCCGTTCCAGCTCCAATCCATCGCTCTTTCCATTGGTCCCATCCTCACTCTTGTGTGCTGTGCGCTTCATCCGAGTCGCTTCCAAAAGTCGACCCCCCCCCCCCATCGCATGATGATTGAGAGGGCATATGCCAGGCTTTTGGCTTGGTTTTTTCTTTTTTTTTTTTTTTTTTTTTTTTTTTTTTTTTTTTTTTTTTTTTTTTGGGCCTTCTTCTGCTTTCTTCCTATTCAACTGCGTCTTTGTCGTTGGCTTGGATTGGCTGGTTCATCACTCACTCACTCACACACTCACACACTCACACATACTCCACTGGAACATCCATGCATTCACTCTGCTCCATGCGCTTGAGCTGAATGGGTGCTTTGTTTTGGAGAAAAAAAAAAAAAAAAAAAACACCGCAAATTGAAACAAAGACCGTTAAAAAAGTAAAATCTATAGGAAGGATCATGCACCGGATGCTGCGTTTTCCTTGCTTTCATCGATCTCGTTTAGTTAGTAACAAAACGCCGACAATCCTTTCTTCCCGTTGTTGTTTTCTCTCGCGATGTGCCTTGTGGCCCTGATGAGGTTGAGTGCAATGTCATGACACTCACCTTTCCTGCACAAACTGTATGTCAAACCAGCCGCTCTGGCTGCGGTAGTTGGCCATTCGAAGCCGGAAAAAATAAAAATAAAAGCCTAAAGTTCCGAAAAAAAAAAAAAAAAAAAAAAGAGTGACTTTTTGTTTCCGACTTTAGTAAGATTTAGACAACGTAGAACAAAAGCACAAAAAGTACAGACAACATTGGGGATGCAACAGCGAACAAGGAGAAAATAACGATACTTAAACTTCAAAAAAAAACCACTGGATCGAGCAGACCGCAGCGATTAGTGGGAATGCCCGATCGACATGAACAGTGGGGCAACCATTCCCACGATGAGAGCGCAGAATTGGTCACGGCTCAACGAGCCGTCTCCACTTCCACTGGCATTGCTTGCGGAGGTCGATGCAGGGTGTACGTGCATGATTTCTGGAAGGACATGCATGGTTGCCACGTACACGAACGTGCCAGCCGAAAAGAGGAGCGCGTACCCAGTTGCGGTGCTGGGATCCATTTGGAGCAGGGTGTTGCCGCCCATTCTCAAAAACAGGTATGTGACAATGCTGCCAATAGGTGCCGAGCAAGAGAAAATGAGCAGGTGCTTTCGCACCCGTCGGTTGTCAAAGCCTTCGTGCACAAGGAAGGATGTCAGCCCGAACGCGGATGGAGCCTGTACGGCGGAGTGGTCGCGAAATGAGCAAGAGGCACAGCAAGAGAATGGACTTGATTCAACACAAAACAAAACCCACCTTATGCAGCATGATGGCGAGGAAGACCAGCATTTCGACGCTGGAACGCTGTGAGGCTACAGCGGCGCCCAGAGCAATTCCGTCCGCTATTCACCGATGACGATGACAATGTGGGTCGACGGATGAGCGCAATGTGGGTCTTCATTCAAAGCAACAGCCCTCACAACCCACACTGCAACGATGCGACAGCTGTCTCACCTGCAGCATGAACGACCAGGCCGACAGTGGTCGTGACGCTCTTCTCGTCTGTTCAATCAACACATCAGCAACATAGGCCGTGAGTAGCGAGTCAAACGAAGCAGAAAAAAGCCTTTGAAAAAAACTGACTGTTGTTGGAAGAACTGCTTGGCAACCCGTGGGAATGGCCATGCCCGCTACCGGAGCTTATCCGGTCAATCAGCAACATGAGAATGAAGCCAAAGATGAGCGATGCGCCGATGCCTGAATGGGATGGATGCGGGCACGCTTCGTCTTCGTGGTTGTGGTTGTGCTCTTCTGCTGCCGCCTGGAGTCGTCGTTGGCCGCCAATCGAAGGATCCGCTTGTGGAACCAGTGGGACCACTGCGTCTTGTTGTGCGTTGTCCTGTCGCTCGGCCACCCACGGTAGCAACTGCTGACCTCTTCGGTTTTGCTTGGCTTCAGCGGCTGCTTGCGGATCGTCCGGTGCGAAAAAGTTTCGGAATCGAGAAGTGATGCTCCCGTCGTTGCCATGGTCGTGTCCAGCGTGTGGATCAGCGGCATGTGCTGCCAGGAGCTCTGCTGATGGCTCTGTATCAATCAGGCAAGAGGCGAGCAATGAGGCAGCGACGTTAGCAAGGGAGACTTTGACCTTTTTGAACGGACGCTAAATTGGAGCGGCCTTCTCTCGCCCTGGACGCGTTCTGCCCCGCAACGGCTAGCAACGCAACAACACAAAAAGCAAAAGGCAGGTAGGGGGACGAGGCTAACACGTACCACGGGGCATGTAGAGTGCGTTCACTCCTTCGGGAATGATGACTGCCAACGCGGCGCCTACAAGCAGGCCAGCACCCAGAGCGGTCATGAACTTGATGCGCGACTAGGAGTACGGAACGGTGCCATATCGTGTGAGCATGGTTTGTCCAGTCGCAGTGGAACAAGGTGGTGCAGTGAGTCAGTGCAATGAAGAAGAAGAAGAAAAAAAAAAAAAAAAAAAAAAAAGACCGCTTCGCTTTCACTTCGAGTCAAGTCAGAAGGGGGGGAAGCTCGATCTGGCCAGCGAATCGACCGCGAACAAGAGCATAGAACAAAGGGTGGTGGTTGGCAACGAGGTTGGTGCGGGTGTTGGTGTTGGATTGACGCAAACTCAGCGAGACAATCCGAGTACAAGAAGCAACCCAAAAACACTCAGAACACTGCATTTGGTAATGCAGATCTATGACGCAGCCGCACTGTCGCAGGCAAGGAGAGGCAGGGAGATGGAGAGCAAAGCGATAGAGATGGAGGTCGATCATCACCTCAGAGAGCTTGACGGAGAGCGGAAGGAGGCCTGCAACATACGAGCCCACTAGCATCGCTAGTGAGAAGAGAAGGAGCGTTGGCACGGGCTCCATGACCCAGACAAAGGAAAGCGAAAACTCAAAGGTAGAAAAAAAAAAAAATTGGGATTGAGCTAGTGAAAGTAAAATCAAAATCAAGGTTGTTTCAGATGCTCGTTGGTGGGGACACGGGGCGGGGGGTTGGTGCGGATGGAAATCGTGTGGGTTTGGCGGGCATCACTTTTTGCGTCGTGTTGTACCCCTTCCCGCCACTCCAACTCTCTCCCATTGCTCTGGTCATAAATAAATGTTTACTTGTACACAACATCGCCAGGCGGGGACAGGTCGCCAGCTGATTCTCAACCAAAAAAAAAAAAAGCGAGCAAAAAAAATATGGGAGAAGAGCGATTCGAACGCCCAGCCGTCAGATCTGGAGTCTGCTGCTCTACCATTGGAGCTATTCCCCCAATCCACAATCGCGGGTGACTGGCGCCGCTGGGAAAATTTCACGTGAAGCAGAGAATGGTGTGTGGCGAATAGAAATGTTGAGGCTTCATTTCCAACTGTGTGCCGTCTGATGAAGGCACAACCGTCCACAACAGGTACGAGTCGGTACTGAATGTAATGGCTGTGCTGTGCTTCCAGTGAATTGGTTACCGACCGTGCGGAACGCTTGATCGTGTCTGCGAGATTGTCACAACTTGTTCGGTGAGGCCTCTCGCTGTGGAATATTTTGTTTGGTTTAATAGTGAATGGGACCAAGAACAAGAATCAGCTCCACGACGTTGGCGGCGGATATGAATCAGCATGGATGTGTGTGCGAAAGATCACGTGGAGCTGAAAATGCTCTTTATTTAACATCAACATCAACAAAAACAAGCAAACTTGCATTCCCTCGCAGTTATTGTTGCACAAGAGCAAAGCATAGCGTGCTGCAAGAACTAGTGAGTAATCTGCTCCATCTGCTTGAGGACCAGGCTGCGATAGACACCGTCGGGAATGGCCATGAGCTGATCGTGACTGCCTTGCTCGGCGACGCGACCCCCTTTGACCGCCAGAATCACGTTGGCGTTGCGGATGGTCGAGAGACGATGCGCAATCACCACAGTTGTTCGCCCGTTGGAAGCCAGTTCGAGGGCCACTTGCACGAGCTTTTCGCTCTCGGCATCCAAGGCACTGTGGGGGTTTAAAGACTGTCAGAATGGAAAAACTTGCCAAGTGCACCAACCTTTCATTTGTCGAGTTAGGCTGTTACCTTGTCGCCTCGTCGAGCAGCAAAACGCGCGGGTTTCGGAGGAGTGCGCGGGCGATCGCAATGCGTTGCTTCTGACCACCTATTCACCGGCAACCAGTCAGTGTCGACCTTCGAGGTGCAACAACAATGCATGCATTGTCAAACGCTCCCACGATAGCATACCAGAAAGCTGGGTACCCTTTTCGCCAACATTTGTGTTGTACTGCTCAGGCAGGCCCATGATGAAATCGTGAATGTTGGCTTGCTTTGTCGCGACCATAATGGCATCCATCGACGGCAGCGGGTCTGCATCCAGGCCGTACAGAAGGTTGTCTTGAATTGAGCAGTTAAACAACGTCGGTTCTTGGGACACCAAAGCGAGAGTGGACCGATAAGATCGCAAGTGGAGCGTGTCGATGGGCTGTCCGTCGAGGGCAATCGTGCCTGAGGCGGGATTGTAGAATCGCTCGAGCAAAGAGATCACCGTGCTCTGTTCGCAAGCCAAAAAAAACATACAAAATGAAAACCAACGACAAAAGAAATCACATCCGCGTGAGTTGTCACAACCAATCAAAGAAAATGAGTGCCGTGATTTCAGATCCATGGTGAGAGACACAAATGTGGTGATAGTCCAAGCGTTACCTTGCCGCCGCCACTTGAACCGACAATCGCCACAGTCTAGTGTGCACCCAGTTTGATTGAGTTAGCACAATCCAACTCGAATACCCCCGAGAGCAAACAGAAAACCAAACCAAACCATACCTGCTGAGGGGCGCCAACAAAGGACAAGTTACTCAGGATCTTGGCGTCAGGACGTGATGGATAGACAAAGTCGACCTGGTCGAACGAAATCTCGCCCTGGACGTGCTGCAGTGCGATGCCGTGGGGGCTGCTCGAATCAATCTCGGACTTTGTGTCAATCAATTCAAAGATCTTGGCAGCCGCCGCCTTTGCCTGCGCACGCAGCGTGTTGAAAAAGTAAAATGACGTGTGAGCAAACAAGAAAGGGAAGGTGCACCCCGCAATCGTTGATGCTGAGTCGTGGCATCGTTCGTACCTTGGAAATGTCAGGAACAAAGCTGAACGTTTGAGCTGCAGAACCCAAACTGAACATGACCGCCGTCATGATGCGCATAGCGTCGCCGTAGGACGTGTGCTCGTCTGGATCGCTGACTAACACGGCCGAGTAGTACAAGGCAACACCGTACCTATGAAGGGGTTGGGTTCAAACAAACGGCACCTCCGTCAGTCACGGAGCGGGTTGATGTGAAAGCCTGTGCCAAGCAAATCTGCAGACTTACACGACAAAAACAATGGATTGGCTGACGCCAAAACCCACGCCAGCCACCATCGAACGCCTCACACCCAGAGCGAACGGCACTCTGAGTTGAGCTTTGAACAGACGAAGAAAACGGCGCTCGGCATGAAGTGACGCCACAGTCCGGATGCAACTGACCTGCGTTGAGACAATTCAGGGTGCATCGGGAGAAAGTGAGGTCCCAATTCCTTTTTGCTCAGAGACACGCACGCCGAAAACGTACACTTTCGGTGGCGATCGCCCCGGCCTTCTGGTAATCTTTCTTGCCCATCGCATGATAGCCAGTCATGGCCTTCATGTGGAATACATTGGCAAATGTCAGCAGAGGAAGGCTCGCCAGGACCACCTATCGGAATGATAAAGTCAGACAACGAAAAACAGAAACTCAACTACCAAGCGATCGCCCACAAGCTCACACCGTCACGTACCAGAGTCAACTTCCAACCAGACCAGAAAGCAATCACCAGACCAGCAACAACGCTGACCAACGCCTGAATCACAAGCGCGGCGACGCTGCCAGAAAGACCTTTCACCAAAGTCGCGTCCGTGGCGAGCATCGTGGTCAAAGAACCAGTTGCATGATGCTCCTGGTCAAAGAAGGCAATGTCTTGACGAATCACGTTATTGAAGGCCAGCAAGCGGAGACGCGTGGTCAGCTGCTCGCCCGACTGAACAAGCGAAATGAAACATTTACAGCAAAAACAAGTCAGTTGCAATAATCACATAAAGGAACGAGCTGATTGATGCTCGGACTTACGATGCACCAGCATGTATGTTGCAGGAATTGCGCGATGAATGTGCCACCAGCAATGGCAAGAAACATCAAGCTGTAAAACACTGCATCCTTCTTGAGTTCTTCTCCTGACTCGGTGAAGACTTCGAGAATGGAGCTAAACACGTAGCTGAATGCTGGCATAGTGCAACCATTGACAGCACCTAGATGTTGGGGGAAGTGCAATGCAAATTGAGTGAATGAATGGAGTCGCGAAGTCAACAACAAGCGAAAATCTAAACCCGAGGGTCGATACGTACTAAAAATCAAACCCAGGATAATGTACCACAACTCGGGTCTCGTGTACCGGTAGACCCGTGCGATGGACACTGGCTTGGCCACGTCAGAAGGAGCGGAAGCAGCGTCCGACACTTTAAGCGTCGTGTGGGTGGCAGGGGCACTCGTAAGGGGGCTCGGTGTCGCTTGGCGCGACGGCTGCTGCGAGGCTTCGGGCGTGGAGGTGGACGGGGTCAGCGTGTTGGAAGCATCAGCCGCGCTGACGAGCTGTTTTTGGACAAGGTTTGCATAAAAGCCGTCAGGAATGGCAATCAGGGAATCGTGCGTCCCAATCTCGACGATTTGGCCCTTTTGCATGACCACGATGCGATCGGCATTCCGGATGGTGGACAGACGATGTGCCACAATCAATGTCGTACGGCCTTTGCTGGCACGATCGAGCGCATCTTGTACAATCCGCTCGCTTTCCACGTCAAGAGCGCTGTGTGCGTGTGTGCGTGTGTGTGTGTGTGAAATTGACATCCAAAGGCACGCAAACCAAAAAAAAACAAGACAGGGATTGTGGATAAGACGACAGTTCCCAAGTGGGTGCTTTTCAACCTATACTGTACCTTGTGGCCTCGTCGAGCAGCAGAATTTTAGGATTGCGAATCAGAGCACGTGCAATGGCGACGCGTTGCTTCTGTCCACCGGAAAGCTGAATGCCTCGATCACCCACAATGGTGTGGTACCCGGAGGGCAGCGCGGAAATGAAATCGTGAGCGTTGGCTTGTTTGGCCACCGCGATTACCTCCTCCATGGTAGCCGTCAGCAAATGCTCGGCGTCGCGTTCAGAGTCAGAGGTAAGGTCTTGGGGTGTCGCGGCAAGCAGCTTGCCATGCGCAATGTTGTTGAAGATGGTGTCATTGAACAGCACGGGTTCCTGTTTTGTTTGGGAAGCAATTTGACCAAGTGGAATGAGCAGATGGTTTCGATTTTTTGTTTTGTTCAGCCGCATGGTACTGGTTTGTCAATCTACCAGGAAGATACAGTGTACGGTACCTGCGAAACGACGCCAAAACTGGAGCGAAGGACGCCAGTGTTCCACTCACGAACATCCACGCCATCGACAATGACGGATCCCTGTGTCGCATCGTAAAAGCGCTGCAGCAAGGACATGCAGGTAGATTTGCCGCACCCAGAGGAGCCAACCAGAGCCACAGTCTCGGACGACCTGATTTGCAGATTGAAATTCTGGAGCACAGGGTCCTCCGGACGAGAAGGGTAAGCAAAGTTCACCTGCTTGAACTCAATTTCTCCCGAAATGTTTGCTGGGCGACGTCCTTCGTCAGAAAATGGGTTGACGAGCGACTGACGATCAATAATCTCGTGGACAGTGTATGCGGCACCCATCGCCTCCGCAAACGAACTGAATGCAGGGGCGGCGCGGCCTATAAACATGTTGCATTTTGGGTTGGGGAGGGTTTGACAGAATGGCAACGGAGTAAGAATGTCGCGGGGTGAGAACAACGTGATAATTCAACAATAGCATACCAACCCCGCGAAACAGCACATACCGAGACCCATGGCACCCATGATGAGCGAAAAGAAGACAGTCGTCAGCTCGCCGGGAGTCATGTCGCCGTCGAGAATCAAGGTTGAGCCGTACCAGAATCCAAGCGCGTACGAGCCGAACATGATGAACATGGTGACGGCAATGCTCAGGCCGCGCATGGAGCCTTGTCGCAGGCCTGACTTCAAGGCTGCTTGAAGCCTGGTGTGGTAGCGGGCGATCTCGCGCGACTCGCCGCCAAGAGCGGCGACCGTTCGGATGGACGAAAATGTTTCTTCCGCAACGGCACCAGCTTCGGCGTACGCTTGCTGTCCGCGAATGGTGATGGACATGACAACCTTGCCAATGACAGCAGCGGCGATAATCAACAACGGCATGACCGACAACAAGACCAGCTGTTTGTTTCAAAACCCAAAGCAATCGAGGTGAGCAGGAATGGTGGGGGAATTTCAACAGCGCCGGTGCGAGATAGAACATCCAACTCCCCCCCCCCATACCGCTAACTTGTAGCCCTTGTAAAAGCCAATGCCGAACGACACCAGGAATGAGGTGACGCACTGAACCGCCACGCCGACTTTGTCGCCGATGCCATCCTGAATCAATTCGACGTCGCTACGCGCCAAGCATTACAATAACAGAAATCATGTGAGTCGAAATACCCAAAGTATGTCCATTGTGCACCAGCCAAATACCAAACCTAGAAATGCGAGACGCAATGCTGCCGGATTGCTGCTTGTCAAACCAGGCAATATCCTGGCCCAGGATTGCTGTCAGATAGCGGATGCGCAAACGACGGCCTTGACGCTCGGCAGTCAGGGACCACAGTGCCATCTGCAAAAAGCAGACGACCGCAACGCCGCCAGCAATTCCGAGAAAGTACCACAGGTAGGTCAGCACCTTGGACTTGAGCTCGTCGCCCGTCATGGCGGCGGGGGATTGCATGACAAACTGGGTGAAGATGTCAATGACGTCTCTGTTGATGATTGATCGAAGATGCACCAGTGAGCAGCAACAGGTGAGCGAGGGGTGAGCGAGGATCGGCGACTAAACAACCATGAAAGAAACGTACCCAAACAGCAGCGAGAAGAACGGGCTGCTGGCGCCTGACGCGACTGCTCCAAGCGTGCCAAGGACCATGAGCAGGACATCAACTTTCGTGGCAAACCTGAAGAGCCGCTTGAAGGCGACACGCGGCGGCTTGGCCTTGGGCGCGCTGACAGCTGGCAGCGGTTTTTGGGCGTCGGCGGCACCTGCAGCGCTGCGACCGGCCGAGGCCTGAGGAAGCAGGCGATCCTTCTCGCCCAGCAGGGCCTTTGTCCAGATGGGATTATTGTGTGGTCATGGATGAGCTTGGTGTGGGCGATAGTGTGGTTTCAAAAAGCATCATCAATAGCAATAAACGCTCATGTCAGCTACCTCGGAATCGTCGTCGCTCATTCAGTACCAGCGCAAATAATGAATGAGAATCAATAAATGGAAGACTGGCTTTTGAAGCACTGGCTTTGACTCGTGGGATAAATGGCAGAGCAATGCTAATCAGTGGGAATTTCCCCCAAAGGACACACACTCATGGCAAATCCGATTGCATCAGCTTTTATCCCCCGTTGAGTCTGATGAGTGGTGATGATTGGTTGAAGTGGTTTGTATTGGATTGGATTTGGGGGGTGATTCTAGAATATGATGAGGGGGAGGTTGGATCGAGAGGGAGGGAGTGAAGGTTGGTTTCGCTTGTTTGGTGTTTTGAAACTATCATGGGCTTTGATCCATTCGGCATTTGTGACCAGTTTTGCCCATCAGCTCACTCGTAGCATACCAGCTCCCATAGCTCAATTGGCAGAGCGCGACACTAGTAATGTCGAGGTAGCGTGTTCGATTCACGCTGGGTGCATGTGCTTCTTCTTTTTTTTTTGTTTTTTGTTGGTTTTTTTTTTTTTTTTGTCTTTTGCGTCCCTTTCACCTTGACAATTCAACTACACTGCATCCACATCATTCACATCAACTTCTTATCACATCCATCGCTGGAATGACCTTAATGCAAAGCCCGGGCGATAACTTGAAATGTTTGCGAAAACTGCAAGATTCACTCAAGGACAATGCCTCTGCGTGCGTATCTGCTCGCCATCGAAACCGTAATCAGGATATGAACAGATAGAAATTCCGACAAGAATGGGTCTTGCGTGATTGCGTGGGAGCGAGACTGTGCAAAAAAACTAAATCACAATGACAGTTTCATCAGCCGTTTCATAGCGTGCTGAGCCATGCACAGCGTCATTTTGGAGGGATGGACAGTGTGATCAAGTGTGCATCTGCACTCGTGATATAGAGGTTGCTAATCCACGGCTTGAGTGAACAAAGTATTGGATGCTCGAACTCGATTGAATGAGACAATCGTGCAACTGTGTTTCACGTTCAGTGTTTGGCCTCCAATTGCTCGAGGGGAACGTTAGAATCCTCACCGCGACTATCTATCGAGTCAGTATTCACATCTACTCACACGCGATGATTATACCACCGAGAAGGAGAAGAACACATGCATTGGCATCGAAATATATCAAGAAACGCAACTGCCGGTTCCTTGACACGCGATTTCTTGCTCGCTCGGGTCTAAACCACAGTCACCCGGTCGATAAAATGACTCGACACTATATTTAACAATTATGACATGCAACAAAGCGGCAGAAAAAGAGACGAGATTCATAGCGACACTCGCTTGAACCAGCACGTTTGGAATCCATCAACCAGCCACCGATTACACGCTCCCATGTCCCATGGTAGCAACGCGCGCATTCACAAAAACAAAACACCAATATTTCCATAAATATTGGATACACTACCATTCACACTAGTCCTATTTTCTCACCTCCAAAGCCAAAAAACGCAATAATGGCAGCTGCAGCGAAGAGCCTGCTTATTGGAGCGATTGACCAGGGCACGTCGTCGACGCGGTTCATTGTGTTTGACCTGGCCACCAGCCGCGTCATTGCGCAGAGCCAAGTGCTGTTTGACACTTTGACCCGTCCGGGCGGGTGAGTGAGCTGCCCCTGGCCATAGAACAACGAGCACACGGCCGCGAGCTGAATGAATAGAAGAAGACGTGTGACTGAGCAATCTGCCTGTTGCCTCTTCGCTTTTCCGCCACAGATGGTCTGAACTCAACCCCATGGCCATCCTGGACACGGTCAGGACGTGCATGGCCGAGACAGCGACCCAACTCGAGAAACGCGGGTTCTCGCCCAAAAGCGTTCAAGGTCGGTTGTTGCTGTCACTGCTCTCTCCATTGGAGATCATACAGCTTAAGGAACAGGATGAATACGTTCATTGAAAGCTCACGCACGTACTTGTTGCATGGAACAGCAATTGGCGTGACCAATCAACGCGAGTCCACTGTGGTGTGGGACCGCGTCAACGGCCAGCCGCTCTACAATGCAATCTGTAACGTCTCCAATCCTCTCGTCGAGTCGCGTCAAAGGCACACCCGTTACTGACCTGCCATGTCGAATCCAACAGTGTGGCTCGACTCGCGTACAACGAGCACAGTCGAGAGGCTCATCCAGGCCACTCCAAGCAAGAGCAAAGATCATTTCCGCGTGAGCTTGAACATTCCAACATCTGAAACACCTCGATCTAGTCGTCACGCTCACTCGACAGTCCCACCACATCACAGGCCAAAGCTGGTCTGCCGCTGGCATCGTACTTTAGCGCAGTCAAGCTCCGCTGGCTCATTGACAACGAGCCCCCAATCAGGCAGGCCATCGAAGCTGGTCGTTGCATGTTCGGCACGGTTGATTCCTGGCTGCTCTGGGTAAGCAAACATCAAAACAGTACAACTGCAGCAACAGCAACTACCGTATCTCACTCTATGTTTGCTTGGACTGTCGACTGTGTCAGAATCTCACTGGAGGCGTCAAGGGCGGCCAGCACGTTACGGATGTCACCAACGCCAGCCGCACGATGCTGATGAATCTCCACTCCATGCAGTGGGACGACGAACTCTGCGCGTAAGCAGCAGAGCTTGCTGATTGAATTCGGTTTTGCTTATTCTTGACAATTTTGTGACCTGTTCTGATTATTCATTTTCCGGTTTGCGACAGCTTTTTCGGCGTTCCCAAATCGATCCTCCCAAAGATATGCAGCTCTGCAGAAGTTTACGGCAAGATAGCCGAGGGCCAGTATCAAGGCATCTCGCTTTCAGGAGTACGTCACGTGCGCTGATGGACAGGATTTTGTGTTTTACCAATGCGCGTGTCCCTGAGACTGACTTGAGAATTCATCACACCAGTGCCTCGGAGATCAGCAAGCTGCGCTTGTTGGTCAACAGTGTTTTTCGCCCGGAGAAGCCAAAAACACGTAAGTCTGACTCAAAACGCAACAACACTTGCACCTCGTTTTTTTTTTTGGGAGGTTGCGCCTGACTGACTGACTGAATCCTTCGCCCAGATATGGAACGGGCTGCTTCATGCTGTACAACACTGGCACAACGCCCGTTCAGTCAAAGTCGGGTTTGCTGACGACGGTGGCGTACAAATTCGGCGAACAGCCTGCAGCGTATGCTCTTGAAGGTTCCATCTCCATTGCTGGCGCGGCCGTCAACTGGCTGCGCGATAAGATGAAGATCATCACCAAGTCTGACCAGATGTGTAAGTGGAGGTGGATCGAGGTTGCAGTTCGGCACAGCCATTGCTGATGGTTTTCTTCTTGTTTTTTTTTTTTTTGTTTTGGTTTTTTATATTTGCGGCAGCTGCGTTGGCCGCCGAAGTCCCGGACACGGATCACGTGTACTTTGTTCCTGCCTTCAGCGGACTCTATGCCCCTCACTGGCGCGAGGATGCCCGAGGGTATGCATTTCATTGCAGTGCGTATTTTTGTCAGATGGATGTGCATTCATTTTGACAATGTTGAACTCTGTCTGGCAGTGTGATTGTGGGCATTACGGCCAATACCAATCGCGCCCACCTTGCTCGAGCAACCTTGGAGGCTGTGTGCTTCCAGACTCGAGAGGTAAGATACGAGTGCGGAACATGTCTGCGGTTCTTCAACTGATTAACATGGCATGACCCTGACGCATGTGGCAGATCTTGCTGGCCATGACACGCGACTGCGGATGCCCACTCTTGTCCCTTCGCGTCGACGGTGGCATGACGAAAAACGACGTCCTCATGCAGACCCAAGCTGACTTGCTCGGTATTTCAGTCGGTAAGTGGCTCGTTCGTCTCTTGCTGGCACTGGAGCAACGACCGCAACAACAGCTCTGAGCTCACTACTTGCATATCTTTGTTGACAAACCAAAGTGCGCCCCGCCATGGCGGAAACCACCGCTCTTGGCGCAGCCATCGCTGCTGCCGTTGGCATTGGAGCTTGGGATCCTGCTACCAACCAAATCCAGCAAGAAAAGACCATCTTCCACGACACGATCGACCAAGCCGGTATGAAGAATTCAACATGAATACTGCGAGCGAGCTGGGTGTTTTGTTGGGTTTGAAGTCTGACAACTGGTTAAACCTGGTCTTTTGGTTTGTTTGCAGATCGTGACAGGCGCTTCAAGCGTTGGCACGAGGCCGTGGATCGATCGGTCGGCTGGCATGTTCCCGAAGGCACCGCCACCCCGGGCGGCATTGATCGCTCTGTCGATTCGACCCAACCTACTCTCCGAGAGAAAATTGAACTGTACTCGGCGATCGCCATTCCCGTCGCAATCAGCTCCGCCGTTGCCACTGTTGTGGTGATGAAGCTGCTTTCCAAGCTTTAAGTGTGTATGCGTTTTGATCCATGGTTTTTTTTTGTAGGCAAGCAAATTCGTCTGTTTGATTGAGCTGAGTGTTTTCGAGGTTGAGAATGCTTTACAAGTCTCGAAACTCGAGACATTGATCACTAGAGCAACGTTTCACAGCTGTGCCGGGGGCTTTGTGCAGCTCAGATAGAAGGCGTGATCGGACAGAGAGGCAACAACACCCCGTGCATTTGCCAACTCGGCTTTGGCGGAATAGTCGTAGGACGCGCCGCTTTGATCGGTTAGGTGGCCACCTGCTGCTCGGAGGATGGCCTCACCTGCGCATGTGTCCCACTTTGACGTGCCTGGGGAAGGAAAGAGGTAGGCGTCAAAGTCGCCGTCCAGAATGTGCACAATCTTGTTGCCTGCGCCACCAATGCGGACAATGGAAGCGGGTTGAGCGGCAGCCAGCGCACTACATTGAGATGGAATCACATGGAAGTGAGTGAAGCACACCTGCCTGCGATGCAACCGCACATTGCGAAGCTTTCTTACCGCTCGATGGCAGGGCTGGGGTGAGAGCGAGTCGTGGCAACAATTCGGCCATCGCGAGCAACATTGCGCCACTTGACCTCAGTTCCATGCACACCCAAGCCGTGAGCGGCCCAGATCGTTCGGCCGGTCACCGAATTTGCCGCCTTGAAAAAGGGTTGATGGATGACGCCAGCCTCAGGAGTACCGTTGATTGCGATACCAATCAGCACAGTGACATTTTCCGGAAAGCCTAGTTCATCAAAGCGCGAGATCAGGATGCGTCAGAAGGAAAGCGAACAGCAGATGGAGCGTTTTGGACAATCAAATTCTCACCTTCCGTGAATTCTTTGGTTCCGTCGAGCGGGTCCACCCAAACAGAAATCTACATTTCACCCTCCCCCCAATACACACACAAGACCAAGGGCTTCATGAGTTACGAACACATAGCCGAAACAGCAAACACCCAACCTGGAAATGTGAAATTCGTCCAACCTGATCTAGCGTCGCCTTTTGCAATGTGCTCGGGCAGCCACCGCTACGTTCGGTAAGAATGGCATCAATGACACCTTGGTCTGCAGCATCAAGTACTTCGGCTACGACGTCATGTTCTGAACCGCCGATTGCGCCCTAGAATGGTCGGAAAATGCCAAAACGACCGATTGTCAATGCAAAGCAATCACCGAGTTTCCAAAACTTCGCAATGACACTCATCATGGCTCATCTGTTTCCAATGTGAACGCACCTCTTCGCCAATGATGGCCAGAGCAGGCCATCGCCGACGCAGCGACTCGATGATGCAGTGCTGCGCGCGTCGGTCTGCCTCTGTCTGCGGATTGTCAAAGCTCTGCCGATTCCAGTTGGAAAGCGATCGTCTGTCATACTTCCAGCAGCAGCAGCAGTAGTAGTCGTCACAGCAGTCACAGCAGTCACAGTGGGGAGCGAGGGCAACCGACGTCTCACCTTGTCCACAGTGCGCAGCTCGCCCGAGCTCAGCACGTCGCGGATGATGCCGCCTGCACGTCGCGCAACGTTGATAGACGCAGCCAAGAGCTCCAACACGACGGGTCGAGCTGCAAGTGCCATGGATGGAAAGGAAGATGGCGAAATTCGACAGCGGGTGAAAATCTGACTGAGTGAGAACTGAGCTCAAAATCTCAGATTCACCAAAGCTCAGATCACCAATCTCAGCTCACAGCGTTCAACTCAACTGCGCCGACCACTTAACAGGGTTTGCTGATTTTCATTCACCCTGGATTGAGCCCTTTGTTTGAAATCGCATCGCTTGGAGCGTCAATCTCAACCGTACTTCCGTTTGAAAGCGAGTCACTGTGATCTTGAATCACACACTCATACACACACACTCACTCATCTCATCAGTCAAATCAGTCCTTGTTTCCGTTTCGCACATGGCTCAGGAATTGCACGCGTTCGCTTTGGTTGTTGTTCGTCATCCAATCACGCACAAATTTCTGCTGGTTGAAGAGACAGAGAGACAGACAACCGCGGCTGGTGGCTGCCAGGCGGGCATGTCGACCCAGGCGAAACGTATGGGGTTTGGGGTCGGGGTCGGGACGAAGGGGAAAAAGAAGTGGCGGTCGGCTGCGAGTTACGAATTCTGAAATTTGGGCTGCAATTTCCGATGGGGAAACATGGCAGATTCTTCCAGGCGGCAATTCGCGAAACCGAAGAAGAGGCAGGCGTGCACATTCGACTCACTGGAATTCTGAGCGTGCAGCACTCGCCGCGGCACGGCTACGACCGCATGAGGTGAGATTGCTTTGATATGTGTTTTTTGGGCAAACGCGCCAATCTCTGAAAATGTAGCTCACCTGGCACTGTGCAAAAACATAAATGCACCACGATACATGTGCACACAGAGTCATCTTTCTTGGAGAACCTATTGATCCGAATGAGCCGCCGAAATCCATTCCCGACAAGGAATCCGATCGCGCTGAGTGGGTCTCGTTGGCCGACCTCGCCACCCGTAAACTGCGCGGATCAGAGCCACAAACCTGGTTTTCATATGTAACTCAAGGCCGACATGTTGCACCACTCGACATGCTCGGACCAGAGCGTTGAGTCGCGCCATCATTTGATAATTTCGACTGGGAATATGAATGCAAAACGTTCACTGTCGAATGTGAAAGAGTAAAGTATGTACTGTACACGCATACATACACGTCTCAGTGATACATCGTGCTCAACATACAACAAGCATCGTCTACGCACGCTGAGGTCGAACGGCCTTGAGCGCATCGCGCAAATGCAGCAGGGTGACCCGTGGTTGCGCATCACCCAGCGAGGCAACACATTCGCGAAGCGCACTCATTCCGGCCTCGCGACAGACGGCTTCAACATCGGAACCAGCGTACTCGCTCATGTACAGCACGACAGCGTCCAGCGCCAGTTCGTGCTCGATAAAGTCTGCCTCTTGCCAGCCGAGACGAGACAGATAGAGTTTAAGGATCGACCAACGGGCCTCAAACGAAGGTAGCTCAAATGAAATGTGAATATCAAAGCGACCAGGGCGAAGAATAGCGGAATCCAGTTGTTCGAATCGCGATGTAGTGGCCACGAACAGCACAGTGTCGTCAAACGGGTTGTGGGCTGGCGTGATGCGTGGCGAGGCTGCTGCTTCTGCAGCCAAGGATGTGGCGGCCGAGGCGGGTGACGGCGAAGAGGCCACAGGAGAGCCAAACAACGTTGCTGCAGGTGCTTGAACCACCAGTCGCTCCAAGGCAAAGGCAGACGGAGCCACGGAAGCGCCCCGAGCTCTCAGCAGCCCATCCATCTCAGTCAACAGACAAGTGAGGAGACGCGAGGAAGAATTGTCAGAGGAAGTCGATGCGCCGTCCCGTGTCCCGGCTAGCACGTCAATCTGATCAAGAATAACCACACACGGTGCGCTGTCTCGCGCCTGCCGGAAAATCCGGGCTAGCGCTTGCTCTGACTGACCAATCACCTTGCTAATCACCTCGGCAGCGTTGACCGTGATGACATTAAGACCAGAGGCAGCGGCGAGACTGAGGGCCAGCTGGGTTTTGCCCGTGCCTGACGGACCATGGAGGAGGACGCCTTTGGGTGGCGAAATATGAAGTGCCCGGAAGAGCTCTGGCTGTTGCAGCGGCAAGAGCACGGATGCTATGAGCTGCTCTATCTGCTCTTCCAATCCAGCAAGGTTGGCAAAGGCCACGTTGGCAGCAGACATGGCGTCCTTGTTCGACCGCGCGCGAGATGTCGGAATGACGGCAGCAGCGGACGAACGAGCCCGGGACGGGGTCGCAATGGAAGCCGCCGCCAGCGAACTCGGGCGAGTACCGGCCAGAGCTGCGGCCAAATGACGCTCGTGCACGCAGACGCTGGTTGGCGAAACTGCCGAAAGCGAGCTTGTGTTTGACAGTTCTCTGATTGCCGCCAAAGTTGCTTCTCGACACAAGTTGGCCAGATCGGCAGCAACATAACCATGCGTGGCATCGGCGAGACGTTCGAGCAAGGGCAGGGCACCGAGCGTCGAATTCGGATGGACGGATTCGCAATCACCTTCCAATGTAGCGCTTACGAGTGGCATTTGCCGTGTCAGCCGCTCGAGAATCTCCAAACGGTCTGCTGAACGAGGAATGTGAAATGGAACCTCCACCGGCAGTCGGAGAGGTTGGCGCACGCAGGGATCCACAGCGTCCAGCCGACTTGTGATGGCAATGACAGAAATGGGAAGGTGCGCCAAAGCCAAGTCGTCCAGTTGAGCACACAGCTCGGACGTGAGTCGGCGCTCCACGTCCCCTGCGGTGCCTGCCAGAGGGGCAAGCGTGTCAAACTCGTCCAAAACAAGGAGCGCTGGCAAACCCGCCTCCTTGCATCGCTGGAACGCTGCTTGCAACATGCGCTCTGTGGCTCCTTCGTCGCGCTGAAACAGCGAAGTGCAGTCAATCCAGACCACTCGGTCGAGGAGATTGAGAGAACGAAGAGTTTCGGCAATCAATCGAACGGTGACGGTTTTGCCCGTGCCAGACGCGCCACTAACAACACAGCCTGCGGCCGGGGTGCACCTGCCAGCTATTGGAGTGACGCGTGAGAGAATCGCACCAAGCAATCGCGAGGTTGGAATTGAGATACCGCCACGAGAGACTCGAGCATGGCACTGCTGGAGTCCCCTGGCAAAGTCAACAACGAAAGGTGATGTTGCACAACAACGAAAGGTGATGTTGCAGAGGAAGGAGAAGAAGAGGAAGAAGACGAAGAAGGAAGCCGCGGTGGACTCGGCATCACATAAATCCTTGTTGCATCACCAATTCGACAAAGCGGGGATGTCGCGGCGGCAGCCTTTGGCTTCCCGGGAGAAGATACCGGGGTTTTGTCGGCACCGCTGGGGGTCTCGCTCACCTGCATTGTCGAGACTGCATGCAGCCAACCTTGAAGTGCGGGTGAAAAGCAAGTGGGTAGACTTCGACCAGGCAAGGGCAGGAGTTGAGAGGACGAGGTGCTCGTGTCTGCCGTGGCGTACAGCACGACAAGACCCGATGGGCGATTAAACCAATCACACCCAAGCATCTGCCCAGGACAGACGATTGCGTCTTTCAACAGAGCGGCGAGCGCTGGGGCTGCCGACCGTGGTTTTGTGCTGAAGAGTGTCGGGGCGAAATCAGCAGTCTCATCAACCATCCAAGCGTCTAATGGTGCCTCGACTGGCCGGCCGGTCTGCACATCAATCCAAGAGAGTGAAATCACAACGCGAGTCGCGACTGGCAGCTCTGTTCGTTGCTGGAGCGTGTTTGGCACCATCGTGCAGCAACGCAGGCGCGGATTGGGACCAGGCAAGACAGTTCCCGACCATAGCGATCGCGTAGGCTCGTATATTGACAGTGCAATCGCGGCCAACGACGAGAGAACAACTCGGAAGACAAACACTGCCGGATTGCCTTGTTGCTGCAGCACTGGTTGCTGCTCTGAGGCGATCGCGACGGATTCAACCATTGGCGGTGGCGGTTGTGCTGGGACATGAAGCCGCCTGGCAGCGAGATCGCGCTCTGAGGCAAACTGGATCCAGCACGACGACCCAGTCTGCGATGGGTGGCCCTCCGTCAGCGGGTTGGAAGCCAGGTCGACGACGGCAAGCTGCGCCCAGCGCCCAATCAAGGACGCGACCAGCGCATGTGCGCGCATGAGCTCGGCCCTTGCACTCCCCGCAGCCGCACTGTTGGCTCCCGTGGTCGTAGCAGTGTCCGTGGTTGTGGCTGCGGTCGGATTGAGCAGCCATGCGCAGAGCGGCGGCGCGCCAAGTTCGCCCGCACATGTTCCGTCAGCAACTCCGACAATCTCGAACGCAATGCCCGGAAGCGCAGCAGCAGTAGCAGTAGTAGCAGCACCAGCACCGGTAGCATTCAAACTCACGCCCCGTGGCTGATGCTGCTGTCGTGATGGGCTGGACTGCGGACTGCTGGTCGTGCTTGGCGGCGCTTGCTTGCGGACCATTCTTGTTCGCTCAGCAAAGCAGAGCAGCAAAAAAACAAACAAAAAAAAAAAAGAACTGAGAAATCCAATCTCGTTCAATGATTTATTTAGCCATCCAAACCTTGTTATTCTGACTTTGTTTGTTTTCGTCTGAGAATCAAGCAAAAATAGTCATCCATTCGTCATTTTTATTATTTTTCTTGTTCAAAACGCAATGAGCTCCAAAGTACGAAAACCTAGCTCGATCCCCAACCCCATCACTACCACAACTTGGTTGAATCCGAAACAAAAACCGATACTGATTTTCACCACCATCATGGCTTTTTTTCTCTTCTCTTTTTTTTTTTTTTCCTTGTACATCGTCATTTCCCCCTCACTCCACCCCCCATCTCCACCCACCTCCACGCCACACTCATCCATCGTTGCCTGCTCACACACTCATCCATCGCTGCCTTCCTTCCTTCTACCTGCCTCTGAAGCGCGATCGTCGCTCGTTCGCGTTTTTTCTCTTTCTTTCCACTTTGACTCTCGCTGATCGACTGGTCGACTGGTCGACTGCAGCGCGTGGCATTGCATTTCAGCACTTCGCCGCCTTGTGTGTGTGGTGTGGTGTGTGTTTGGTGTTGGAGGTGGATCGGACGCGGACCAGCCCGGTGAAGACCACATTGCAGTCCAGTTCCATCGCAGTCCCGACAGTCAACCGCTTCTCCACATCATCATCACCACCACTAGAATGATCATCGCCATGATGATTGGATGCACGTTGGGAGACGAGTCTCAGGGCGGGAAACGCACGCCACTCACCCCCCCTCCGTTCTCGTTCCCCCCCTTCTTCTGTTTGGAACAGGCAAGCACGGGCCTCGTTGGCCTCGCAGTCAACCCAAGCGCACGTCTGGTAAGCGGCACTTGTCACTCGTCAAGCACCACAGTGCGGTGTTTGGTCATCGTCTCTGTTCCGTCATTCGCAATGCTGAGGCGTTGACGTAACATTGTGGTCCCCCCTTTTGCTTGTCCGCTCACTTTCGCCACCACCACCACCACCACGGCGATCTGCTTTTTTTTGTTGGATTTGGTAGTCGCTGGTCAACCTGTACCGACAGACGTTGCAAGTCCTCGGTGGCTTCCCTCAGTCTGCCGTCTACCGTCAACACGCTGAAAAGCTCACCAACCACCGATTGTCCATCTTGGACCAGGTACAAACCCCTTTCTCGTGTTTTTTTTGATTGCCTCCTGTGGATGTTGGTGCTTTCTTTCGTCGCCTTGTGCGCTGTTCTGACCCACCCCCCCACCGGTGTCCGTGAAAATGTTTCGAATGTTCTTGCAGGAGCCTTCAGACGATGCTGCCGAGCGTCGCATCAACAGCGGTCAGATGGAGGAGCTTGTCAGGCAAGCCGAAGACGAGCTTGCACTTGCCAAGAAGATGGGCGAGTGGAAGGCCTGGGAGAAGCTGTCCGTCCAACCCAACTCTGAGCAGTGGAAGTGGCCATAAACGCACTGCATGCTCAGCCCGCCGCGTCTTCCTCCGTCACTCTCAACAATCTACCACAAGAAACCCCCCCTCCTCTCCGACCAATCAACAGCGCGAGCAATTCTTGACAGCCTCAGGCGACCATTGCATTTGTTTTTGTCTTTTTTGTTCTGGTTGAGCTGTTACTGTTGTCTTTGTTGTTGAACTTTCATTGAAAATACATCTTCCTGTGTCCTCAGTACCTTTCCCCCAACGTGGGTTCCTTCCTCTGCAGTCTTGCGGCACTGCTGCATTCTGTCGTTCTTGTTTCAGAAATCTCTGAGGAACGTTCTCTCCATTGACCATGAAAATCCGTACAACCTTGCTCATCGTTTGTTCGTTGCCATTGACGATCAGATCAACCCTCTTGCATTCTCCGTACTTGCACGATTTGCGAGTGCTGACGAGATCCAAGCAGTGCTCGACATGCTGACCAGCGGGCTGAAGCTAGAGAATCATATGAGGGGACCGGTTGCATTCAAAAAGGGGTGCTTTGCTAAGATTGCTCTTAGATGTACCCGACATAAAGCCTTTCCAATAGCACATCGATGAACGACATGTTGGGTCGAACTTGAACCTGCCAACCCGCGCGCATTTGTCGGATGACAGGATGATTGGCTGGCAGGATTGTCACAAGCCCGAGGTGCGAATCGACAAAAGTCGGTGCCGCCGAGCATTCGTATCGAATAGCACCTTGCTCATCTCGGACAACCAAATTAAAGCCGGTGTCATCGATGCTGCCAGAACGGTTTCTCATGTCACGAAGCACTTGAATTGCTTTCACACGGATTGAATTCCCATTGAGGCCTTGAGGAAGTGTGACTTTCAGAATACGCTTGGGAGTATCATCATAAAAACGCGATCGCTTGGTGTGATGTACGCCTTGCCAGTAGTGCGCTTCGTTCATAATGAGCTCGGCAAGCTCGGTTGGTAGTGCTGGTAGAGATGTGGCTTGAGCCTCCAGCACTGGTTCGCAGGTCAGCAAGTGAAACACGGTCTGAAGGTCTTCAGCAGTTGCCAATCGTGAAAGCAAGGAGAATGCAAGAGGGTTGATCTGGTCATCGATTCTGCGCACGAACAATCAAGGTGAATGAGCACTCCGCAGGGTGACTCTGTTGGTTGGAAGAGCACAATTCGTTCGGACAAACAACGAACTTAAGTCTAGTCAGAGTTCGGTTGACTTGACTCGCTTCACGAATCGCTTGAAGACCAGCATTGCCAATGCAATTGGATCGTAGACTATCACTTAAAGGGTGAGCAAGGTATGGCTGACGCTGGCCCAACGAGCAAGATCAGCAAAGCAAAGAGCGCAGCAACTTACTCGAGCTCAGTCAGCGTCGTGTTCATTTTGAGTGCTTCAGCAATCTCCTGCGCTCCAATGTCACCAATCTGATTACCTCTCAGACTGTCCGTCCCTCCATCAGTGAGCACTCGGAATTTTTATGAATCCCTCACATGCATTTGTCAAAGTGAGATGTTGTACTAGAGCTTCTGCACCGTCATGTTCCCTTTGAGTGCCTCTGCAATCGCCTGTGCTCCGGCATCGCCAATCTGATTTTTATCCAAACTGTCCGCATCCCTCCGTCAGTTAGCACTCGTAATGCTGAAATCACCCGCTCACATGCATCAGTCAATGTGAGATGCCTTACGTGTACTCAGTCAGTGTCGTGTTCGCTTTGAGTGCCAATGCAATCGCCTGTGCTCCAGCATCGCCAATCTGATTATCAATCAGACTGACCATGCCCTCCTGCAATGAGTACTCTGCCGACATCACGCACTCACATGCACCAGTCGAAGTGAGATGACTTACTCGAGCCACCTCAGGTTCGTGTTCACTTTGAGTGCCTCAGCAATCGCTTGTGCGCCAGCATCGCCAATCCAATTCGCCCACAGACTGTCCATCCCCTCCATCAATGAGCACTCGTCTGAATCACACACCCACATGCACCAGCAAGAGTGAGATGACTTACTAGAGGTCCTTCAGCGTCGTGTTCACTTTGAGTGCCTCCGCAATCGCTTGTGCTCCAGCACCGTCAAGCTGATTCTCATCCAGGCTGTTCGTCCCTCCATCAGTGAGCACTCTTCATCGCCCATTCTCACGCATCAGTCAAAGGAAGATGTCTTACCAGACCGCAGTCAGCGTCGTGTTCACTTTGAGTGCCTCAGCAATCGCCTTCGCTTCTTCATCGTCAATCATGTCGCACAGCCTGTCCATCCAGTTCGTCAGTACACGCGCTGTCAGACTGTGATGTTCCAATCAACCTGGCTTTCTTCTTACTCGAGCCACCTGGTTGCATTCTTGACTCTGTCATACAACTCGCGTTGGCTCTGATTCATACTCTCATACGACAGCATTGCGGAAGGTTGAATCCCAATGAAAAAAGACTGTCCCTCGCCCAAACAAAAGCGACATCACACTCAGATCAAGCTACTATTGTCTCGGCACTTTGCAGAATCGTGCTCATAGTGAACAAAATGGAGCGGGAGACACGACCAAGTAATGGATTGTGTTTATGAGCATGCTCGTTCGTGTCCACGAATTCGAACAAAGCGAAGAACAAGTAACAGACAAACTGCAGTAATGGAAATTGTCGTCTTGTGGAATGAAAGACCGACCCATCTGTACTACTTTTCCAGTTCTCCTTTTCCAGTTCTCCTTTCGTATTCTCCTTTCTTATTCTCATTCAATCGAAAGAGAAGCCGTTTCATTGATTTTTTTTTTTTTTCAAACGGCGGACGTATCGTTTGTTTCTTTTTCCCGCTCTTTTTCAGCCATACGAATCCAATCCGCTTTTTATATATCAAATCACAAGCCCAACCCACCCACACTTGCTGCTGGCAAGCTCACCACTCAGCAACAAAATGGCCGAGTACACGTTCCGGGAGCTGTCCGAGTACGACGACGTGAGCACAGATGTTGTGGTGGATACACTGCTGGGGTTTCAGACGCACAAGATGGCGCCGCGGTACCGCCCCAGACACGCCGTCGCACAAACCGTTGCTGCTGCAGTGACTGCGCTGGGCGATCTCACACCACCCATCGTGCCGGGCACGCAGCTGTCGGCCCAGCACGAGGAGATCCGCGCGCGCAGGCAGGCCACCGCGTTCGCCATCCTCTGCCGCGATCCGTGGGCTGCTCCGTACCTCGCCACCAAGACGCCAGAGCAGCAGGACGCATTCAAGCAGCACATGCTGCGCTACCTGGGCGTCTTCCAGCCGGCGTCGGGCGTTCTGATCGTCCCAACCAACCGCTATTCGCAGGATTCACGCCAGGGCGCCAAACTGTGTGCCAGCCGTCGATGGTACGTCCACAGTCGAGGCATCTTCTTCTCACGACGGAGGAGGGCGACATTGACTGGAAGAGAGTGAGAAGGGCCAGGAGCTGGAACAGCGCGACTACTGTGAGGGTTGGAACTGAAAAGCACATGTTTCACTTAATTCTGGCTGGATTGTTTCATACAGGCATAAAGGCGAGATCATTCCGTTGTTGTGTGGATGCATTGCCGAAATCACACCTCAAGAGGAGAAATCGCTGCTTCGGGCTGGTCAAAACGATTTCAGTGTCATGTATTCGACGCGGAAGGAGATTGCTCAGCTGTGGCTTGGCCCTGCAGCGTACATTAATCATGGTAATTGACCCAACACAAACAACGTGGGGGGGGGGGCTTGGAAGCACAGTGGGGATCTGGATGGGAGCGGGAGGCATCAAGTACCCATTGATTCTCACTATGTTGATTCTCGCTATGTTGATTCTCACTCCTTTGCACTTTGATCGGGTCGGGGCTGATTGCTTGGATGTACTCAGATTGCAGTCCAAGCTGCAAGGTAATGCTTATGGCTCTAATACCAACCCAAAAACTCCGACAATGCTTGACTTGCATACTCATTGATTTTTTCAACAGTTTATTCCCACATCCAAGAATACAGCTTGCGTGCTGGTCTGCAAGGACATTGATATTGGCGAGGAGATTACGTGCTACTATGGTCGTCATTTCTTTGGCGAAGAGAACGAGCATTGCGAATGCCACAGTTGCGAAATGTACGGTTTTTTTTTTTTTGGTTTTGAGTTATCGGAACTTTTCGGCTTGCACTTGCACACCGTCCTCACCTCGCTTGTCAATCTGTGGCCTTGAATAGTGGCCAAAACGGAAAGTTCTCACGGACAGACTCGCAATCATCGACTGATGGCGAAACCGATAGCTCTGAATCCGAAGCCAGTTCCAGCAACAACCAACCTAGCAACCGTAATTCGTACAATTTCCGAAGAAAGCACAAGGCTAGCTTGACCAAGCACCACGAGCCCTTAACCCATCCTGTACTGGCCTTGCGGGCCGCAGCCAAAGTTTCTCCGTTGAAGCGCGCGGCTGTTTCAGAGTCCGACACTCCAACCGCCAAGGCAAAGCAGCCACAGTTGGCTGAAAAGGCGACCGCTGCATCCTCTGCCATTGTTAAGAAAGGAGCAATCCAACTGACCGAAGAGGCGAAACGGGGGACCAAGACGTCCGCCGGTGCTCGAGCGAGCAGTTCTGCTGCATCCCCCAAATCCCAAGCCACTCCCACCACCAAGCCGAAACTAGAGACACCTGTTAAATCTTCACCCGCGTCGTTGGAGCCGCAAACCGCAGCTGATCTTTCAAAGCATCAACAGCGACAGCTGCAATCTGCACGGTAAACCATCACTTGTGGTGTCCTCTTTGACGAAATTTGCGTGGACTCAACTCAGAACACGCTTGATTCGATCTTTGTCAGGTCGAAAGACCGAGAGCTGTTGACCCTGGGCGCCGTACGTAAACTTGTGTTTGTCAAACCATTCGACAATCCCTCGTCCTGGTGGTACCCAGCAATGGTGAGTCTTCGACGCGATGCGAGCCGCGTTTACAGTGGTTGAAGTCATATTTCTCACACACGGTGCCATTTGTGTACATCACGCTAGATTGTACCCACACGAGAGCTTGATGTGACCATGCCGGTGCCCCAAGAAGGCGATTGTGTTGTCCGGTACTTTGAAGACAACTCCTTGTAAGCCAGCCAACTTGATTGTGCGCCACACCCCCGTTTGATCCATGTCACGCTCTCACAACCATTCCTTGGCGTTTGTGACTGTAGCTCGGCTGTGGCATTTAAGCATGTGGAGGAATTTGCACCGCAATCGCGATTTTACAAGCGCTTGGCGAGCGAATTTGGGTCTTCTTTCCGCACCAGCAAAGGCGTTCGACTGGCCACTGAGTGCTACAACAGCGAAAACCTTGTTCGTGTCCCGAAAAAGTTCATCTGGCGGCACTGGGGTCAATCCGATCTCGATGAGCAGAGGATGGCACAGCTCCGATCTGCGGGCGGGAACCTTCCCGATCCTGCGACCTTTGGGCCGCGAAGTTGCTTTGTGTGCCACACTACACCAGCAGTCTCGCGGCCGCTTCGTCCGTCTGGTACGACCCTTTTTCACTCTTTGATGTTGCTGTCGCGATGATTGTGCGCTCATTCTTATTGCATTTGTTGCGGGTATCAGACGACATTCCCTCACCCCTTGTGAACGTCCGACACGAATCGCTCTATGCTGCCGAGGTAAAGACACGACGACTGTATTGGAATCAACACGATCGACTTTTCAGTCTTACTTTGTTTGTTCCTTCTCGCTTTCAATCTGCCTGTTCAGCTCGTTCGCCTTGAGGTTTTTTCAGACGAACACGGCGATCTCGATGCACAGAGCTACTCGATTTCGAGCGCCGATGCTTCCGATAGCGACGTCTCCTCGGATACCGATGGCGATAGCGTGAGCGCTTCTGTGGTCGGAGAGGACTCTGATGTTCCGTCAGAGGGCGACAACCAATTCGATGGAGACGAGAGCCAAGACGTCGACGTTGAAAATGACGACGACGACCCCAATGATGAAGCCGAGGTCGACGATGACGACGAATTGATTGACTTTACCGATGACGAAGCCGACAACAGCGGTGTCGTGGATGCAGCAGATGTCGATGAAGAGGACGTCCATGACGAAGAAGAAGTCAATGACGATGAAGACGACGAGACCAGTGACGACGATGACGACGACGATGAGGTTGGTTCCAATGAAAGCGATTCGGAGCGTGCAGAGGAGACTTCCTCGGCAATGCAGCTCAGCAACGGCACGCCTCGAAAGCGGCTGTCTAAGAAGAGCCTGTTTGTGTGCGGACGGCACTGCGAAGTGCGGTACATCAGCTATCCAGTCACGTAAGCAGTCAAAACCATCCATTCCGTCTATTTTTGTTGAAACGGATTGTTGTTCACTCTGAGTTTGCATGCAGATACCGTGATTGGGTTCCGTACTCTTTGGTGATTCAACCGAAATCGCGAGGACGGCCTCCTCATGTGCATCCACCAGGTGAGAGCAGTGACGGGCTGGTGGCTGACGCGAATGCAGATTCGTTTGCGCTCACTTGGTCGAGTTGGGTGTTTTCTTGCAGAGCGCGGGGTTCGCAATCGGGGTCCGCTCTGTTTCCGACCTCCAGAGCCAGAGCCAACACCCAGCCCGCTGTTGAGTTCCAAGCGACCGCGCGGTCGACCGCGAAAATATCCGCTGGGTCCCGACGGCAAGCCAATCCGCGTGCCGCTTTCCTCTCTACCTTCAGGGTTGGCGCACAAAACCGCGGCGTCAAAGCAGCCTCGCACAACCACTCAGTCCCCGAAAGTTCAAGCGTCCGCGATGCGTGCTCCTCCAGCAGCTGCGACAGCGCCCAAGCCACCAGCAACTCCCAAGCGAAGGCCGACCGAACAAGCGACGACACCAGTGGAAACAATGCAGCAAGCAGTCTCGACGGTACTGTCGCGATCCGGCACACCTCACCGAGCAAAGCGCCGCTTCCCAGACGAGGAGTATGCTGTGCTCACTCCCAGAAGCAAAAGCCCTCGAGTAAACTGAAGTGGCGTTGCTGTCGAATGTCGATTCATGCTGGTAAAATAGTCAATAATAATAATTCTGAGGAGGTTTGAGGTTCTTCATGTTGGTTGGCAGAAGCAAAAAAACAAGCAAAAAACCACTTGTAGTGTACATTTGCAGACAATGTTGTTGGCAAGACTGGGAAACGCACATTGTTAAAAAGGCTTGGTTTGCGCCAACTGTGGCATCGGGCTCGGGGGAGGGTTGTGCTGCTCGGTCGAGTACACCTTTCGGAGCTCGGCGATCAAGTCGGTCAGCATTTGGTTTCCGCCAAGTTTTGCAATTTCGCTCAGCGCCTCCTGTTCGAGCTCATTCAGCACCTTGATCGTGTACTCGAACGAGCCAGTCTTGCGCATCGTTTCAAGGCAGAACTTTTTCATGTCAATGTCGGTAGTTCGTTGCTTGAGAATGTCTAGAAGAATGCAACGTTAAAATAACATGGTTCAATGGGGCGAAATGATCATTGTTTGAAACACATACTGAGAAGTTGCCTCTGCGAAGGAGCGCTCAGGATGCTGTGAATGATCGGAAACGAGAATTTGCCCTCGGTGAGGTCCTCGCAGAAGCTCTTGTTGTCCGTGTACTGCAAACGAGGTGAATATGAGCAAAAAGCCACGGAGAACAAAAGCAAACCTCCTTGATGTGCATCACAAACCTCTTTGGACTCGAGATTCGCGAAATCATCACGAATTTGAAAGTAGAGGCCCAGAGCGTCAAGCAGTGGCACAAAGTTGCTACATGAAAACAAATGTCCATCAGAGTTGGTTAATTCAGACGTTCATCACAACGCAAAAAGGGTTGGAGCAAAACGGGTGGAGAGACTTACGATCGGTTTTCACTGAAGGCTTGCATGAGGCGGACTGACAAGCGGAAGAGGCCTCCGGTTTCTGTCGGTTGAAACAACCAAGCAGAGCAAGCAGACAAACAAAAAAACAACAAAACCAGAAACAGTGAGCAACACGTCGACTCGTTTCAGGCTGGCCAAGCACCAACTCGGCATGCGCACGTACTTCGCTTGACCATCTCGCGGTACTCTTCTTCAGTCGGGCAGACGTTTGAGTCTCGCCACCAAATATCCAGCCCTTGACCGCGGTGAAGCTCGAGCAATTCCTCTGAACACGGTGGCACAGTTTCGGAATGAGACTAAATCCTCACAGGGTCATAGTTTAGTTGTCGTTTGCTTGTTACCAGTGAACGCAGCGACAGCTTCAGGCTTGTTCAGCTTGAGAACGCGTTCCAAGGCAAGAAAGTACGCATAGTTGGCGCAATTGATGGTCGACGGCACGCCATAAATCAGATGAGCAACTGCAATGTTTTTCAACGATCCAGATAATGCCACAGCAGCCCCCCAATGTCATAAAGTGAGCGATCCAAGAAAGGCTGAGAACCAAACACAACGCTCGAAATAGCCACCCCTTTTTGAATGACACAAGCTCAAAACAGCCAGAAGGTCGAGAAATACACCAACCTGGGACGCCACGACGCAGCTTGGAGTTGTCCTCAATATCATCGATTCTGTAGCAACGATTCGAGCGCAGATCCAGGATCAGAGAGGAAAAAGCGGGCGGGAGGGGACCGCAGTGAGTTGAGTTGAGGTAGGAAACAGCAGAGCGTCAGCTCAGCCACTTGTGCGCCAACCCCACAACCGCCCTCTCGCTTCGTCATCAGACTGAGCGAGATGATTGAACTGGAAGCAACATCTGCAGTCTGGTGGTTGGCGGCAGATGAACGCCCTCTTTGCCCCCTTTGACGTTTTGTCAGTTTCGACCAACACTCACAGCAGGCTGGCCGAGTGCAGCATCTGCACAATGCCCTTGATCTCGTCGAGCTCCTTGGTCGGGATGTGCATCCACTGGTCGAATGCGCGGATCAGGATGGTGCGGACTTCCTTGCCAGGCACCGATGTCAAGTACGTGTACGGCTCCAGCAGCGTCTAACCAGGCGTAGAATGGTCGGTCGCATTCAGTACCCACTACCACTCTCTCTCTCTCACTCTTTCTCGATTATTAGACAATGCGCAAACCTTCTGCTGCTGCTCGCTGGTCATGGTGAACTGAATAAGAGTCGAGCGAACAAGTGAATATGGACTGAGCGACTTGGACTGAGCGACTTGGGAAATCTGAGCGCCCACCATTGCACTCGTCATTCTCATTTGCCATTACTACTAGTATTCTCATTCATTTTTTGTTTTTATTTTTTGATTTTCTCAAAATGCTCACGCGTCCGCCGCTGGCAGTTGCGCTGAGCCTCGTCGGGGTTGGCATTGTAGTGACTGGCATTGTGCGCTCATGGCGTCTGCACAACCGGCGCTCGCTCTCGACGGTCGTTGCTGCGACACTGCCATCGTCATCGCCATCATCATCAACAACTAGTGCTACTACTGCGACTGTACCATCATCATCAGCATCAGCATCAGCATCAGCATCAACAGCATCATCGTCCGCTGCAGGCCGAAGCCCAAGCTCGCCGTCGCCGCTTACCTCATCGCCCTCCTCCGCCAACCACTACACTTCTGCGTCTGCTGCGTCTGCCGCTTCAGCCAACTTGACTGCCCTGCGGCCTGCCTCGATCGTCGCTCCCACCGCTGCTGCTACTACTACTACAACGACGGCTGCTGCCGTCGAGTCTGCTTCGGTGCGGTTTTCTCCATATGCTTCCTTCTATCAACCAAACTCTACTCCACTCCACTCCACTCCACTCCACTCCACCCATCTCATTCATCCAATTCAACCCCTCCCATTCAAAGTCAAATCACTGCATCGTCTGTTTGAAGGCGACGCGGTTTTGAATGCACACTTCGTTGGTTTGAAGGCGGTTTTTTTTTTCAAATCGCGCGCCATTCTTCACTCACATCACATCAGACACCCAACGACGAGGTCAACTCAAGTAGAGCTCAAGTCTGACATTCATGCACATTGCTCATTGCTCAAAGTGATGGAAATCGACAGGAGAGACCGATGGCAAAGGGACGATCTCGTCTGGTTTTCGGGGTTGGGTGATGACGGGTTTGTGTAATGTAACGACGAGGAACAAGGGGGAACAGGGGGGGGGGGGATAGGCAGTCGCATTGCGTAGAGATCACGGTTGCAACAAAGTGACTCTCTGCTCTCTTGTGAGTCATGAGATGTTTGGGGCGATCTGGGAGAAGGAGGGGGAATGGAATATGGGTGTCGTCGTTGTTTGAGTTGTGAAACAGACGCACACCTCATTCCCCGGTTGCTGCGTGCCAAAATGTTCCAAATATCCATGCATGCAGTACAGTATGCATCGTGTTGTTGGAGGGACGTGCGGGAGAAAGGGGAAAGGGGAAGGAGATACGGAAACGTCGGTTGACCGAGTGGCTAAGAATTGAAGCTGTTGGTCTCCGACTTGATGTCGTTGCGCAGTCGTTGCGCAACTTCTGAACAGCTCAGTTCTCCTTTTTCTTATTTTGTTCTTGTTTGACTATCTATTTTCATTGGGGGTTTGTGCTAACTCTGCATCTACTCTGCTCTATTTTGCGTTTGATTCTTTGTCAACACCCAACAAATGCTCTCCTCTCTATTGCGCACGGCGGTCGGACCTGCCCTGTCAACTTCAATGACGACGGCTTCTGCGACGACGACTTCTGCGACGACGACTTCTGCGACGACTGCAACTTCATTGCTGGCTCCTCCACGACACGGCATACCTGCCACGCCTCCTCCACCGCTGCTGTGCGCGCCGTCTCGCGTCCCATTGCGCTCCAATGCGTCTCGTATGGCTGCGTTGGATGTACCTGCACTCCAATCAACATCCTGCGCCGTGATTGCGTCCCCGGCTATGGCAACGACGATTTCGGTTCCGACGTCGTCTCAGCAGAATGGCCGGATTATCATTGGCAACTCGGAGGCATTCCAGGCCAAGCTCGAAGCCATCGTTCAAGGTGGCCCGCAGTCGCTCCAGGTGATTTCGGACTTTGACATGACCCTGACCCGATTCCTGTACAATGGCAAGCGCGGCGCGTCTTCGCACGGCATCATTGAGCATAGTCACATGTTGGAAGAGGCCTACCACGAAGCCACGCACAACCTGTTCTCGACCTACTATCCCATGGAAGTCGACCCGACCCTGACTCAGGCAGAGAAGATTCCGCACATGGTGGCTTGGTAAGCGTGTGGTGTGGTTGAAGTCTCATGTGCTCCATCTATCCGCTCTATTTCTCATCGTCCTGCTTCTTCTACGTTGCTCAAACTCCTCCAGGTGGGAGTCTGCCCATGAGCTCCTCATCAAGCATCGCATGAACAAGAAGCTAATCCCTGAAATGGTCCGCGGCGCAAACATTGGCTTCCGCGAGCGCACGAACGAGTTGTTTGACCTTTTGCACGCGAGCAACATTCCTCTGCTCATCTTTTCGGCTGGCATTGGCAGTAAGGATTCCCCCCCAACAGCCTTCTGTATTGAGCGGTTTACTCACTGTGCTTCTCTCCCGCAAAACTCACACGCCTTTTTCGCAGACGTCATCAAGGAAGCTCTTGCCATCAAGGCGCGGCTACATCCCAACATGCATGTCATCTCCAACTTTATGGAGTTTGATGCTGAGGGATACACGAGCGGCTTTGCCGGCAAAACCATTCATGTGTACAACAAGCAGGATGTCGTTGTGAAGGACTCTCCAGTTCACAAGTCGATTGCAGACCGCCACAATGTCATTCTTCTTGGCGACAGTCTCGGCGATTTGCAAATGTCGCGAGGTGTCGATGTTGACAACATTCTCACCATCGGCTTCCTGAACGACAAGGTCGCTGAGCGCCTTGAGAGCTACAAGCAAGCCTTTGATGTTGTGATTCTTGGCGATGGATCGGTTGACCTGGTCTACAATTTGATCTCCATGATTATCAGCGGAGAGTGCGACGAGGCCCTGCTTCATGCATCAGCATAGAAAACATTATCAAAATTAACCAGTTGCGAACTTTATTGATTGCTTACTCTTGTTTTTTTGGGCTGTTTTTTTTTGGTCTTTTTGGTTTGTATGTGAATTGAAATACAATGTTATTTCTTCGATGCAAAGGCATGCTGGTAGGGTTGCTATATTATTTTAAAAACCACATGTTGACCATTGCAACCGCTGCTCATCGCACAACAACAACAGCATTGCGTGCGCGCCACCGAATAATCATAGTCACGATCAAAACAAACAGCGCAGCGCTAAACAAGTTTGCCTCAGTGTCTGCAGAATCTGTCGACGTTTTGAGCCACTGTACAAATTCGACCAGCCGTTGACGGGTCTGCTGCAACATCTGCCGCGATCGTTCCTGCACTTGTTGTCCAGCGCGCTGAGTCGTGCTCGGTGCCTTGTCAGCCGAGGCAGAGACGAAAGGGTTGCCCTTTGTCCACAAGCCGCGAGCAGAGTCCACCAAATAATGAATGTACAGCTTGCCAAGCGCCAACGTGGCTGGATAGAAGGCATCTTCGTTCTTGGACAGTGCCAAATCATAGTAGCGTTTGGCAAGATGGAAGTCCTGGGGAAGAGTGAACGTGATTGAAAACAAAAGGGACAACAAGAAGTGAGTGACTCGGAGATTGGTGCGAGCTTGCAAAATAAGCAAACCGACCGAACTGTTGGGGCTGAAACTCACTTTGGGCAGGCCAATGCCATTCTCGTACATGTAGCCAATGTTGAACATGGCCTGCGGATTGTGCTGCTGCTCTGCTGCCAAGCGGTACTGCGTTGCTGCCATTGCCAAGTCCTCGCCGACGCCCTGGCCGTGGTAGTAAAAGTCACCGACTTTGACACGAGATTCGCCGTTCCCTTGCAATGCCGAGCGACGGTAGAGCATGAACGCTCGTGCTTCTGCAGCATCGTCGCGGAAGTAGTCCTCTTCCAAAGTGTCTGTCAAGCAAAAAGAGGAAGGTTAGGCCTTGTTAGCGAACAGCGAAAAGACCATTCAAAGTAATCCTATGCCAACTCACCACTCTCAATCAAGAAGGCCGCATTGCTCTGCGCAATCTCAAATCCAATCTCAGACGCCAGCGCAAAGGAAAGGAACGCTTCAGACTCGCGGCCCTTGGAGTGGAGCGCTTGTGCGTCTTCCAGAACATCGCTACTCCTGCCGCGCTCGGCCACGTTCTTGTACATCTAGTTTCATAAACAGACAAAGGCCATTAAGTACCACACAGACCGGGGGGGGGGGGTAAACACTCGCATGGTGACAATCAACTACTGACCGCAATAGCCATGTCGCACGACGCGGTGGCAGTGCCGACACCGGCATGGTACAAAACACCGAGATTGTAAATGGCGAGAACGTTGCCTACGATGGAATTGGGAAAAAATCAGCAAACAAACTTAAATTTTTACCACAGAGCAACGCTCATCGAACTCCAACGTGAAGCATTACCTTGCTGGGAAGCAAGCGTGTAGAACTGAACGGAAGTACAGGTTGCCAAGATGCAGCTGGGCCTCGGCAAATCCCGTCTCGGCGGCTTGCTGAAAGTACTGCAGAGCCATGCTCGTGTCCTTGGCGAGCACATAGCCGTACAGGCTCATGACACCCATACCCGTCGTTGGCTCATGACACCCATACCCGTCGTTGCCATCGGATTTCCCTGTCCAATCGGCCGAGAGACAAGGCAAGAGGCGGGGAAAGGATGAGCAAACTGTTATTGGTACGTTGAAAGCAGTGCAAAAGAGACATACCTTTGCAGACGCTTCGCGGAAGTACTTGAGGGCAGTCACATTGTTCTGCGGCACTCCTTGACCCAGGAAGTGCATTTGGCCCAGATGGGCTTTGGAAGTAATGTCCCCATTCGCTGCAGCCATCTCAAAGTAGCGTCGAGCCAGCTCGAACGACTGCGGAACTCCGTGGCCCTGATAGTAAATCTGTCCAAGAATTCCCTGCGCGGTCACATCGCCTCGCTCGGCATTGTACTGATAGTACTGAACGAAATCCGAGGACATGAACGACTTTTCGTTTTCAGTCGCTGAGAGTCGGTGACGCTCCTTCATTTGGTAGTTCCGAACGATGGAAGACTCGTGCGCCACTGGCACAGCGAGCAAGCAAGACAAAACAACAGGAAAGCCAACAAAAAGCCAGTCAACATGTGGAAGGAGCGAGTCAACTGAGTCCATCGAAGGTCCCTCGCACCAACTCTGACATGACAGTGAAACCGAGCGCTACAAACCTCGTTCGGCAACCTGCTTGTAAAACTCCACCGCCGTTTCACAGCTGGCCTCGACGCCAACGCCAAACATGTATCGGAATCCAAGCGCCATCTGGGCCTGCGGGTTGCCCCCGAGTGCGGCGAACGTGTAGTGAACCAGTGCCTGTGTGAAGTAAGAAAATATATGTCAAACACGACGTCAGTCCCCCCCAACCGCACGTCGAAAAAGGTTCAACCAGCGCATCAAACCTACCACAGCTTGACTCGCAGTGATACCGCCCACACCGATGGAATGCAAGAAGCCAAGTCCAAAGTGTCCTTCGGCGTCTCCCTGTTCTGCCAAAGCCTTGTACATCTCGACCGCTTTCGGGACGTTGTGTTCCAGGACAGTCACTTGTGGGTGGCCGAACTGCAGACAACAGCACACCAGCGCAGGTTGGTCAGTGACATTCACACAAACAACAAGTCTCCACAAGCTGCACGCTACACTATCACCAATCTCCTGCTGTACCAAATGGACACGGGCGACTGCGGCTTGCGCGCCACGGTGCCCAAGCTTGGCAAGCTCAGCGAGTTGTGTGTACCCTTGGTTAATGTCTCGCGCACTCGCGCCTGTTTTGTTGACCATTGCATTCGCAAGGTGGAACTGAGCGTCCAGCGATGTGTCAGATGCAAGGTTTTGGGAGGCGGCAGGGGTTTCGGGTGGCGCGGAATCAGCTGTCACTTTGCCGACTTCTACGTTTTGCTGCTGCACATCCTCAACCGCCAAGCCTTCAGGGGCAGCGGAGAGCTTGGTCAGGGCATCGATGTCGTTTGCGTAAGTCGCCACGATCTGATCCAGCGTGAACGACTCCACCAAGCGTCGCAGAAGCTCGAGCCGTGCAAGGCGTCGCCGCATGGCGGCCAACTCGTCTTGCCCTTCAATCGCAGACGGCGCGTCACTCGCCGCATCGTTGTCGCTGCGAATAGATTGCTGAGTTAACAGAAATTCTCCAATCAGGTGCGCTCGTTGCAATTTGACGGGATCGGTTTCGCCGGTCTTGGTTTGGATTTCCAGCTCCAACTCTTTTGCCAACGCACCGAGCTCCTGCAATACCAGGGTCTGTTCCATGTCCGTCGGAGGAGGAGAAGGAGGCGACGAGCCAGACCTCGTCGATGCGTCCGACGGCAATAGCTTTGGAGGCTCGAACACTGACTCAACTTGCTCTGCATCATACGGAGAAGGTCTGTGGTCGTCGTCCACGGCAGCCACACGAGAGACGGCGTCCGAAGTCCCAGCGGCAGGGTCGGTAACAACTCGCAACTCGAGATCTCGCCCAGCCACGTCATTGTCATTCTGCGTTGGCGGCTCGGTGCGATCGCTCTGCTGGGCTCGCTCGGGGGTGCTCTGGACGGCAGGATTCTTGGGCTTGCCATCAGCGTCGGCCTGCTGCTGCTGCTGCTGCTGCTGCTGTGGGGGCTGTTGCGCGACTTCCACTTCCGCAGCGTCAGCAAACAGAACGAGTCCTGGCGCCGACCCGGATGCAGGACCGCGGCCCAGCGGCAGCGATTCCAGCACAGACGACAATGCTACACCCATGGGATCTTGGTGGGATGGCTGCACAGCGCCCAGAAGGCGCGGCGGCGCGATCGCGGAGAGGCACAGAGCGAGACAACCAGCAACCAGCAGCGTCCACAGCAGCTGCCGTACGACAACGCCGAGCTGCAGCCCAGCTGTGCTTGAGGAGACGCGTGCAGTGGCGCGCATTCGCAGACCGAGGATGGGGGAGTGTTGGGCGGCGAAACTCAACAAAGAGAGAGTTGGGTGGTTGAGCCAATTGGGGCGAATTGGAACTCGGAGTTGAAAAGAAGGCTCACTCGAAGCCGAAGAAAGCGACTGAGCTCGCATTGGAGCAGTGTGAGATTTGTATGCAAAGGGGGGGGGGAGAGAAGTTTAGATATGTAGCAGTCGCATTTTGGAGTGATGATGATCAAGAAGAAAAGCGGCGAATTGGCTCGACTCTCAATAGAACAGGTCGAACAAGCAAAACGGCCTAGCCATGCATCCACAATTGCCGCGTGCATTTCGTGACTTCTAAGCAATAAAAAAAACAACCCTTCGCCAATGCAAACCCATGCATTACAGTGCCAACCGAATGCGGCACTCGCATCAGTCTCAAGTTGTATGTTTTGTTTGTTTTTTTGTATTGCGTTTGCATTGAGGTTTTTTTTTTTTTTTTTTTTTTTTTTTTGCGTTGAGCGAGATCCACCCCACAGAAGGAGGCGCACTGCAGCGCGGTCGTAAACGCAGAGGCACACCGCAGCGCGGTCGTAAACGCAGAGGCAGCCAGAGGGATGAGAAAGCAACATTGAACAAAAGCGAAAAACTGTTTTATTATTATTTTTTATTATTGCTTTTGGCTGAAGTTGCATTAGGAGGAAAAAAAAAAAAAAAAAAGTCGACAGTTTTTTGAATGTTTTTTTGAATGGTTTTTGAATTGAAAAAACAAAATAATAATAATAAAATACGCGACTGCGGCGCTGTCAACGCGTTGCTGATGTTGCTGATCAAGTGGATGGCGTTGCGTTCGCTCCTGTTGGTGGCGCACATGCAAGCACCGTGCTATTTGAGTGGCGGCCGCTGGCATCGTCGTTGGTTGTCTCGATGCGGATTTTGACAGCCCCACAAAAAAAAAAAAAAAAATTATCAAAAAAAATGGCAGAAGGTCCATTGCGTTTGTTATTATTATTATTATTTTTTTGTGATTTTTTTTGGCGCGCTTTTTGGTTTTCTCGACCTTGATGATTTTCGGTCGCTTCTCTCGGCATCACGACGAATGTGCGCGGTGTGTGGCCGTTGTACGATGCACCATTTATTGACATGCATGGTTGGAGTATCGAAGGCTTTGTGGACGCATGAGAGGACGGTGTGTCTGCCGATGTCTTGCCTGAGCGTTTTTTTTTTTTCGATTTTTCGATTTTTTTTTTTCGATTTTTTCGTCGTTTTTCCGCCTCTCCTCCTCCTTGTCGTCTCTCGTTCGTTGGCCACACGCGCCATCGCGCGACGGCTTGTGCGCTGCCCCGGCGTGACTGTTGCGCTCTTGCCACGAGACGCTTCGTGTCGCTGTTCTCTGCCGCTGCTGCAATGGCCGTCCCCAGCCACCGCAAACGCCAAAAGTTCATTCATAATCCGCGATCGCTGGAAAAAAAATAAACCCAACTCGAAAAAAAAAAAAAAAAAAAAACTTTAGCAATTTTTTTGTTTCCCGCCAAAAATCGACGTCTTGATTTGGGATTTAAAGCCAATTTTGGCGGGAATATCAAGTTGCGCTTTGCCCGGTTTGTCTTCTTGACTCTTCTTACACTTTGCCCACTGTTCATCGAAAGCCAAACAACCAATGCTCACCAGAAATGCTCACCCACAACTTTTTTTTTTTTTTTTTTTTTTTGGTTGGTTGTCGTTCCCGCTGCTGGCAGAAGATCCAAGTCTCAACTTTGCAAAAAAAACAATCATGGCGCGCGGTAACAAGAAGGACGAGAAGGACCCCAACAAGCCCAAGAAGCCAACAACGGCGTTCATGTACTTTTCGAACGCGATGCGCGAGCGCGTCAAGACGCAAAACCCCGGCCTGAAGATGACGGACATTGCCTCCGTTCTCGGCAAGTTGTGGGGCCAACTGCCCGAGGCCGACAAGGACAAGTACCAGACCATGGCCAACAGCGACAAGGAGCGCTACGCAAAGGCCATGGACGGCTATGTTGCGCCCGTGTCCACTGGCGGCAAGTCTGGCAAGAAGTCCAAGGATCCCAACGCACCCAAGCGCCCCCCGTCGGCCTACATTTGCTTTGCAAACGCCGTCCGACCCGAGCTGCGAAAGACCTACCCTAGCGACACCATGCCCGCCATCTCCACCAAGATTGGCGAGCTCTGGCGACAGCTGACCGACGATAACAAGGAGCCCTACAACAAGCAAGCCGAGGCCCTCAAGCTCAAGTTCCAAACCGAGATGGCTGCCTACAAGGGTGGCAAGGGCGTTGCTGCTGACGAAAGCGACGAGGAAGACGACGGCGAGGAAGAGGAGGAAGACGAATAAGCATTTTTTTCTCTCTCGCTTTGTTTCGAATGGACGTTGTGATATAAAAAAAAGAAAAAAAAACCCTCTTGCTTTTAAACCCTCTTGCTTTTTTCATTTTTCAGGCTGCTGTGAAGATTGAGGAAGGCAGAAATCGCGAAGGAACCAAAAACAACAAAGCTTTGCAATTTGAGAGAGTCTCGTCGTTTTTGTTGTCGTTGTGTCGTGTTTGTAGTTCAAACGTTTGTCCGTGTTGTTGTTTTTAAGAGCCTCCCCATTCAAGTACCCACTACTCTTGCGTCCAAGAGGCAAACTGATTATGTATTGGTGGTAAAACGAATTGCAAAAACACAGGGGGCTGACTTTTCAACCGAGCAGAACACAGGGCGACAGGAAGCGACAAATTACTGCTGCTTCTTCTTGCGGGCTGCATCCGTGACCTTCTGGGAGGCTCTGTTGTTGGAAGGAAGAGCGAGTGAGCTCCAGCACATTTTTGTTTTGAAACAACCCAACAAACAACCCCAATAACGCGAAAACCACACTCACTGGTGGAACAGCTGCTGAGCGCGAGCACGAAGGGCGGCAATCTGGGCATCAATTTGGGGTTGGTAGAGTTGGTAGATCTTGGGAATCGTGAAAAGGCCAATGTGGGCTGTAGCAAACACAAAGAAAAAAAAGCCAGGAATCACAGAATCACAGTTAGAAATGAGGCAGTGCTTGACATGTATCACACCCAGCAAAGCGCTGAACAGGCGCAGCAACAAAGCAGGCAGGCGTACTAGCAAGCAAGACGCAGCCAAACTTGAGGATGCAGCCAAAGAGGCAGCTAACGAGGGCGACGCCAGCGGCACCAGCAGCGAAAGTGGCAGTGGTCTTGAGGTCGGCGACGAGCACAATGCCCTTCACCTTCTGCAGGCAGGCATGGGTGCAGGCGAGCGTGCGGCGGACATGTTCAGCAGCGACATCGGGGTTGACAATGTGCACTTCGTTGTTGAGGAATGCTCTGAATGACCAAGCAGCATCAAAAACGCGTAAAGAATAAGAAAAGAAACAAAAAGGACGTCAGGAACAAGAACGCGATCGCATAAACTCCTTCATCCATCAGCCACAGTGTGGACATTTGACGGAAATAAATAAAAAAGAAAACGCGAAAAACTCGCCCAACAGCTGTCACTCAACCTGTCAAAAGGCCCACACACACACACACACACTTACTCGAAAGGGTGGACTGCGGGCTGCTTCTTGATGATGGTGAGGTAGAGCTGCGAGCCGTGGACGTAGGCAATGGCGCTGATGAGCGTGGCAAGGGTGGCGTACGCAGCCATCGCCACGAGCGTCGTCTTGGACAGGAAGAGCACCCAGATGGCAACGACGCCAGCGACCAATGCGAGGCCAGAGTGGACGGGGTTTTTCCAGTACAGCAGGTCGCACGCTGCTCGTTCGCCCCCCCCCGCGTTACAAAGGCAAGAGTTTCGTTATGGAAGTCACAAAACATAGGATGAAGGAAGTGAGAATGGCGCAGTTCTTGTCAGCAGCATGAAGCGGAAATAAAAAAAGCGAAAGAATAAGCGAAACGAGAAAAAAAAAAAAAAAAAAAAAAAAACGTGTTGGAGGTAAACGAGTGTGAGCGAAGAAGAGGAACAACGTACACGAGACGCTGCAGGACGAGCTGGTGCAGCCAGAGCAGAGAACGATGGGGCCCTTGGAGGAGGAGGACGCGCTGGCGGATGTCGAAGCAGCAGCAGCAGCAGCAGAGGACGAAGAAGACGAAGAGGACGGCTTCTTGGACTCGGGAGCCACTGAGGCAGGAGCAGCAGCCACGGGTGCAGGAGCAGGCGCGGGTGCAGGAGCAAGAGCAGGAGCAGCAACGACAGCGGCAACAGGAGCAGGAGCAGGAGCAGCAGCAGCAGCGACGGGCTCGGGCTGGTGGCTGACGACAGCCTCGTCATCAATGCGATTGTCCTCTTCCTCGAGCTTGTCGTACTCGTTGTCCGAGCCGGACGAGTGGGCAGCCGCAGCGTTGTTGTTGCCGTTGTCGCTGCTGGTGCTGTTGTTGTCGTTGTCGTTGCTCTGCTGCGGAGTGAGCTCGGCTTCCGTCGCGTTCAGCTCGGGCACGGCTTCATCGAGAAGGTCAGACATGTTAGGCTGGGTGTGTGTGTTTCAAAAACAAAACAAAAGATTGAGCATTCATTCAATTGTCAACTACGTATGTGGATCAAAGTCCACGTACTACAATCGGAAACAACACACATGTCGTTGAACCAGTCGTTCTTTTGTTTTTGTGTTTTGTTTTGGAAAATCAGTTTTCTCAGACGACCCGGCTACCTGATTTGGTCATTCTCTTGGCTTTGCAAATCGATCGTTGATCCTTGTGTTCATTCGCTCGTTCTCTCGCTCTTTCGTTCGTTTGTTCGTTTCTCTTCTCTTGCCTTGGAACAAAGGATAGGAGCGGGGTCGAGTGCGGGTGAATGCAAGCAGTGCTGCCTCGTGTTGGTTCTTCTCTCGTCCACCCTGCGCTTCTGTTCGTCCCCGCGTTTGCTGCAGCAGCGTCCATCGCCACCACTCGAGACTCGTCTCTTACTACTCATCGAGTCCGTCCATCGCTCGCGGCTCGTTGCGCGTCCCAGCAGGGGGTCTGGTTTCACTCTGCCACTGCTGCCAAGAAGCATCTTGGCGCTCCCAGCTCAACTTCAAGCTCAAGCACTGCCACGAGCCCCAGCTCTACCACTCCAACTGGGCCGAATCGGACCCTGACCAAGACTAACAAGACTACTGCTCCAAGTCACCCATCATCACCACGGAGCACCCATCTTGCGTCACCGCCACTTGGACCGCAACCATCCACGCAGCCGCTCACGCCAACGCCAGCCACTTACTTTCGGAACGAAAACCGTGGCATCATGACTGCGCACATTCAAGCACTTGGCGTCCGGCCCGAGCACTTGCACCCGAGCACGCTGCTCTTTTTCGACCGCGCGCGCTACATGGTCAACTGTGGCGAAGGCCTGCAACGCTTTTGCGTCGAGCATGGTGTGCGGGTCGCACGGCTCAATGCACTGCTCTTTACGCGTCTCTCTTGGGAAGTTCTCGGAGGCCTGCCCGGAACGCTTCTCACGATGGCAGACGCCTTTGTGCCGGGTGTGCACTTGTACGGCCCTCCGGGACTGTCCAACTTTGTCTTTGCCACACGATCGTTCGTACGGCGAGACGGGTTTCAAGTTCGTGTCACAGAGGCGTCTCCCAGCAGCATCAGCAGCATCATCAGCAGCAGCAGTGGGACCCAAGCGGCAGACATTCCCGTTTTGGCAGATGACTGTCTGAGCGTGTGGCCAATTCTGCTCTGGCCCGAGGGCCACGAGGCGACCCATGCTAGCCCCATTCTTCCCCGTACCATTGGTTTCCGGGGTCAAGGCAAAGACACCCCGCATTGCGCCACTGGTACATCTGGGTTTGTTGTGGACAGCATCGAGGAAACTGCCACAACGGCGCCCTCCTTCAACACCATTCCTGCTTCGTCTACTACCACTACTACGACTACTACTACAACACAGGCGGCCTCAGCGCAAGAATCAAAACACCGTGACAAGCGATCTCGGACAGACCCGGACCTGCCACCAACCGACGAGGGACAAGTCCGAGTTGTCAGCGCTCGAACACCGCCATTCGACCCGGCAATTCCAACCGCGTTGGAGCACGTCAGCCCACCCACTTCTCCACCGGTGGGTGCACCAGGCTTGTACTCGACGGCTTCTGTTTGCTACCTGATCGAGACCAAAGCCCTGCCTGGCAAGTTTCAGCCCGCCAAAGCCAAGGAGCTGGGCGTGCCTCGCGGTCCACTCTTTAGTCGGCTGGTTGCGGGCGAGTCCATTGTGCTGGAAAACGGAACCACCATCCATCCACACCAATGTGTCAATCCCCCAGTCTTGGGTCGCGTGGTGCTCGTTCTCGACTGTCCAACGGAACAGCACGTCCAAGAACTGCTTGCCAAGCGGCCCTTCATTGAGCAGATCACTGCACCTTCCAACAAGCTGGCGCAACTCGATCAGGTCGTCCACATGTCTCCACTCCCAGTTGTAGAGTCTGCACTTTACCGCCAGTTTGTCCAGTGGTTGGAAGGTCTTTCTGCACAACAGCAGCAACAACAACAGCAGCAGCAACAGCAACAGTCCGCTTCTTCTTCCTCTTCTTCTTCCGAAGAGGCGGCGGTGGGCTCTGCTTCACCCCACCATGTCGTGTACAATCAAGCTTGCGAGGGGCGACTTACCTTGCGTGCCTTCTGCCAACTCCAAGTGCGGCTCAACGCGCTGGATCCGTTCGTCTTCCCCTTGCCTTTGCCACTGCCTCCAGTCAGGTCGGACAGCGTCGCATTTGTGCCACCGGGAAACATTGCCACTGCTGGCGCAACACGGGGCACAACCGCGCCATGGCCTTTCGTCTTGGCTGAGCCACTGCAGAGTTACCAGCTTGTGCCGCATCGCGCGGCTGGATTTGATCCCGCCTGCGCAGTGCCATCCTCCTTGCTGCGCGACTTGGCACACGAGCATTCCAGCACCCCAATTCCGCCGGATTGCGCACACGAACTGTCAGTCACGGCCGCCAAGCTCGCCGCAATCAACCACAAGAATGGCGAGCCTGTCGACTTTTTCCACGAGCCCCTGACGGTTGTTACTCTTGGCACCGGCGCCAGTCTGCCTTCGTTGCGCCGAAACGTGTCCGCAACGCTGGTCTTTGTTGGAAATGACGGCTCTGCAGCGCCAACCGGCGGGCTTTTGCTGGACTGCGGCGAGAGCACCGTGAGCCAGTTGTGGTACCACTTTGGTGAAGACACTACGCGCGTGCTGAGCATGATTGAATGCATTGCCATTTCACACATGCATGCCGATCACCATCTTGGATTGATTGGTGTGCTTCGCGCACGACACGATGCATGGCTTGCCATCCACGGCGGCGCATCCCAACCGCCTCCGCTCATTGTGATTGCACCATCCGCACTCGATCAGTGGCTTGTCGAGTACTCTTCGTGGGTGCAACCAATATCCTACACGTTTGTTCACAACCGATCGTTGGGTGGCGGAATCCGCCTCCCACTCAACGCAACCAAAGGTTTGCGCTCGCGAGCGCACTCACAGGAGCAGGGACCCGAGCTTTCTGCCTCAACTCCAAGCTCCCTCGAGGCGTCGATGCAGGTGGATGATGTACCGGGGGATGCGACACGCAAGCCTCGTGTGCGCTCGTTGAAACGAGAAAATCCCGTCGACATTTCGACCCGTGAGTCGGATGCGGATGTGTTGGCAGTGGACGATCGCCCTCTGATTGCCTCGGCACAGGATATTGTTTTGCATGGGCTTCCCGATGCTTCGTCTGTTCTTCGTCAGCGCTTGGGCATTGACTATATTGTGAATGTGCCCGTGCTGCACTGCGAGGATGCGCATGGGTTCGTTTTCGCTCATGCCAGTGGCTGGAAGATGACGTACTCGGGCGATACGCGGCCCTGCCAACGATTGGCAAACGTTGGACACGGCTCGACCCTTTGCATCCATGAAGCGACATTCAACGACGATCTTCAAGGCGAGGCGATTGGCAAAAACCACACCACAGTTGGCGAAGCCGTCGCTGTCGGCAACGCCATGGCTGCAGAATTCACCCTTCTCACTCACGTCAGTCAACGGCATCCAAAGGCCATCAGCACGCCCGTGGCGCTTGAAAGCACAAGCGCGATGGTTACTGACGACAGCAGCTCGTTCCAGGCCACGCAGGCAGGATTTGCGTTCGATCTGATGCGTCTTCGTCGGCCAGACTTTGACAAGCTGCCCGTCATTGCCGAAGTGGTGAATGTACTGCTGGGAGGTGATGATTCGGGCGAGACGGCCGAGACTGACTTGCCGACCGCCGATGCTGCTGCTCCTTCCAAGTCAGTGACCAAGGCGGCAACGAAAGCGACATCTCGGTCTAAGAGAATTAGTCCCGATGATGCGTGATTCAAGGAGGCGCCCACTCTCCAAGCTACTGCACTCGCGTATTAAGAAATAAAAAAACTCCAAATTATTACAGAGCAACGAAACGCAATGTGGCAAATATACAGGGCAAGGAAGAGAAAGGACGACGGAAGGAATGGATGCATGGAATGGATCAGGGAGAGGAAAGGACAGCTCAGGCGCTCTTGGAATCTTGGGCGCGCTTCACCGCACCAAGGCCACCTCCAGCACTCGTGCCCGCTGACTTGCGTTCCTCACGCGCCTTTCGCAGCTGCTCTTGGCGTTGGCGCTGCGCTTCGCGTCGTGCGGCAGGGTCCTCATTGCCAAAGTAAGAACTGGCGTCGTGGAACTCATCCGAGTCCTTCGCGCCGTCATTGTCGCTCTGGCGTGGGGCATCAATGACGACTCCCGATTTGGAAGTGGAGGATGGCGCAGCAGCACTAGTTTGAACCTGGATGGGCGCAGGTGCTCCTACAGCGGGAGGCGCAGACCACCAGCCCGAGCTGTCGTCGGAATCGCTTGAGAACTTGGACCACGCCGACGCGGTTGGTTGGGGAGCTGCAGGGGTGAGTCGCGACGAGAGCGTGGCTGCTCCAAGAGCGGGGACACGAGCAGCTTGCTGCTGGCTGGCTGTTGGAATGGCTGTTTGTACAGGCTTGACGGGTGCTGGCGGCTCGTCTTCGAACGATCCTGTATCAAACAGTTGAACACGCGGCAAAAAAAAATGATGAGTTTCGAAAGAAATTGGGGGAAAACACGCACCACCACTTTTCCTAAACGCAACAGACAATGCATCTCTATTCTCACCCCAGTCCTCGGTGTCGTTATCCCATCCGCTCCCACCGCGCAGAGCACCGGAATCTGCACTAGCCGCGGGTGCAAAAGCAAACACGGGTCCTGGAGGCGACGTCACGTCTTCGTCCGCCTCATCATCCCAAGCGCTTCCCCAGCCAGAGGCTTCTTCGGCAGTTCGCTGCAGAGTCATTCCTGGGCGGCCCGAGCTCACTTCGGCCACGGGTGCCTTCATTGTGGTGGACGAGGAACTGGACGAGGAGGTAGAGGAAGCAAACGACGGTTGCTGAGCTCCAAAGGTCTGCGGATTGGTTGCTGCGGGTGTGGGACCAGATCCCACGCCGGTAGCACGGCCGGTCGATGCGCCAGAGTTGACAGTGACAGGACCACCAGTACTTGGGCCAGCAGAGGATGTCGCTGGCGGCGTACTCGTCGGAGTGGCAATCCATTTTTTGGCAATCGAGCCAACCCCGCTCACTGCCCAACCCGTCCACGAGGCAGCATCTGGCGTGGCGCCGACTGCGCCATTACCAGCAGAGGAAGCGGCACCGGTGCCAGGCTCAGGGGCTTTGGTGGGGTCGGTGGCTGGCAGAGTTGAGGCGAATTCTTCGACTTTGGCGAGGGCAGCTTGGAAGGTTTTGAATGCTTGATCGCGAACAGCTTTCTCTGGGTCGATTAGTAGCGGAGAGATGTTTGGCAGAATCTAGAAGCATGCAAGATGGTCAAAAACCAGAAGCTTGTAAGCAAAAAACACTCACTTCAACAATAGTCCTTCCAACAAAGCGGCGTCAAACCTTCATGGCGAGCTCGTTCCCAGAGTAGTACTCGCTAGTAGCTTGGAATGCCATCAATCCAGCAATTCTGGAATGTGGCGATGTATCCTTCAAAGCGCGCGAGAACGCAGCGACCAGCACCTTGTCTCGTGTCTAAACATGGGATCGAGCGTCATCACAACAGTCAAAATGGGTCAAAACTTCTGCCAAACAAGACATAGCGAAACGGAAGACAATCAAGTGGTGGCGCGTACGGCAGCTGGCAGGGACGGCGCAACTTTGCCAAGGCAGATGGTGGTGTTGGCGCGAATCGTTGCCACTTCATCGAGCTGGAGCTTGGCAAAGAACTTGAGCAGCTGCGTATTGATTGTCTTTTCTGTGAGCTTGGGCGTGAACAAGAGCATGCTTTTCAGAGTCTGCCAAAAAAAAAAAAGGAAAAAAAAAAGAGAAGCAAAGTAGAACGACCAATCAACAGGGGAGAGAGAAAGAATAAACAGAACGCGCGTCCATGCAAAGAGAGAGTCAAAGAAACATGCCAAGTGAGCAGCCAGCCATCCAGACCTCAAAGAAATGAAAACAATGACAAACGTTTCTTACCGCTTCGCGAAGGGATGCAGAAGTGTCCATAAAACCATTCGCAACATGGGGGAAGATCTGGTCATTCACGACAGCAGCTTGCAGATGCTCGTGATACTGATCGAGATGCGCCAGTAGATGCATGCGCATGGCGCGGTCTGGCGAGGCAAAGAGCTTGACGACGCACGGAACAATCTGCGTCTCATACTCTGTGGCCGGCAACGACTGCGCGATTTTCATCACGGATGCAAGGACGGAGGAGGTAGCAATGTTGTATTCGAGCGCAAGGAGCAGCTGTGGAAGGACGAGGTAGCGACATGCGGCGATCGGGAAGGTGTCAATGTGCTCGGGCAGATGACGGAAGAATTCCGTTTTCTCACTGGCCTCCTTGATGCTGAGTTCCTCCAGAAAGACACACGCTGTAACGAACGGGTTGTCGAGGAAACCGCCCGGCTGGCGTCCTTCGGTTACAAACCGGGAAGAGTTGAGTCGCGCCTTCACGTCCGAGTGCAGCAGCGAGCGGTACACGGGTAGCAGCGTCTTGGGAATGGAGCCCGTCGACTGAAGGGACTCTGGACGGTCGAGAGGGCCATTGAAGCATTCGTAGACAATGCAACCGAGACCCCAGGAGTCAAAACTCCAGGTGCAGGGCGGCGTGGCCAAGAACCCGGCCGCCAGTACGGCCACACCGCGATGGTACTCTGGCGGGCGGTACTTTTGCAAGCCTGGCAGGCAGTTGATGCCGAGTCTGGAGGCTACCACGGAGGGCTCTTGGTCTGCAGCGACGAGGCAGTCAAAGCCGAACAGCTTCCACGCGCCCGATCGATCCACCACCACCGCGCCCGGGTGGATGTTGGCATGCACCAGCTTGCAGTCATTGTTCAAGAAGCTGATTGCCTTTGCGAGCTGATGCAGGCCCCAAGCAACGGCCATTTGCGTTCGCTCGAGTTCGACGGCCTTGCTTGCCCCAGCCGTCGTTCCGCCCGCAGACGACGACGACGACGACGACGACGACGACGAGCTCTGCGCAGCATCGAGAGCACGTCTGAGTGGGACGACGGGCTCTGTGACAATGTACACCTTGGTTTCGAGGTCGACGCCGTCCACGTAGCGTAGTAAGCTTGGATGCATCAGCGTCCTCATTCTGCGGAAGGAGTCTCGCGCGGCCACCATGCTCTCATGAGGCAAGCGCGCCGAGTCTGCCACAAAGACCGAGACGGGCGACTTGTCCGCCTGCAGTTGGAGGAAGGGGGAGGGGACAGTTACAGCGTTTGGTTGGCTTTCCATTGAGTTTTCCATTGAGGGACGTGGCCAAGCATCATCACACAAATGCAAAGCGCAAAAGGTTCATTCATTCAGAGGGAAAGAGCTGACCTTGCGAGTGCCGTCGCGGAGCTCCCACAGCGACACTGTGGCAGAGACAGTCGGGCTGACTTCGTATGGAAAGTCCTTTGTTTGCTGCGCGCCCATTTGTTTCTCAGAAACACAGACAAGACTGAGAATGATGCCAAATCTCGATATTAGTATTCGTACAAGTTAAAGCATCAACGCAAATAAGACAGATCAACATCCAGTCAGTATTTTTGAGAACCTGTCAAAACATCTCAGATTTGAGAATGAAGCGAAGTGCGCAAACATCCTTCTTCTCAGCGGACGCAAGAAAGAAGCCGCGACAGGATGACAAGGATGATGATCCTCTATCATTGAGCGCATGGAACGTTGATCGAAGCGCGGACGACTACCTGGTGCCGAGCGACGAAGACGAGGACGAAGACGAGGAAGATGAAGATGAAGACCATGACCATGACGATGGTGAAGACCAAGATCAGGACCATCGGGACCACGAACTGCATCCTGATGCTACAGCAAAGGCGACGAGCAAGAGCGATCAGACCGTCGTTGGAGGCTCAGCCTCGTCCAAGCAGAAAGGCCTCCCGAAGGCGTCCGTCACGGCTTCAGAGATGACACGCGCAGTCAACAAGTATCTTCGCGATCAACGCTCTAGAGCACTGCAGCCTGCATCCCAGCATGCGGCAGAGGGTGCTTCCAAGTCGAATCCGCATCAACCTGCAACGGACATCCTGGGCATGCCGTTCGCACCGCCTCATCGCCGAAATGTCTACATTGCTTCGCCACCAAACTTTTCGCAACTGGCGGAGGCATATGCGCCTCTCCGGGCGTTCCTGCGGGCCAACAACGCGCCCGCCCCGAAGCAACCAGCAGACAATGAACCGCCTTCCGACCAGCAAGCAGAAGCACCAGGCTTGGACACCCACTCTCCTGTCGATAACAAGTCTCCAGAGATGACGCTGGACTTTTCACAGCCCCGCGCTGTCGCCGCCTTGTCGCAGGCCATCTTGCACGCCGACTTTAAACTGACCGTGCAGATTCCTGATGGTACGTTGGTGCCAACCGTGCCCAGCCGCTTGAATTACATTCTGTGGATTGAATCCTTGGTCACGTTGCATCGGCGAGCAACCACCAAGCGCCAGAAGGACTCACACGGCGAGGCCACAAAGCAGCCAGTGTCCGGAATTGATATCGGGACCGGCGCGACTTGCATCTATCCCTTGATGGCAACTTCCTTGTTTCCTGACTGGTCTTTTGTAGCCACGGACATCAACCCGGACTCTTTGCAGCACGCCAAGCAGAATGTTGCGGCCAACGAAGCGGTTGCCGCTCGCATTCGTCTTCTGCAGCAGCAACCCGAGGACGAGCTTCTCCACGGTGCACTCGGCGAAGCCGGCACGTGTGATTTCGTCATGTGCAATCCGCCCTTTTACGAAACCCTCGACCACGTCCCGTTTGCGAACAGCGAGTCAACAACAGCACCTGCTTCCCGAAATAACGATGAACCAGGGCCGCCTCGGCGACGCGTCCGCCCGCAAACCAAGTTGGCCGCAGCAGCATTAATAACTGAAACGGTAACATCGGGTGGTGAAGTTGAATTTGTGCGGCAGCTCATCAAAGAGTCGGAGGCTTTGCAAACGCGAATCACGTAAGCCGAATTTGGTTGCGACCACCTCCACTTCTTTGATCTCCAGGCGACTCAGCCATATTGCTGTTGCTTGCACGATATTGTACAGGTGGTATACTTCGCTTTTGGGACACAAGTCCTCGCTGGTCACACTTTTCAAAGAGCTGCACGGGCGAACGGACATTGCAGTTACCTGGACCGAGCTTCGGCAAGGACGTACGATTCGTTGGGTGATTGCCTGGACCTATCTGCTCCATGTAAGGACTGCCAGCACTTTTGTCTTGCTGTTGTTGGCTGAACCTAGCGGAAACTAAACTTACAACTTTTCACCTTCGGCACACAGCCTCGCATTCTGTTACAGATTGGCGACCCGCGCGTTATGGTGCACCACGAGTATACAGTTCCCGCTGAAAGCTTGGACACGGTGGCGACGTCCCTGGTTGGAGCTCTTCGCGAGGTCAATTTGGAAGCGGAAGTTTACCCGCCCCTTGGCATAGCGCTTCACGATTTTGCGCGGCGACTGGAAACACCTTCTCCTGCGCACCAGTTCCGCACAGTGTTTGTTCGACCGTGCGTCGAAGGGTGGACCCACGATCGTCAGCGTCGCCGTGCCATGCAGCGACTTGCGCGCGAGCAAGGTGAAGCCGGTGCCTCAAGCGTCGTTTCCCAGCCGCCCACTGAGACCCATCCGTCTCGCCTGGACGATTTCAGTTGCCTGCCGGCTTCTCCGCTGTTGACTGCCGCTTGGCGCATCGGGACGTCCTTTGCGGGCACTGGTGGTGTGCAGGTGCACTACTTTGTTCGTCAGGTGCGCAATCGCGCGTCTGCCAACACCCTTCACCTATTTGCACAAACTCGCCTCCAGCGTGCTTTCCCAGTGGCCCAACCTGCACCCACGAGCGAACAAAGGACCAGCAAGACTTCTGATTGAATTTCATCGCAGGGTGAACGTTGAACGCTTTTGCATGACAATAAATAGTGTACTCGACAACCAAAGCGCATTGACATCAAGCAACGCTAATGAGATTTAGCGTGGAAACATGCCCGACAACCGCGAGTTAATCGTAACCGACGAGCTGCCAAAGCGGGAAGCCACCATATCGCGCAGTTCGTCCGAATACACGGAATCCGACATGTTCGCAGCAAAGAAGGCACCGGGCAATGCCACAGGAGGCAATGTTAAGCTGGGGGAGAAGACTTGAATCGTTCCATCCAGCTGACCGCGGAAGATGCGTTGCGGACCGAGAGCCAAGTTGGCGAGCGAAAGCGTGTCATTCTCGCCGCCTTGTTGGGGCTTTGGCAGCACGACTGAACGCATCGAAGCACCCGTGGCAATGTTCCACAATCCAATCCCGCCGCTCCAGGAGCTCGTCAAGAGGCAGTTCGTTTTAGAATCCACCGAGAGCGACGAAATGGCCGCGGACGAACGGGCGCAGACGTCTTTTGCTCGCGCAACGCGAGACATTGTGGCGTAGTCGTAAAAGTCAAGGGCAACGACATCACTGGCTCCGCGCGAGAGATACGGCCCACCAGTCACTGCGAGTCTGCCCGTGTCCAAGAAAGCAGTGTCTCGCACGATAAAGCCAGTTCGCACTGCCGCGCGCATGCGGTTTGCACGAACGTCAAACACTCGAACCGTGGTATCCCGGGAGCCTGTCACGAGCTCATTGGGTAACTCGTAGCTGTAGCTCTGCTGTGAGGAGTTGTGTGTGGGTGCTGGCTTCACAGACAGGACAGACCCTTCGTGCCGGAGGAGCAGTTGCGTGGCATGTGCTTGGCTGCAGTGCGAGCGAGTGTCCCAAAGCACGACAGCCCCGGACACGAGCCCAGCGATAAGGGTGGTCCTGTTGAGCATGCAGATTGAGGTTACGGTTGGGGTTCGAGTGCCTTGAGTGGCACTTGCGCGGGCCAACGAGCCGGACGTGACAGTTTGACCAGCTTCCACGTCAACGACGGCCAGCTCACCAGTTTCGCCACCGACGCACGCAGAGTCAAGACGGTCGGAAAACCGCATTGCAGCGGGCTGGCGCGGAGTGGGAATGTCAATCGTTCGCCGACAAACGCCCGACAATGCGTCCCACACTCGAATGGTTCCATCAGCCGAGCCACTCAGAAGCAGTTCAGAGGATCTTGAATCGAACTCTAGCTCCTTGTCATTGTCATTGTCGTTGAAGGAGTTGTTTAGTGACATTTCTTCGTCGTCGTCGTCTGAATCAGGATTGTCCGAATCGGCTTGTTCGGATTTGCGCTGGAATCCGAGTTGCAGCACTGCATCGGTGTGTCCCACCAGTTCCTTGGAGGAAAAGGTGCCAAACATCCAAATGTATCTTGATCGCCAATCAATGGTGCCATGTGCGGGCGAGGCTTGAGAGAGTCGGCGCTCTGCGGATTTGGGGTTGGAGCGATTGGAGCGAGTTTCGGCTCGATTCTCCACTCGGACGGCCGCATTGGTAGTACTACTGCTGTTCATAGGATTGGCATTTGAGGCTGCTGCTGGCGTGCTGGTTCTTGTGGAAGCGACAGTCAGTGCGCGGTCATACACTTTGCTCCAAACCAGGTTGTCCATTGCCAGCCGCCGTAGCTGCCTGCAACAGCGTGCGACGCGAGCCAGACACGGCGGATCTAGCGACTGTAGAATTCGGACGAGGATCTCATCTGGGAGGGACAGCAGATGCAGCGGCTGTTCATGATCGGTGCTCGTCATCGTTTCGCAAGGAGACTGAAAATTCGACCGGATTTGGATTTTTGAGATGTGATGACAGAGGTGTGGATCTCAGTTTCACTCAATTCTACCTTGCAGCAGAATTCCATGGCCATTGGCGAGACGAACAACTTGGCGTCTTTTGCCAAGTTGAGGCGGCCAACGATCTGGTCCTGGCAGAGTTTTCCGAAAGATGATGGAATTGCAGCAATTGAGACGGATTGTGCAGATCGATGTTTTGTTATAGAATTTTCATCATAGGCAATAGAGAGAGAGTTTAAGGGAGCGGCCTGTGGGAAGCGGAGTGATCGAGTAGATGAAATGGATTGAACTGGGATTTTGATTTTTGCGCTCATTTCTCCATCCCCGATTTGGACCCGACCCGGCCAGTCCAGTCTAACATCTACCATGTCGGGCGTACGTCAATCCGATACACTTTTATGTTTCACATTGGATTCGATGGAGGGAATGCTGCCGATTGCATGACGCAGTGCTGCAAACAGCCGCGCAAGTTGCGATGCTGGTGGGGGGTGGAAATGGAAGCTGGATGGAAAAGCGTCGCAAAGCGCCTTGCTTTCGACGCTTGTTGCTGCCGTCTCTCGCTCTGATGGCATGAAGCAATCTTTTTGCGTCATTCACCATTCTGTTTGTGAGTGGCATGACGTAAGCCGCAGTGAGAGAGCGAGCGATTGTGATTGAAGCGTGACTTTTTTCTTGTTTGCTTTGCTCCACATGTGCGATTCTTCGACTTTTCATGTGCTCTCCCTCTTTCTTCCGATCCTGCGTTTTGCACGAACTTTGGCATCACAAAGTTCATATTCGAACAACTCGACAACGGCGGAATGACCAGCTTGTTGATGGGCGCTGATGCAATTGTCATGGTCCATTACAACAAGCACATGGCTTCAACACTTCTTTTCTCGTTTCCCCTTGCCACCTTTTCTCTCCATCTATCTCGATCAAGCAATCGCTTTTGATCTACATGCATATCCGTGACTCCGTGCACATCATCACAAACACTCACGCCCCTTGTCGGTTCAATCCGAGCAGAAGTTCTACACCAACAAGCACAACCTCCGCGCCAAGCGCGTCTTCGTCACTGCCCAGTACGCTGGTGTCAAGCTCGAGGTCGTCGCCTTCAACGCTGAGGAGAAGAACGCCGAGTTCGTTGCCAAGTTCCCCCTCGGCAAGGTCCCCGCCTTCGAGGCTGCCGACGGCACCCACCTCTTTGATGCCGACGCCATCGCCCGCTTTGGTATGTCCTTTTTGGCCCTCCTTCCTCTTCTCTCACATATTTGCGTTGCGTCTCCAAACCTTTCTTTCGCCTCCTTTTTCTCCTCGCCCCCCTTTGACAACCTTTACAATGATGATACAATTCGTTTTTTATTATACAGTTATCCCTGTCCGAAAAGATTGTGTGGATATCGCGAAATATGTGCTGATCACTCGTTTTCTCTGTCTCTATCTCTCTTTATCAAACATTTCCCCCTATTCCTTGGTTATCTTTTTCTCTGCCTACTTGTCCCGGCTGATCTTGACTCATTTTTTTTTTTAACTTCCTTCTCGAATAGTCGCTGGCGAGAACCGCACCCTGACTGGCGAGACCACCGTTGCCGCCGCTCAGGTCCAGCAGTTCATTGGCTTTGCCAACAACGACCTGTTCCCCGCTGTCTGCACCTGGGTCTTCCCCATCTATGGCGCCATCCCCTACAACAAGACCGCCGTCGATGCTGCCAAGGCTGACCTCACCCACTCGCTCGGTGCCCTCAACACCATCCTCCGCACCCGCACCTACCTTGTTGGCGAGCGCGTCTCCCTTGCCGACATCACCGTCGCCTCCGTCCTCATCCCGCTGTTCGAGCACGCTGCCGACGCTGCCGTCCGTGCCCAGTTCCCCAACCTCACCCGCTGGCTGACCACCCTCATCAACCAGAAGCAGTTCCTCGCCGTCTTTGGCAAGGTCCAGTTCACCGCCACCGAGAAGCAGGCCGGCGCCGCCGCTGCCGCCGTTGCCGACAAGCCCAAGGAGGAGAAGAAGAAGGAGGCTGCCCCCGCCGCTGAGAAGCCCAAGGAGGAGAAGAAGAAGCCCGCCAAGAAGGACGACGATGAGGAGGACGAGCCCATCGACGAGGAGGAGAAGGAGAGCAACAAGCCCGAGTTCCAGTTCACCCTGCTCCCCAAGTCCAGCTTTGACCTCGACGGCTTCAAGCGCAGCTACTCTAACGAGGACACTGCCACCAAGGCCATCCCCCACTTCTGGGAGCACCTCGACCGTGAGGGCTACTCCATCTGGCGCTGCGACTACAAGTACCCCGAGGAGCTCAAGAAGTGCTTCATGACCGCCAACCTCATCTCTGGCTTCTTCCAGCGTATCGAGAAGCTCCGCAAGTTCGCCTTCGGCTCGATGTGCATCTTCGGCACTGACGACAACAACCAAATCTCTGGTGTCTGGGTCACCCGTGGCCAGGACCAGATCTTCTCCCGCGCCGACGACTGGAACGTTGATGCTCCCTCATACAACTGGAAGAAGCTCGACGTTAACAACGCCGCCGACAAGAAGATGGTCGACGAGTACCTTCTCTGGGAGGGTGACGAATTCAAGGAGCGCAGCTTCAACCAGGGCAAGATCTTCAAATAAATGAAGCGGCTCTTGTTGTGTTTGTTGCTGCCCAGGAGTCGCTGTCCAGTCTTTGGTTGATTCTCGTTGGTTGGATGGTTGCTTTTTGAGCTACTTTGAACGCGCCAAAAATATATCTGTTAATTAGTCACTAGTTTGAGCAGCCAAGAAGATGAAAAAGGAGGGGTTGTGTTCTATTCTCGCAGGATTGCATTGTGTATTGCTCGAATCGACTACATCGCGACGACAATGCATTGAACGGTAAAGAAAAAAAAAAAATCAATTTACTTGCTGCGTTCGATCTTGCGCTTGTAGGCCAGCAGAAGGCGCAACGAGGGGAAGCCACAGATGAACGACTGGATGGTCCATGCAGCAACTGTCTTTGGCTGCAACTTGAGCTTGGATGCGAGAGAGTAGGCGTAGGCGCCTTCGAATACGTGCACGACGATGGCAACGACAAATCCAATCTGCATGCTCAAGCTGTGCTCGTACGACAGCCACCTGCGTTCCAATCAAGCAAAGGCAGGCAAAGCGGGCAAGAGGAGATGTTGTTCATTGTGAGTAAGGTGGCTGTGCTTGGAACAACCAGAGCGCGCGATCGCAGCAGCAACGCGGGTTTTTGATCGAAATGGATCAGCTCGATTCGTCCAGTCCTTCACCTGACAAAGCTCGCAAGAGGTCCCAGAACGGCAAATGGGAACGAGTCGGGATGGAATGCAGAAACCTCAAAGGCGAGCAGGCCACCGAGAATGGCAATCCACCAGCCAATGCCGGGAACGGCAAAGTACGTCGGGTTTACTTTCGACTTTCCGCTCATGTTTAAGATTGTAGCACAAAAAGAAGAGTGAGCCAGCGAAGACGAGACGAGGGTGCTCAGTAAATCGAGTCAGGAGGGGTTTGATTTATTTTATATTGGGGTGGCGATTCATGAAGGGAACAATTGAGGGGCAATTGCAGTAGCGATGGCTTTGGCAAGCGGCATTCCAAGTGGCTTGCATTGTACGACACGACCGAATTTGATGTCAGCCAGGCGTTGCAGGGTGCCGACGGAGTCTGATTGAAACGCATCATGCAGTCTGAACAGCCCAAGGAATCATCAACAAACAACAAAAAGTTACAAACTCTCTCCGCAAAAGGTTGCGGACAACGCACGCCTTCCCCCCCCCCGGTCATCGGGACGTACTGACGAAGACAGCCATAGACATTGATGATTTCTTTCAGCTTCTCGGAGGTCAGTCCTTTGATTTGGAGGAGTTGAGCCGCCGTCAGATCTTTGAGCGTGCGCTGACCATTCTTCTCCGACTGCGCGGTAAAGTCTTCGTAGCTCAGATGGTACTCTGGCGGCAGCAGTGGCAGAGTGCGAGCGGAAGAATTGCGTTGCGACTCGGGCGTCAGGGCAGCCAAAGCTTGCAACGCGCCCGGGCGAAGCACGCACAAATCCTTGTTCTGTGAAAAATCAAAACAAGTGGATGGATGAGGATGAGAGCGTGCGGAGCCTTAGCAGCAGCAGACAATTCCAACAACAAGAATAGCTCACCAAGTATCGTTGTTGAAGGTATGCTGTCATGCGTCTCAAGAAGTTTACCGTGGCCAGTGGCGTCTTGGACAATTGGAGCTTAAACCCGCAATGTACCTGCCCCCCAAAAAAGCCGAAGCCAAACCAATGCCAAATGTGGCCAAGAGGTGAGAAAAACAATCACACACACACTCCGGCTGGATAAAAGCACGGGGAATTGCAACTCACCTGCGTGTTGGCCATTGCTTGGCGAAGCGCCGACGCAGACAACGCCTGCGCTTCAAAGTTCATCAACTCTTCAACAATGTAGACGACGTTCGATACCCCGCATGACAGCAGTCGAAACTGCGTTCGGATTGACAAGGAAACAAAAAGATCAGCTCCATTTTCGAAATGCATTCGCAGCGAGCGAATTACCTTCTGTTCGCGAAATCGGCGATCCAGAATGCTGTGCTCCAAGTCATCCATCCGTTTTCGCTCACAGATATAGTCCAACAAGTATTCCTCTGATGAATGAAAACAAATTCCACTGCTTTGTTAGATTCTCTGGTCACCACGAAGTTGCTGACGTGCAAGGTCTCACTTACTGCCGTTCACAGTTGCAATCCAGACAAAATCACCCACTGGAAGGGGTCGGGTGATGGGCGGGCCGTCAAGCTGCGCAAGAAGCTCGTAGACGGGGCTGATTTCTCCGTTGGAACTGAACATTTCGCGGGCATCCACGACCAGCTGGATTTGAGCAGCGTCCACAATGGGCACACGCAGTGTTTGCTCTGCGGACGGCACAAACATGGCGTTCGAGGCGTTGCTGGTGTCGCTCACAGAGCGGAATAGATCGTGCCGGCCAAACCGAACGCTCGCTGATGACGAGCTTTGCGAACGAAGAAGTGGGGCTTCCTTGGTGACAGCAAGTGAGGGTTGCAGAGGCTCCTTTGATGCAAGGTGAGGAGCTGGTCCAGCCGAGGAGGAGGAGAATGAGGAGGAGGTTGATGATGATGAGATTGTTGTGGGTTTGTTGGGTGGATTTCGCGCCTCATGCCACAGACTGGCGGCATTGTGCCACTCTGCTTCACCTTCGCCAGAAATATCAAAGGATGCTTCGGGCACGTAGTGAAACCGAACACCTCGCGCAGCCAGATGTGCGGGCGCTGGGGCGGAATGCGGCAACATTGTACCAAACTTGACATGCAGGCGGTTTGTGTCTTCGGCAGGGTGGCCAATCAGCACCCAAACTGCGCTTTCTGTTTGTGGTTTGCCAGACAAAAAAAAAAAAAAAAAAAAGAGATTGAGAAACAATGGAGTTGGAAAAAAAAAAGAGAGGAAAAAAAAAAAAAAGTGAGAGACAGAGAAAGAAAAAAAAAGAGAAGGCGGTATGCTCGATGCAGGGATCGAACCTGCGACCGTGGCGTTATTAGCACCACGCGCTAACCAACTGTGCCAATCGAGCTGGGTGCTTGTTGGGCAAAACAGGTGACAAAGAAAGAAAGCTGCAAACGAATAATGAAGAGAGAAAAAAAAAAACAAAAAAAAAAAAATCGTACCATGAACTAACACGCCCGCTTGCTCACGAGAGGACGCCAGTTCAAACTCGGCGCTCACAAAGGAAAATCTGGTCGAAGATTCTGATGCTTCAGAAAGGGATCGCTTCTGGCTGAGTCGTGGGGTTGGCGCGAACAGGTCTTCGAGATCGCCTGGGGAAGGGTCGGCGGTTGCTGCCCGACTGGCCGTCGCGGTACTGCTGTTGTTGGTGGAAGTAGATGCGATTGATAGGGCGGAAGCAGCTTGCAGGAGAACTGGAGGAGATGCGAGAGGCGGAGGAGCTGCCGCAGCCGATGCACTCTTGTTCATGTTGGACAGCATCGTCAGGTACGACGGTGGCAACGTCTCGGGCCCCTTGAGGAGTCGACGTGATGACGGAGAGATGGACACGGCAGACTCCTGGCCTGGTGGATTCGCTGGTGGCGGGAGTTGCAGCTGTACCCGTTTGATGGGTGGTGGAGCTGCGACGGGGCGAGACGAGACAGCTGATGAAGATAAACTCTGGAACATGGTGGGCAGCGACGGCCTTACAGCTGCGCCTTGCAATGACGCAGGTGTTGGAAAGCCTGAGGAAGCGGCGGCGGCGGCGGCGGATGAACCGCGAACGAGTGGCACGGCCGAAGCTCGAGGCCGAGCAGCAATGAAACTACTAATTTGCCGCGCAATCGTAGCCCCGATATGCTCCAACAACATGGCCTCGTTTCCGGAGCGAATGGGCAGCGGGTACCTGCAGACACTCGTCGTCGCCTTGCGATAGGAGTACATGTTTTTCGTGCCGCGCTCCGAGGCCTGCTGGGCCAGGTCGTGCAACATGTCGACAATGTCTTGATTTGAAGGTTCTACAGCAGCGGGAGATACGGAAGCCGCGGCCGCGGTCGCACCACCGCCACCGACGCGAGCAGCAGGGGCGCCTCGCCCTCGAGACGACCGACCAGCGGCGCTTCCAAAGCCAAACAGTACATCAATCTCGGCCGTCGAGACCACGTTGCCAACTTGCAAACGGGAGGCTGCAACTGGCGCCGCCCGGCCTCGGCCTCGGCCTCTGGATGACCCTCGGCCGAGTGCGCCAGAAAGGCTGCGATCCTGGCTGGCTGATGTCCCGCCAGTCTCGTCGTCGCTGTTCGACACGAAGGCGTTTGTGCTGCTGGCTCCAGCGCGACGGTGCGTGCGTGGTGCTCGCGAGAACATGCTTGTGTGAGAAAGAGAGTGAGAAAGAGAAAGGCACAAAGACGGATGCAGTCGGCCGCGTTGATAGCTGAAGGGGGAATGAGAAGGTGAATCTGAGAAGAAAGGGTCAAAGGAAGGAAAGGAAAGGGTGTCAAAGAGAGGAGGATGAGTGAATGAGTTGCAGGTTTTTTGGCGGGAAAAGTCAAATCCGATTCCGCGCGTTGGCTTGAGAGCGCGGCGCTACGACGACGACGACGACGACGACTACTGCTGGGCAGACGGATGAGACTGGGAGGCGCGAGATGCTTGCCCACTGGACGTCGGTGCAGGCGCAGACGGGACTGGAGCGGAGGCGGCGAGCGAGTTGAGCAGGTTTGCCTCGTCGTCCACACAGCGAGCAACCACTCGCGAATGCTCGAGCAGGCGGTGATGCGCGGCAACGAGCAGGTGGCTCTGAGAGTCGAGACACTGCAGGGCTTGCTGGAGTGCGGCGTACTCCATCCAAAAAAGCAAGGATGAATAAAGAAAAAAACGGAGAAGCAAAATCGGTGGGGTCTTTTGCTCAGAGAAGCTCAGAACAATCCAAAGCGAAACAAAGACAAAGAGTGAATGAATCTGAGCAAAAATAGAACAAAACAATAAACAACAGCAACCGAGAGAGTAAGAGTGGACTTTTGGCTCTTTGACCGTACTGGCATATCCTTCGATCCAGCCGCAGCCCGATATTCTTCGGTCTTCTTCTTTGTTGATCCATGTGTTTTTTTGTTCCGTTGACATTTGCAATGTCCTATTGCGATGCGACCAAAACCGCCAATGACGCACACAAGCCACCCATTTCTGATCTCCTCACTGCGACCGGGCCTCCAAACAGCTCCAACAGTGACGCACTCTCTTCTCTCTCTTCCCCTACTCTCTCTCTTCCCCCCCTGCTCTCTCTCTCTCTCTCCAGCCTCATCATCTCCATGTTCATTCTACAATACTCGACCTTTTTTGTCGTACCTAATTTCTTCTTGTTCAATCTTTTTCTTTTCTATTCTATTCTTTCTTCTTCTCTTCAGATTTCTTACTCTTGTTCACTCCGTCCGTCCGTCCGTCCGTCCGTCTGTGCCTGCTGCTGCTGCTGCTGCTGCTGCTCCGTTCGTTCGTTCGTTCGTTCGTTGGTCTTTCCTCCCTTTCCCCCCCCCCCCGCCTCTTCAAAATGGCACTGCCTCGTGCAACAAGAGCCGACCCGCACGGACAGCTCGACAGCGATGCGTCGCTCGCAAGATCCCTCCAAGCAAGTCCCCACAACTTCACTCACTCACACACACACTCACTCACACATCACTATCACATTCACTATCACTATCACATTCACTATCACTATCACATTCACATTTACAGGTCGATTTTTGCGTTTCGTGTCACCAAATTGGCTGTTGGTCTCTTCCCCACAACCCCAACCCCGACCCCTCACTCCCCACTCCCCAAAGCCACAAAATGCAGCAGACCAAGTGGAAACACCCAACAACATGGCGGCAGAGTGACGAACGAACGAACGAACGAAGAGGACGCACGAAGCGTCATTGTCGCCCTTCCTTCCTCATCGCGTTGCCCACAAGGCGAGACTACCAGTGCAATGGAGCAGTCATTGGCGTGTCTCACCTTGACTCTTGCAGTCCGCATGGTGTGCGGCGGACTTGGACTCGAGCTCAGCCCCGAAGCCCCCTTGGAGCGTCATTGCGGAAGGTCCTTCTCTGCTTGCGTCCTTGATCTCTGTGGCGCAGAGCGTTTGGATTTCAACTCGAGAACGAGCTGCTAACGCTGTGACTGGTTGGCGTGGAGCCCGACAGCTCGAGAATTTTTCGTCGATTTTGTCTCTGAGCCGTCCCCGTTTGGCATGCTTGCCCCTTGATCATTGATCAGAGCTCTTCTTCTTCATGTCAACATTCTCACTGCATCTGACTGACTGCTCAGTTGATTGCACACCTCGTTCGAGTCGTTCCGTTTTGCCAAAATGCCTGCTAACCAAACCTTTCTGTTTTCCGTTTTTTTTTTTTTTTGCAACCATACCGCAGGCACAGTTCGATCGCGAAGCGTCCGATGCAAGACGACAGCAAGTGCTCGTAGACGAGCTCATGGCCGAAGGGCTTCAACGGCGAGAGGCGGCGCACGAGTCACTCACCCAGTCGGGTAGTTTCGAGCAACTCACTTCGACCGTGCGACCGCTGCCTGCCGGTCACAAGCCTGCGCCATTGAGTGGACTATCTGCACGAACCGCATCAGGCTTGCCATCGACTGCTGGCAGCAGCTCGTCGTCGATGCAGAGCTGGGGAGGTTCATTCGATTCCAACGCCATTCCTCGTCCTGCATCCACGTCGGCGTTGGCAAGCTTGCCGTCGCAGCGATCGTTGGGCGACATGTCCACTGCTGGTGTTGTTGTTGGCAGTGATGCGCGCGCACGTCCACGCCCAGCCGTTACCCCACCGACCAGCGCCAGCCTCGTCACCTCGCCCTCCGCGGTGCCCAGACGCAACCCACAGCAACTCTTATCGCTCATGACTGGTACTGCAGCACCAACATTCGGCGGGGCGCCAGTCTTCTTTCCCAATGGCCAATCCTCCGAAAGCAGCACGGCCTTCAAACCTCTGGCCCAACAGTCCTCTGCGCTGTCCGACCCGTCGTTGAACACTTTGTCTGCAACGTGGGGGATGCAGCAGCCACAGCCTGCAATCATTCCGCCTGTTCCATCAGCAAGCTCGGACGCTGCTCACCATCACCCCGCCTCGTCCGATTTCCGCAAACGGTCATCTTCTGCCTTTGTTCCTCGCCACTCGGCACGGAACGACCCCACAGTGGTCGTGCTTCCGCCAGACGCCTCAGAAACGCTAAACCGACGCATATCGCTCAACTTGGATCAGGTTGCGCCCCAGCTACATGACATTACCCACCATGTCGGGGCAGCGAACAGGGAACCGCCGCAGCAATTTCCGCGATTATCCGGAAACCTTCGATCGGCCTCGACCGAGTCGGTGTCCACGCTGCCAAGTAGCGCGACCACCGGCAGCAACCCGAGCAGTTCACAAACCACTGTCAAGGCCCATACAGTCAAGTGGACGGATGAGTTTGTTGCCGAGCTCGCTGATCATTTGTCGCACGCTGCACCGCGACAAATTGCTGCACCTGTGCAAGCTGCACCTGTACAATCGGACGCTCAACACACGTCTGCTTTTGCGGGACCGCGCGCTGTTCAGTCCGATCTGCTGGCTCCCGTCGAACTACCTCGAGTTCCACCGCGGTTGCCGCCCGTGCGCCCATCGTCGGGATCGCCTCGGCGCAAGCTGTCGCTTCTTGTTGGCGTAACGCACAGCAGCGATGATCCAAACTCGGTTCCACGCGCCGCCTCTCCGTTTTCGTCTCCTTGGCACTCGCCGCGAGTCTCTGTCGACCAGGCATTCGGGCCGTTCCCAGTGTTGCTGCGCCCAATCGTGCTGCACTCGGACGTGCCAGCCTCCTCTGTCCACGACGGCCCCTCGCAAACCACGGCCGATGCGTCGTCCGAGTTGCACTCTGTTGCAGCACCAGCCGAAGCACCAGCGGCAGCTGCCTCAGAGGCCCCGAACGTCATTCTTGTTCCTCCCCCAGTTGCACCACGATACACGATTCTAAACCCTCCACCGGTGCCTGCACGGAAGCAGATTCTCGCAGACTTTCACCGGCACGCCTCGACCACCGAAGAGTCTATGATGACATCGCCTGCACGAAAATCGCGCACGGTTGGTCACGGACGAGATCGCTCGCGTCCATCGTTGGGAAGCATGTTTTCGGACGTCGCAGCGCATGGCCCGGCCACCTCGACTCGCGTTCTGCCGCATGTAGCGGCTCGTGCTGGCATCCACGCCATTTCATCGACCGTGTCCTTTGAGGCAGACAAGGTTTCCAACGCGCCCATCAAACACCCCGTGGACGAGCCAGCAGTCGTTGAGCCTCCCACCGTCCCTCTCGTCACGACACGGCGGAGTAGTGCGGGAGATGTCTCCGAGCATGCGTCCGGAGCCGATTCTCGCGCTGCTACGGACTCGCTTGAGCTGTCCGGTCTTGGGGGACAACCAGAGCCCGAGAGCAAGGTTCAGCATGGACGCGTTCTGTATGATTACCTTGCCAGCAGGCGGTTTGACATGGCGATCGAGAAGGGCCAGATTCTCGAGATTCTCACCGAAGAGAACGACGGCTGGTGGCTTGTGCGGACTGAGCAAGGCGAGGAAGGATATGTGCCTGGAAGCTACGTTGAGCGCCTACCCGCAACGCCCGTTGAAGACCCTTCCGGCCCTCTCGAAGGTAAGCGATTTCAGGAAAAGCGCGGGATGATCCACTTTGCAATGCGTTTTTTTTTTAACGGATTTTTTTTTTGCCTCCTCTTTCTCTCCCTCCTCTCAGAGTCCAATTCTGCGGCCTCTGGTCACACACTAACAGACGACTTTACTGTTACCCCGGCGGACGAACAGCCGGCCAGCGATGTCCACGACCATCACGATCATGACGATCTTGACCAGCATCACTTTGATCACGACCACGACAGCGACCACGAGCACGACCACGATCACGACCACGACAGCGACCACGACCATGCGCCAGACCTAGACGCCGCGGAAAAAGCCCCTGTCGCCGTTGCAACACCAACAAAACGTCGGCATATGCGCACTCCGTCTCACTTGTCGCGGCTTTCCGTGCTGACGCGCCGGAACTCGACCCTGTCCATTGCAAGCTCATCGTCAACCGCTCCGAGTAACGCGTCGCACGGCAGCCACAAGCGATTCCTCGCCGCAAGGGAGGTCTTCGAGACAGAGCAGTCCTACATTGACGGTCTGGAATGCATGGTTCGTGTGTACCGCGAGCCGTTGCTGGCCGATTGCAAAGTGCTGCCAAAGAACGAGCTTCTGGCCTTCTTCCCTGGCGATATCGATGCACTGCTGCGTCACCACCGTTGCTTGCTGGCAATCTTGGCCAAGCGAATTGAAAATTGGACGGATTCCGTGTGCTTTGGCGACATTTTCACCGGCACGACCGTCGACTTTTTTGCGCAACAGTATGTACCGTACTGCGTGCAGTATCCGACTGCCGCCGACAAGCTGCATCAGACTCTCAAGCAGAACGAGCGATTCCGCGCCCAAGTCCGCGAGCGCGACAAGCATCGCAACGGCTTTGTCGCGCAGCTGCACGAGGCTCGCCGCTCGGCCTGGATGGAGCGATTTGAGGCCATGCACGATGCTGCAAAACGCGAGGGCGTCGAGCCATCGACCACTGCGGCCATCCTGGCGAGCCTGATTGAGAGCGCCGACGCTGCGCTGGACAAGCAGAAAGGGCAGTCGGCAACGTTGAGCATTGACGCTTTGCTTCTTACACCCATCCAACGCATGCCGCGCTACTGTCTGCTGATCCAGACCGTGCTCAAGTACACACCCAGCTCCCACCCGGACAGCTTCCACTTGGCTCATGCACTCGATCGCCTTCGTCGCTTGACAGACTATGTCAACGAATGCAAGCGCGACATGGAGAACGCCGCGCGCCTCGCTCAGATGTCGCATCTGATCAAGCGCATTCCCAAAGACTTTTACTCGCCCACGCGACGTCTCGTGCGAGAGAGCGACGTGATGGTCTACCATGGCAGTGGCGTGGGTTGGGAAAAGGGCCGGCTGTTCATGCTGAACGACGCTCTGCTGTTCACCACCAACCGACTCCATCCCGGCAGGCGCATCGACTTTGCCGCCCTCAAGTTTGCCGATCTGCTGCTGTTCAGCGAAGTGCGGATGGAGCGGCAGTCCGATCCCGGCCACACACAACTTGGCGTCCTTGAGCGCGAGGTGCCTCGCGACGCTTCTGCTGCTGCTGCTGCTGCTTCTGCTGCTGCTTTCTTGCGAGCGAGTGTCGTTAGCTCTGATAGCTCGACCAGCTCGACCCGCAGTGTCTCGTCAGCCTCCCCAGATGCTGCTGCGCGACCAACGCCTCCCCAATCGGCTGGGTCAGGTCATGCCTTTGCCATCGATGCATCCTTGCGAACCCTCATCTTTTCCACGTCCGTCAGCACCGTTCAAGTTTGTTTCGAAACAATGGATGAGATGGAGAGCTGGCTGAGCGATGCGCAGGCGCTGCAAGCCGACTTTAAGTTCAAGCTTCGCTTTGCGAGTACGCGCGAGCAGCAGCTTGTCGATCTCTAAGAGTTATTCTTGCCAAGTGGGTGATAGTGTGGGGCTCCATCCGATGCTTTGTGGATGGAGACAGACAGCGGACTTGCTGGTGTTGAAAATTCGTTTGATCAGTTTTGCGTTCTCGGCCGTTCGTCGTGCCGTGTCGCTGGTTTTTGTCTCTCTGATTGAATCCACACATACATCTGTATTGCCTCAGCAGCTTTTGTTTGTGTCTGTATTTGGGAACACAGCCCGACCAAACCGCCAGTCCATTCGCTGTTGAACGCCAAACCAGAATGCGTTTCAGATCCTATGTCTGGGATCCGCTGCTCATTATAAGTCAAATCCTAACGCTGCAGGCATGCATGTACATGACTCTGCAGATCTTGGTGATGGTCGCGAGTGCGCTGCTGCATCTTCACCAGCAGGGCGAAGGCCTCGGCAAGGAGACCATCTCGCTCGACCTGCTCTTCGGCGTCCAGCACCTCTCGTCTCACGACGGATCTGCCCAATCAAGCTCCTCGGCGTCATCTTCCTCGGCAGACGAGGCTGCACAGGCGCTGGGCGTCTCGCTGCAAAACCGCGCGGGCGTCATCATTGTGCCTCTCGTCAACGGCGAGCTGTCCTGGTGGCTGGCCGCCGCTCTCATGCTCGTGAACTCGTTTATCGGGTGAGTTATGCTAAGCGAGTGCAAGTCACCGACAAAGCAAGGGTGCTTTGGGTGGGTTGTTTGGCGGTGCGTTGCCTACGATTGGCAATTGTCATGTTGGCACATTCTGCGACGTGTCTATTCATCCTGTGTGTCTCCTTGTTTGACATCTTGTCTTCTAATTCTGCCAATTGTGTGCGCAGATCCATCTGGCTATTGCTCATCGTCAGGCGAGCAAAGCAGTGCCTCGATTTCGCCGCAACGTTTCATCTCTTGCATCTCGTCTTCTCGACCGTCTACGGTGGCTTCCCTTGGAGCGTGTCGTGGTGGCTGGTCAATGTCGCATCGCTCGCCTTCATGACTGTTACCGGAGAGTTCATTTGCATGCAGAATGAGCTCTCGGCCATTCCGATTCTTGGTGCTCGCCTGGGCGAGTTATAGCATCGGTTGACACCAACGGGGCAGCGCGTGTGTAGATCTAGTGCTCGTCCTCAAGCTGTCCCTGCAATGTTTGTGTCTGCAATTCCGAGTTGCCATACTGCGTCTACTATTTATTGAAACCGAACAAAACCCCCCCCCTTCGTTCAAACTCATTGCAAATTTGTTGACAAGTGACCTACCCCTTGCTCCAGTGGTACTCGAGACATGTTTCTTCTCAGCGGGTACCAGTACCGCTTCATGCAGTGACAGGAGGTGGACGGATCTTGGTCTTGGCAAGAAAAAAACAAAACAAAAAAACAAACAAACAAAAAAAACCCAAATGCGCGCCAGTCTTTTCTTTGCTTGGTTTCTTGTTAGCTTCTGCTGTTTCGCTCCTGTGATTGGGTGTTTCTATCAGATGGAGTCCGATGGCAAGCGCACAGCAACGGAAGCAGGCTTTCCGGGCCCAGCTTCGCAGCGGGTAAGCGTTGTAGTTGTTCGTTGCGTCTTGGCCGCGTTCTCTGTCGTCTCCCTCCACCCCGCCCCTCCATGAATGTTGATCCGGCGGTCGCACTTCTCTCGTCATGCAAAATTTCCAGCTTTGCAACTTGTCGCGGCTTGTGTTCGAGCTATTGTCTCAAAACGAGAATTCAAACAATATTGGCTGGCAATTATGCGTACGTCTCGAACCAGACCAGCCACCGAGGTATGCAGTGAATGGCATCCCTAGAGCTGCATACATAAAGAGTGATTTGCAAGTGGTAGACGATGAGGAATATTTTTCTTTTCTCTGAAAGAAAACAAGTTCATCGCCGTTGGTATTTTTGTGTGTCGGGGATATCAAAGACCACTCATGCACTCACGCACCCATGCAAAGCAAGTCGTCCGCTCAACGAGCATCGAGAATGCCGATAAACTTTACAATTGGCTTTTTATTCTCAGAGCGACGTCTTCAAGATACAATACAGATGCTGAGAACGCATTGCAACACACGAAAGCGAGCGTTGGCAGAGGGTGAACGCTTGAAGATGGCTCAAGAAGCCAGAAACAAGGGACGGCCCTACGGTCTCGTGCAGTTCAGCAGGGTAGACACGGAGCGTTGAACGTGGCGCGAGTGAAGGGTGTACGTGTCGTTGGGATGGTAAGCGAGAATGTTGATGTTGGTGGCGAGGAGCTTTTTGGTGAGGTCTTTCCCCAGAGCGCGGTGCACGATGTCAATGTGCAGAGCACCGTGAGTGAGATCGCAGAGTGACTTGTGAACGGCAGATGTTGCGTTGTGCATCTCGGAATAATCAATGACGTCTTGAAGGGAGTCTGCAGTTTGAATGGAGAGCTGAGTGGAGATCTGTTCCACAGTCTTGAACTGAAGGTCGTCTGCTAGATTGTTGAGCAGAATGAGACGCCCACCAGCAATCTCAGCGACCGCACGCTTGGCCAAATCCTCGTGGATGTCACGACGCACCAGATATGTGACAGCTTGTTGGTCGGTGAGATCACCCACTTCGACAACGCGAGCACGAGTCATTGCTGACGATTCCTTGAGCGCGGGCAGAGTCGAACCATCGCTGGTGACGAGAACAACATTGAGCAGGTTGGCGTCCGCAGCCGACTTGGCAAAATCTTGAATCACATGCAACAGTTCGGGCCCCTTCTTTGCGATCATGTCTACGGCGTCGATGACGAGCGTGGCAGGATGACCGTGCTTGGCCTTGAACTGTGCGGCGACGATCTCGAGATCAGCAACAAGAGCCTCCCAACTCTTGAATGGTTCCTCGGCCGGTTTGTCTTTCAAGGTCGCGCCACGGTCAACGAGATAGGCGTCTGCGAATTTGAATTGGTTGGGCTCAAATGCGAGAGACCCCGCCAGTAGACCCGGCACCGAGACTAACACCTCGCTTTTGACAATGTGGTAGACAATGCCAGTGCGGTTGGGTCGGATGGCGTCGAGGACGGCGCTGGTCTTGCCGCAGCCTGTTTCGCCAACGACGACGGGGTAGCGCGTCATCTCCTTGGGGCGCAGCACCCCTTCAAGCATCGCAACAACATCCGGGCGATCGATGTGGGACTTTCTGACGGGCGGGATGACGGAGCCGGCCTCGAAGCGTGCGAGCATGCGAGCTTGAACGACTTCGGGCGAGTGGGTCTTGGCGATCGTGTTCTTGTTGTCCAGCACGTGCCGAGCAACGAAAGCCGCCACAACCAAAATAATAAATGTGGCGACCGTGTTGGCGACCGCGCCGCCGATGAAACCGAACACACGCCGAAAAGCTGGCTGCTGCTGATCCGGGGCCGCAGCTGGAGCCGCAGCTGGAGCCGGAGTCGACATTGCGGGATAAAACAAGGGAAAAGAAGAAGAAACTAAAAACTGCGCTGTCATCTTTCTCAGCTTTGGCAATCCATTGTCAACACATTATGAGTTGAATAAACCATCGTTCGATTTGTATCATTGTTCTTCCAAGACGTTCCTGATGATGCTGCATTGTGCCGCTAATCAAAGCGGTCTGAGTGTTCCAACGAGGCAGGTGGTTTTTCCACCAGAGCCCGTTGATGATTTGATGATGAGCATTGGGACATTGAGGTCGATTGACTTGATAATTGTGTCTCTCTTTTCGCTTTCAGCGAGGTCGAGGTGCTTGTGGGATTTGTTCATCGTGGCGGTCATTATTTATTAGCAAGAGAAATTTAATACATTATTCGTAATTTCCAATTCCACTTGCGCCAAAACGTGAATATAAACGCCCGCCTGTGTGTGGGTGGCACCGAAAGGCACTGAAGGATCAACGAGAGCACTGTCCGTTGAGATCCGATCACAAGTCCGTTTTTCCCCTTTGATGCATCCACCGATCAATCATCTCGCCAATACACTTGTCATGCAAATTTGGGCGATGGCCTTTCATTCATTTTTGCTTTTTTATTTTTCTGTAAGGACTTTTTTCCTCGTGTTTTTTTTTTTTTTTCTTTCTTCGCCTGCCTTCTCCTCTCTTCTCTCCTGCTTTCCCCTCCCCCCATCACCCTTTGGGGCCAAGGCCTGATCTTGCTCTGGGGTGACCCCCCACACTTCCACGTCTCGTCATCACTCATCGTGATCGAGGCTTGAACCGCGCTCTTTGCTGCGTCAGTCCATGCTTTTTCGTCTCGGCCGCAGCTTTCCCTTCTTTCTCTCCCCTGCTCCGTGGACACTGCGAGCGTTTTTGGCATTGAGATACATCAAACGAGGACGCCTTGTTCACCCCCTCTCACGCCGACCCCTCGTCGTGAGGCAGCAGAAGCACCAAAAACAACGAACAAAGCCAGAACGGACCACGCCGTCCATTGCGTTTTCCTCCTTTTTTTTTTTTTTTTTTTTGAAACCTGATTTTTTTTTTTTTTTTTTTTTTTGCATCAGAATTGCAACATCATGTTCCACTGCGAATGTTTTTGCGACGTTTTCCCCCCCCCTTTCCTTCCGTTGTCAGATACGCTCGTTGCTTTCTGTACAACACCTGAGCCACCGTGATGACAGAGACAGCAACGAAGCCACATTTGAAGCACCAAAATGCAGCCTTTTTTTAAAAGCCAAGGAACGCGTCTTGGCTGGAGCATGTTTTATTATTTTATTTTGTCTTTGCTCGCTTCCGTTATCGTTGAGTCTGTGAGCCTGGACTCGTTGTGACACATCGCTTTTTGTTGTGCCTTGTACACACGGTTACGGGTCATGCCTCGCAGCGGCTCTCGACGTTCTCTCTTCGTCGTCCAGCCATCGCTTTGTTTTTGCTCTCGTTTTATCTGTCTTCCTTTCTTACGTCTCTGTTGGCTGTTACGTCCGATAATGCCTTTTGTATGTGCACTCACCATCAACCCTCACTCTGTCTGCTTGATATTGTGCGTCCATCAACTCGTCATGCAGAGCGCCACCGACTCGTTCTTCCTTTTTCGTTCTCTGGTCAAGTCCCTTTGAGAAAAAGCTTCAACTCGCCACTTTCCCTCTTTGCTCGCTGCCAACGTCTCTGTTGTCGTATGCATCCAACCCAAACGCATACACAAAGCACACCATCTTCCATCGCAAGTTTCGCCGCCGAATCCACTTGCCGTCGTCACGTCGTCGCTCGTTTTGCTTGCGCCTCACCGAAAACCATCCCGCCACCGTTGCACGCTGCTTGCTCTGCCGCGCGCTTCGTTTCTGAATCTACCACACTTGTTGTTGGTTCCCTTCCCTTTTCAACAGCTTCTGCTCCGTGCTCCGGTAGCGGCAGCTCGTTCCATCTCGCAAAAATTCGTTCGTCCACAACGTCCTTTCCTCCTCCGACGACTTTCGTCGCACTTCGTTGTCCCCCTCCTCGACTCCAGGCCGTTTTCTGATTTTTGCTAAATCTCTTTTCCCCCCTTTCCTTTTTTTCCCCCTCCTTTGGTCTGTTTTTTCCGTTTCGTTTTTTTTTTGTTCTCCACACTCTTTTTCGCGCCATATCTTTGATTCCCCCCCCCCCGCCTCCGTTTTCGCTCTTTTTCAAAAAACCTTTTCACCGAGACTTTTTGATTTTTTTCTTTTCCAAACCATGGCGAACGTCAACATCAACCGCGCGGTGAACGATGCGTTCTACCGTTACAAGATGCCCCGTCTGCAGTCCAAGATTGAAGGCAAGGGCAACGGCATCAAGACTGTCATTGTCAACATGTCGGACGTTGCCAAGTGTCTTGCTCGCCCGCCAGAGTACACTTGCAAGTACTTTGGCTGCGAGCTTGGTGCGCAGACGCAGATGGACGACAAGATCTCGCGTTATGTTGTGAATGGCGCGCACGACGCCGAAAAGCTCCAGACGCTTCTGGACGGCTTCATCTCGCGCTTTGTGCTGTGCAAGAGCTGCCAAAACCCTGAGACGGAGCTTCTGCTGGACAAGGCGCAGCAGATCTGGCAAAAGTGCGCTGCCTGCGGCGCCAAGAACATGGTTGACATGCGCCACAAGCTGACCACGTTCATTCTCAAAAACCCTCCTTCGTCCGGAGCGCTGGCCACGACCAAGAACGAACACGAGTCGCAGCGCGAGGCCAGCAAGGCCCTCGACGGCTCTGCTGCTCCCTCGCCCTCCAAAAAGTCGTCCAAGCACGACAAGGCCGACAAGGGCGACAAGGCCGAAAAGGGCGAAAAGTCGGACAAGAAGCACAAGCACAAGCACAAGGAAGAAGAGGACGAGGACGATGGCGACTGGTCTGTGGACACGAGCGCCGACGCGGTTGCCGCGCGTCGCCACGAGCTGAACGCCACGCTTGGCGAGAGCGTGTCCAAGCTGACCCACAGCGAGGAGCTCGAGCTCCCCGAGAAGAAGCGCATCAACATTTTCTTCAACTTTGCGTCGTCGTCGACCTGCGCCGCCAAGCCGGCTGCTGGCGCCGTCGCTCGCACCGCCAACCAAATCCAGGCCGAGGCCGAGCGCCTCGAAATCAAGGAGAAGGCTGCCGGCGTCCTCGTCGAAGTCTGCTTCAACGAGGCCATCCTCCAGCAAATCCCCAAGTGCAGCCAGTTCTTTGTCAAGCTGACTGATGAGAACAAGCGCGCGCAACGCTACGTGCTTGGCGCCCTGGAGGCTCTCATCGAGCTGTACCGCGCCACCCTGCTGCCCAAGACGAGCCACATCCTCAAGGCCATGTACGACAATGACATTCTCGACGAGGCCGAGATTATTCGCTGGAACGACAAGCCCTCCACCAAGTATGTCAGCGAAGAAGTGAGCAAGGAGATTCACAAGGCCGCTGCCACCTTTGTGACCTGGCTCAAGACTGCCGACGAGGAAGACGATGACGATGAGGACGACGAGGAAGAGGGCGACGACGACGACGAGGACGAATCCGAGGAGGAGACGCCAGCCAAGAGCAATGGCAAGGCTCCCGCTTCGTCCAGCTCGTCTGCTTCCTCGAGCAGCAAGGCTCCCGCCGCTCCCGCACCTGCCGCCGCCGCCGCCGAAGACGACTTTGACATTGACGACATTTAAAGGTCAAAGTGTTTCCCCCCCCCCCCTGCTTTTCCGACCCCGTGGTCTAGTCGGGGGTCGCTGTACTTTTTAACTCTTTTTGACTGTTTTGTGTGTTTTGTGTGTGTTGCATGTTTCATGTCTTCCTTTTTCGCCAAAGTGGCTGTTTTTGTTTGAATTCAAAAACAATCAACCCATTCATTTCCCTTCCCTGAAATCAACAAATCTACTGTAAATCTGCGACCTCTTTGCTTCTGAGCGCTTTTTTTTTTTTTTTTTGCCTTCGCCTTCGAACTCAGTCCAATTTCAATCGAATGCGAACATCCCGCGAGGCGCCACCGACGGGGGCCGAAGCGTCCACCAACCCCTTGTCATCGTCGTCCCTGTCCATTGCCGACCTCGAGACGCACTTCCGCGAGCACACGGGCGTGCAGGAGGCGCTTGGGCACGTCACCGAGACCCGCCGCTTGAATGCCGCTCCGCCGACCCCGCTCCAGCGGCTGCGCGGCGCCACGTTCATGCTGATGCTCATCCTGTCGATGGCATACTGCTACATTTACGTGATGCTCTTCTTCCCGCTGCTCTACATCTCCCCGCGCTGGTACCACCGCTGCGTCAGTCTCCTCCAGAAGGTCTGGTTCCAAATGCCGATCGTAAGTTTTTCCCGTTTGCTCGCTGTGGTCGGGCGCGCGGGGCGGGGTCGTGGCCAGCGCTTCCACACTCCCGTCGCTCCAAACATGGGCTCAGCAACAGCAAGTTACTGATGCTTGGTGATGAGCGAGGCGGGCAGTTGGGAATGAAGCTGCGCTGGTGAACATGCTGTGAATTGTGAAATCCGTCAGCAATCTGCTAAACGGACAATGCCCAAGTCAGTCGAGTCACTCAGTCCCACTCACTCAGTGTCTGGTCATGCTGTTTTGTGTTTGTATGGCTGGTTCTGCCCTTCTTGCGCGTCGTTCATCTCTGTGACGAGTGCAGCTGCTGTTCGGTAAGCAACCAAGATACAGCTAAACGCGAAATTCGAGCTCTGGTCGTAAATTGCTGAAATTTGGCAACTCAAAAAAACGAATCGATCTTGTGTGTTTATTGCGACAGAGTACGTGTTTGGCATCAAGTACTCGATCTACGGCGACCAGATTCGAGACCACGAAAAGATGATCATGACGCCAAACCACCGCACCCGCCTGGATTGGATGTTCTTGTGGCCGGTGCTGCTGCGCCAAGGATCGCTCGAAAACGAACGCATCCTGCTCAAGGCACCCTTGAAGCACATCCCGCTCGCTGGGCCCGCCATGCAAATGTTCAACTTTGTCTTCTTGGACCGGCGATGGGACAAGGACGAGGCGTACCTCACAGACATGCTGCGCCACTTTTTGCGCCAGCAGCTCAAGTACCAAATTCTGATCTTCCCAGAGGGCACCGACCTCGAGCGCTCCACGGCGCTGCGCAGCCATCACTTTGCTCAAAAGCAGAGCCTCCCGCATTACCACTGCGTCATGCACCCGCGCGTCAAGGGCTTTACGCACATGGTGCGCACGCTGGGGAGCGACCTGGAGGCCATCTACGACATGACGATCGCGTACGACCCGATTGTGCCGCGCTCCGAGTTTGCCGTGCTCCACGGCACCATGCCATCGCAGACTCACGTGCACATCAAGCGTTACCCGATGAGCGAGCTGCCCCCGACGGACGATGAAGGCCGTGTTGGCGAATGGTGCGCCAAGGTGTGGGCCGAAAAGGAGCAGCGGCTGAAGGAATTCTACTCGAAACCCGTTGGCGCTCGGAGCTTTGGCACACCCGTGCCCACGGATGAAGCCCGCGCTCTGCGGTGGCACATTGGATCGGCCATCTTTTTCGCCGTCGATTTCGCGATTCACATGTACATTTCGTGGCTCTACCCGTGGACTGTGGTCGTCATGTTCCTGTGCTACGTTCTAGGCAGCGTCCTTGAAGTCAAGACCGGTGGTCTTGAGCGTCTCGAGCTTCGTTTGTATCCGATTGAAGCTGACAAAAAGTCAAAGTAGATGAAAAGGAGTGCCTTGGTTTTTCGAGCAATTTTGGTTTTTATGAATTGCGTTTTTTTTTGGTTGAATTTGCTTGTTTCTTTTGTTTTGTTGCTGCGTTTATTACGGTTGTATCATTTAGGATTATACTTCTTTGCAATTTTGTTTGTTTGTTAAAGCAATTCTTGCTGGTGTTAGTTTGCGCCGTGCGCCGTCTCGCTTTGAGCATCTGCCAACGTTGCGGGGTCAGCATGCAGCATTTTAATACGGGGCCTTTCTTGAGCAGTGCCTGCGGCCAACTCGGTGGCATTGGCTGCAAGGAAGGCCTGCTTGTTAAAGACAAACTGGGGGAGGGCGGACGGACTGGCGGAAGATGCGACCGGAGACGGCGGCAAAGCTTGCTTGGTAATGTCGTCGAGGATGAGACTCGATGTTGCAAAGGAATCGTTCATGGTGGTGGCAATGATGCCGAGCGGGCCGTGCTTGACCCAGCCGGCGCAGTACAGGCCCGGCAAAATGGTCGGTTCTCCAGGCTGAGACGGGGTGACCACTCGGCCCTTGATATTCGGAATGATGCCGCGGCGGGCGTCGAAAGGCAGCTCTGGGAGTGCCAGACTTCGGTAGCCAATGCTGCGAATCACCAGCGAGCAAGGGATGAATTCGGTTTGTTCGAGAGCAACCGCCGATCGCGATCCTGGCGCGCCTTGCAGCGCAGTGTGCCGCAGACGCACTCCTGTGACATTGCCCGCGGCATCGCGCACGATGCCATCCGGCATGCGCTGGAAGAGGAGTTCCCACCGCCGTTGGTCGGGCGTCAATGTGAGACTCTGGGCCGCCTCGGAGGTCGACACCAGGAGCTCGGTCAGGCGTCTCCGAGGACGCTCATTGTTGTAGTAGGCCACCTCTTCCGGGGTGAGTTCCAGACGCTTCAATGTGGATGCGACGCCAGGGAGTTTGGTCATTTCGCGCAGCTCCTTGATCGTGAAGGCAACTTCCAACGGACCGCGCCGCCCAACAAGCACCACGCGCTTGATTGTGCTTCGCCGCAACTCGGCAAGGGCATGGTCGGCCATGTCCGTGCGCTGCAGTGCGTCGATTGGAGCGAGCAGCATGCGCGCAATGTCCAGCGACACGTTGCCCTGACCGAAAACGACGGCCGTGTCTCCGCGTGTCAATGACGGATTGAGGGCAGTTTGATCGGGGTGGCCATTGTACCAGCCAACGAACGACCGCGCGGAAATGACGCCGCCCGAAGCGGCTGCGCTGCGATCCGCCTGGTGCAACTCGGCGAGACTTGGGTGCTTGTTGTCCGACAAACGAGGGCCTGGGAACTCGCCCGGCACGCTCAAAAGCTGGTCGCTCTCTGCGCCGTATGTGAGCACGACCCCGGAGTAGAGGGATTGCAACTCCTTGAGGCCAATGTCCTTGCCGACCTCGACGTTTCCAAAGTACTGCGTTCGGTCATTGGCGAGTACTTGCTCGAATGTATTGGTGACGTTCTATTGGGGGGGGGGGGAGAGTGGAAATTGATTGAACACAATAGCAGGTGAGACGAGGGCAACAATCCAAAACAGCAAATCTGAGAGCAAATCTGAGAGCAAATCTGAGAGGACAGTCTGCCGTACTTTGACTTCGGGATGGTCAGGAGCGACGCCATAGCGCACCAGTCCAAATGGCATCCGCAGCCGTTCAAAGATGTCGACGGTAATATCTTGGCGATGTTTGAGCTGGCAGAAGAAGGAATATGCGCAGAGTGAGAGCGAGAAGACCAAGCAAGATCAAGCCGAAGTTCCAGTGTTGCATTCGCCACACACGAGCGAGAGTCTTGATGCGGATTTGATACTCGAATGGAGCACAGACACATTGCAGAGACTGACGAGCATCAGGAGGACTTACCAGGTGGTGGGCAACGTAAAAGCCAGCTGGACCGCCGCCGACAATGGCAATCGAGTACTTGGCGGGTGTCTGCTGCTGCTGGTGCTGCTGGGGTTCAGCGCGTCGCGATGCCAGATGCGTCGCTAGTGAGGATGCGAGGCGACGGCGATGGTGCTCGGTCGCTGGCTGTGGCCGCACGCTCGCGACGACCGACGCGCATGCTCTGTTCAATGTGGACACACTGCGCAAGGTCATTGTATCTCAGCCAACGAAAAGAAGATGACTGATGCAACACGAAACCAATAGTAAACAGAGTTACGATACACTGCATGGAGTTCGAATGGCGGTATTTTTGGAGCGCTCAGAGACGCAGAGCGATCGTGGCTCAACGTCCAAGCAGCTCATCGCTCTCTCTCTCTCCATCACCACATCGCTCTCTCATGAACTCCCAAAGCACGAGTCCTTGTTGACTGTGCCAATGTTTGTCGAGTAACGTCATCGCCACCCCCCGACGATCAGAGATGGACGAACGACTGACGAAGCGTTGTTGTTGTTGTTGTTGTTGTTGTTGTTGTTGCTGTCAATCTCAGTCACTGCGACTTTTCGCCTTTCCTTACTCACTTTCACTTCTGCTCGTCAGTACTGTTTCTAGCGTGTGTTTCCTCACTCTCTATCGATGCTTTTATTCTGTCAATCGAGCTCAGTTTTTTTTTTTCAAACTTTTACTACATCGTTTCAACTCTTCTCAGACTTTGGTTTTTATCTCCGAAACCCGCTCAACCTTCATCCTTCATTTGCTATGAGCTCGAGCAACACCCCTGCTTCTGCTTCTGGTTCTGGTGCTGGGACTGCCATTGCTGCACCATTACCACCACAGTCAGACCCGTCTCCGTCTGGGGTCTCGGTGGTGGGCATCCTGGGCCATGACGCCATCCGCGTCGGTCACGATCTGCTCGCGTCCATCCCGGACGACCTCTGCCGCTCGCTGCCGTCCAAGCGCAACGGCAAGTTTGTCATTGTCACCGACGAGACTGTCGCTGCCCTGTGGCTGCAGAACGTCGTCGCTGCGTTTGCGCGCGCGGGTTTGACGGTCGAGTCGGGCGCCGTGCTCGTTTTCGTCCTGCCACCGGGCGAGGTCGCCAAGACGCGCGAGTCCAAGTCGGAGCTCGAGGACTTGCTGATTGCCAAGCGATGCGACAGATCCACTTGCCTGATTGCGCTCGGCGGGGGCGTCGTCGGTGACCTCGTCGGTTACACGGCGGCCAGCTTTATGCGCGGCGTTCCCGTCGTGCAGCTGCCAACCACGCTCCTTGCGATGGTCGATTCAAGCATTGGTGGCAAGACGGGCTTGGACACCCCGCTGGGCAAGAATCCGCTGGGCGCCTTCCACCAGCCGCACCGCATCTACCTCAATCTGCGCTTCCTCGAGTCGCTGCCCGACAGGCAGCTGTCCAACGGGATGGCAGAGGTGATCAAGACGGCAGCGTTCTGCGATGCGCAATTCTTCCAGTGGCTCGAGTCCAACGTTGAGCACGTCTTTGCGCGCAGTCCCGCAGCGCTCAAGCACGTCGTTCTCGAATGCGCTGCCGTCAAGGCCCGCGTCGTGACCGAGGACGAGAAGGAAATCACGGGCATGCGCTCGTTGCTAAACTTTGGTCACACCATTGGCCACGCCGTCGAGGCGCTCTGCCAGCCAGAAATGCTTCACGGCGAGGCCGTCTCCATCGGCATGATCAAGGAGGCCGAGATTGCGCGGTCGCTGGGCTTGCTCTCACAGGCCAATCTCGCACGCCTGTCGGATTGCCTGGACGCGTACGAGCTACCCACGCAGTACCCAGCCGCGCGATTGCCGCTCGAGCGCGTCATGGCCGCAATGGCATTCGACAAGAAAAACCAAGGCGGCACCAAGTCTGTGGTGCTCCTATCCGGCATCGGCAGTGTCGTCACCCTTCCCAACCCTCAAAACAAGCGCATCGGAGCATCCCAAGTCACCGACGACACAATCCGGCGCGTCTTGTCATCGTATGTCCAGGTCGTCCCTGGCGCAGTCCAAGCGCCCGTTGCGCCACCGCCGTCGTCTTCCGCCACCGCTGCTGCCACCGCTGCTGCTGCTGCTGCTACTACTACTACTACTGCTGCTACTCCTTTGGTTGCCGAGAGCGTAGTTCAGGTCCCCGGCTCAAAGTCCATTTCCAACCGGGTCTTGTTGCTCGCTGCGCTGGGCACTGGAACCTGCCGAATTCGGGGATTGCTGCACTCAGACGACACGCGTGTCATGCTGCAAGCGCTCAAATCTCTTGGCGTGCATAGCGAGTTTGAGAACGAAGGGACTGTTCTTGCCGTGCGCGGTGCTGAAGGATTGCTGACTGCACCACAGGACGACATTTATCTGGGCAACGCCGGCACGGCCGCCCGGTTTTTGACGTCCGTTGCTGCTCTGGTCTGCTCGGCCGCTCCAACGGGCGGTACCTCTACAGCTCGCAGCCATGTGGTTTTGACTGGCAAGCCGCGTATGAAGGAGCGACCGAATGGTCCGTTGATTTCCGCTCTGGTGGCGAACGGCGCCAGCATCGAGTGCCTCGAGAAGCCTGGGTGTTTGCCCATTCGCGTGGCATGCGCCCCGTCTGCCGGCTCGGGCACGTTGCGTGGTGGTGACGTTGAGCTGGCCGCGAACATTTCATCGCAGTACGTCTCGTCCCTGCTGATCAGCGCGCCGTACACCCAACAGCCGGTTCGCCTCCGCCTTGTTGGTGGTGAGGTCGTGTCTCAGCTCTACATTGACATGACGCTGGCACTGATGAAGGATTTCGGCGTTCCAGTGGCCGCACCTGTCGCGGGCTCTGGCGCAGACCCAGTGTACCAGATTCCCACCGCCAAGTACGCCAATCCTCCCGAGTACGCGGTCGAAGGCGATGCTTCCTCTGCCACCTACCCGCTGGCCATTGCTGCCGTCACCGGAAAGAAGGTGACGGTCGCCAATGTGGGCAAGCTGTCGCTGCAAGGGGATGCGCAGTTCTGTCACCTGCTTGCACGAATGGGCTGCACCGTTGAGCAGACGGACATGACCACGACCGTGACTGGGCCAAGCGGCATCGCCCCTCGACTCCGAGCTCTTGGCACGGTAGATATGGGAGACATGACTGATGCGTTCATGACTCTCGCTGCAGTGTGTGCCATTGCGGACGGCGTCACGTCCATTCGCAACATTGCCAACCAGCGCGTCAAAGAGTGCAACCGCATTCTCGTCATGCTGCAGGAGCTGACCAAGATGGGAATTCACGTTGTCGAGTTGGAGGATGGCCTTGAGATTCACGGGCGTCCCGCGAGCGAGCTGCATGGCGCAACCATTGTGTGCCACGACGACCACCGCATTGCCATGAGCTTTGCCGTGCTAGGGTGCGTTGTTCCGAACGTGATTATTAGCGAGCGAGCGTGCGTCGAAAAAACCTATCCGGAATTCTGGGACGACCTGACCTTGCATTTGGGCGTGGGCGTGCAAGCTCCACTAAGCACGCCAGAGTCGCGAACGCCGACGGTCGACGCGAATCGCCAGTCTTTGGCTGAATTGCCCATCGTCATGGTTGGGATGCGCGGCGCTGGCAAGTCGACCTTGGGTGCTGCGGTTGCTGCCCTCGACTCGCGCCAGTTTATCGACTTGGACGAGCTGATTGTCTCGACTGCACTTGGCGGCGTCAGTATATTGGACCACGTTGCAGCCCATGGTTGGGAAAGCTTCCGCCGCGCCGAGACACAAACGCTGCGCGGTTTGCTCGTGCCCTTCCTTGATGGCAGCGGTGCTACAACAACAACAACAACAGCAACAACAACAACGTTGTCGTCCGGCACCAGCCACTCCAAACCGCTGCTCATTGCATGTGGAGGTGGTGTTGTGGAGACGGAGGCCGCGCGACAACTGTTGGCTCAGTTTGGACGTGTCGTGTTGCTCCACCGTCACACGGATGATGTCGTGGCGTACCTTTTGAGCGACAAGACGCGCCCCACCTGGAATGAACACCCGTCCGATATTTACGCACGACGTCTGCCGCTCTACCGCGCATGTAGCCAGTACGAGTTTGTCATTTCGCGCGGCGACTCGAATTGGACGCGTATTGCACGCGAGCTGCACGAGTTTGTGCGTTTCATTTCGCAAACCGATTCTGCCGCCGCGGGCTCGTCTCAGCTGTTGTACCCGTCGACGCAACCATCGTGGCCCGCGGCAGGTCGACTGACTTCGCTGGATTTGATCAGACCGAACGGCTGGTTGCACCCCACCGAGGAGATTCGCACTCCAACTGGCTTTCTGTCGCTAACCTTTGCAGATTTGACCGAGCCTGCCTTGACCAATGCTTTCCGTCCTATTGTGGCGCAGATTCAGCTCGATCGCGCTCGTCAGGCTCAGGGTGTGCTCCGCCAAGATGCGCTGTCCCGCCTCATCCTGCCATCCCGAGATCCTGGGTCACTGACTGGAACAGACATTCTGTCGGCCATTTGCGAGCAGGGTGTGCATGCCATCGAGCTCCGGGTGGATTTGTTGGACTGCTGGCGCGATGCTACGGCGGTTGCCGAGCAGGTTGCGTGTTTGCGTCGCATTACCCCACTCGGTCTGCCCATCATTTACACTGTCCGAAGTGTGCAGCATGGCGGCAAGTTTGACGGAAAGGAGGCGGACTGGCTGCGGCTTACTCTCTTGGGCATCCGTCTCGGCTGTGCCTACGTAGACGTGGAAACGACATGGTCGGCATCGGCCCGCGAAACCGTGCTGAAAGCCCTGTCTGCCGCCAACACGCGTGTGATTGGGTCGTATCACGTGCCGGTGGGATGGGGCCAGGTGGAATCCATCGAGTCGTCAACGCCCGATGCAGCAGTGCATTTGCTGCGGCGGGCTGCTCCAGGTCTTTCCGGCCGTGTTCCCGTGCACCACTCTGCCTGGAATGCCCTCCGAGGCCGATTCGAGGAGGCGCGTCTTGGGGACCGTGCGCACATTGTCAAGGTGATTGCGCGGGCGGGCACTGTGGAGGACAATTACGCGTTGGCCCAGCTTGCTGCCTCGATTCAAGCGTGCGAACGAGACGTCAAGGCCAAGCCCATTCCGACATTGACGCTCTGTATGGGCGACGCCGGCTCTCTGTCTCGTGCGACAAGCACCATGATGACACCTTTTACTCATCCCTTGCTGCCGTTCAAAGCGGCCCCAGGACAGCTCTCGTTGCCGAGTCTGCACCAGCTCCGCAACCAGATTGGCCTGCTTCCCCAACAGCAGTTTGTACTGCTTGGAAGCCCCATTCAGCGCTCAATGTCGCCCACTTTGCACAACGCGGCCTTTGACGCTGTGGGGCTTCCACACCGCTACTCGCTCTGCGAGACGAGCAGTGCCGATGTTGCAGTGCAGATCTTGCTCGGTGGAGCGACCTTGCAGCAAGAGCCGCTCGAGTTTGCGGGCGCACCAGTGCATGGCGCCTCTGTGACAATTCCGCTAAAGCAGGATTTGGTTCCGCACATGCATTCGCTGTCCAAGGCAGCAGAGGTGATTGGCGCCATCAATACTGTCTCTTGTCTCCCTGCTCCGGTCGGGCACTCTGCGCCCAAGTGGCTGCACGGCGACAACACGGATTGGCTGGGCATTTTGCATTGCTTGGCGCGTGCGACGCAATGGCCAGTTTCAGAGCACCTTCTCACGAAACCGGCGCGCTCTGCGCATGGTGAGCAGCCGATTTCTTCGTCTGCGTCCCGGACTGCGCTTGTTCTCGGTGCAGGCGGAACGGCGCGGGCTGCCATGTATGCATTGGCCGCTTTCGGCATGTCGACAGTGTACGTGCACAATCGCACTGCTGCCAATGCGGAGCAACTTGCGGCCGACTTTTCCTGGGCGTACAAGGTGGAGGTTGTTCAAGACCTTGCTCGCGATCTTGTTCAGCGGGGTGTTGTTGTCAATGTTGTGCTTGCGACCGTTCCGACTTCGGCCGGCGTCACCATTCCGGACGCACTGCTGGAGCAATCCACCCCGGCAACACCGCCTGTTGTTGTGCTGGATGTGGCCTACATTCCTCCGTCCACTGCTCTCCTGGAGCAGGCCGCGCGTCACAACTGCACGATTATTCGCGGGATTGACATGCTGATTGAGCAAGGTTTTGCGCAGTTTGAGCTTTGGCACGCTCTTCCCGCTCCTCGCTCCTACATTCGCTCTGTAGTATTGGATGCGTTTGAGCGTATGTGCGAGAAGAGCTCGAGTTCTTGAATGTTCCTTGCCGTGTAGTTTTGTGTTTTTTTTTTTTCCAGCTGATTTTGAATGAAATTATTGTCGTTTATCTCCTCACAAGTCCTTTTCATCCTGCCGTTTCAACTTGCATGGTTTTCACTCGTTCATCCCGATCTTCTCAGACAGGGTCGCTCAGTCTACCCCTACTTTTTGTCATCTCCACAATGTCGTCTGCTGCTCTTGTCAAGGACATCCCGAAGCTCGTCCGCGGTTTTGCGCTCTCTGCCAACCGCGCTGCCAGCGTCAACCAGGCTGCTTCCGGCTACTGGAAGTAAGTCCGACCACACACACACACACACACACCAATGCATGCTCAGTGATCAACAGTCAGCCAAGAGATCGCTGCTGTGGTTGTGGAGGGGAATAAAAGCAAAAGATCGCTTTTTTTTTTTTGTTCGCTTCAGTCATGTTGAGGTCGTCACGGTCGTCCCTTCTTCAACTCAAGGAGAGACCACTTGGAATCACGTATAGTGGGCAGATTCTGTTGCATTGGTAGTCGACGCGTGGAGTACTGACGAGGGGCGGGGAAGAGTGAGGCACACGAGGAGAACGCTTTGGCTCACAGACCACCAGAACAGCGCGATGCGGAGAGAAGGGAACACAGGAAGCATCACGAGAGGCCTGCCGTAGTGAACCCAACCACTCATTGCTGCGGCAGAAGTGAGCCTGAGGGGAGCCGGGAAGCACAGGCACTCATTCTTGATTTTTTTTGTATGGATTTTGCATTGGCAGCAAGTACAAGAACTCGGCTGCCCCGGTTCTCCACCTCTTCCTGATCACTGGCCTCGGTGGCTACCTGCACCACCTTCCCCACCTCAGGCGTAAGTCAAACTGCATCGGATTGGAGGTTTTGAACTTTTTTTTTTTTTTTATTGTTGCTCATTCTGTGCTCGTGCTGTTCGTTCATCCCATCAGACGCCGCCCAGTCGGGACACCATTAAAAGCAACCAACGCAACCACCGAGTTTGTGGGGGGGGCGGCTGATGGGTCTCTGATGCTTGCTCGTTTGTTTTTGGTGGATCCTTGCTAGATTCATACAGTACAAAGTTTCACCTTTTGCCCTGACTTGTCAGCTTGAACCAGCGAGAACCGCCATATGGACGATTCTGGTTGGGTGTCAGACAATGTATATGGAGGTCTTCCTCGGTTGGGAATGAGCTGGAGGTGATTGGATGAGACATGTTCCCTTTGCTGGCCAATCTGCGATCTGCCACGGTGCAACAGAGGCGGTAAAGTTCAGACCGGCACTCCGATTTTTTGAGCGGCATGTCCGAACGAGAGAACGCGAGGCCTTTGTGTTGCCTGTGACGCAGGAAATCGAGATGAGCGCGAGGATTCGACATTAACGACACGCAGATCTGGAGTTGCGCCTCCTCATTTGGATGAAATTGCTGTGATGGCTACGAATGTCATCTAGCGCGACTTTGGCTGCACACACAACAGCCGTCCCTACTTCGAGGGTCCAGCCGATTGTGTGAGTGTGTGTTTTTTCACAGATTTCCAAATGATTTTGGGATCTCAATAACACAGGATTTGGGATTTGTTTGAAGCGTGCGTGATCGGTCAGACAGTGCAAGTCGGGCTAGAGTCCATCTTTGCGTTGTCTGAGATACCGAGTTCCGCTCGCCTTTTTTGGGCTTCAGTCTTTGTTTTCTATTGTTTGTGGTGGTAACTCTTTTCGGTTGGTTTGAGCTGTGCTTGCACTCCGTTGATGATGGCTCTGTCTCCAACCCCGCGCTCGAGGTCGTTTGGACGCTGTACTTGGCGGCTGAGGGGCGAGTCGGAGAGTGTTGACTGGGAACCGAGTGAGCGAGTGAGGGAAGACACAGACTAACAGGATTTTCTTGAGCCACGATCAGCTGGCTGGCTGCGCCCGTCCGACCTGAAACTGCACTCGCTCCCCGTTTGAGGGGATGCTGTGAACGAGTGAGGGTGGGGTCGAGGAAGCGAGCCAGAGGCCGAAGCTAGCTAAATCAGGACTTGACAGGCGGTCACGCGTTCTAACCGCTCTGCTTGGAATGATAGATCAACCATGCTGTCCTATGAGAGTATGACTGAGAGACAGCGCGAGTTATATGACAAAGTCAAGAACACAAGCGGATGGCTCGAGTAAGAAGAAAGCCAGGTTGATAGGGAACATAGTGTGATTGCGCGTGTGTACTGATACAAAGGAGGGACAGTCTGTACGACAATCAGATCGACGAGGCTGAAGCTCAAGCGATTGCTGAGGCACTCAAAGTGAACAAGACGGTGACTGCGCTCTGGTAAGGCATCCCTTCGAGTGATGCACGTGAGTGGGTGATCTAGTAGTGATGGCATTACGAGTGCTCACCGATGGAGGGGATGAACAGGCTGAAAAACAACCAGATTGACGATGCTGCTGCGAATACGATTGCAGAGGCACTGAAAGTCACCAAGACTCTGTCTGAGCTCTAGTGAGGAATCTCAGATTCACTGATGCATGTGAGTGAGTGATAAATGAGAGTAAGAGTGGCACACTGATGGAGATGATGGACAGTCTGAGTCACAATCAGATTGGTCATGCTGGAGCGCAGGCGATTGCTGAGGCACTCAAAGGGAACAAGACGGTGACTGAGCTCAAGTGAGTTATCTTACGAGTACTGATGCCGTGAGTGGGTGATCCAACAGACAGCATTCAGATTGCTCACTGATGAAGGGATGAATAGCATGAATGGGAATCAGATTGGCGATGGGGAAGCACAGGTGATTGCAGAGATGCTCAAAGTGAACACGACACCGACTACACTCATGTAAGGCATCTCTCTTTGACTGATGCATGAAAGTGGGCGATTCAGAAGAGTGCTCACTGATGAAAGGGATGGACAGTTTGGATGGGAATCAGATTGGCGAACAATCATTTTGGCTGTGCAGGTGCGCGGGCGATTGCTGAAGCACTCAAAATGAACAAGACGCTGATCGAGCTCGTGTAAAGGCATCTCACATTAACTGTTGCATGCCAATGGGTGATGCACTACACAGAGCAATGAGAGCACTCACTGATGGAGGGGACGGGCCAGTCTGGGTGGGAATCAGATTGGCGATGCTGGAGCGCAGGCCATTGCTGAGGCACTCAGAGTGAACAAGACGTTGACTCGGCTCGGGTAAAGCATCTCACTTCGACTGGTGCATGAGAGTGGGTGATTCAGAAGAGTGCTCATTGATGGAGGGATGTGGACAGTCTGGATAAAAATCAGATTGGCGATGCTGGCGCAAAAGCGATTGCTGAGGCACTCCAAGTGAACAAGACGCTGCCGTGGCTCAAGTAAGGGCATCTCACTGTGACTGAAGCATCCACGAGTGGGTCATCCAGCAGAGGGAATTCAGTGCTCACTGATAGAGGTGATGGACAGTTTGATTGATAATCAGATTGGCGATGCCGGAGCACAGGCGATTGCAGAGGCACTCAAAGGGAACATGCCGGTGCAGACGCTCTAGTAAGGCATCTCACTTTGACGGATGCATGTGAGGGGTGATCAAGTCGAAGAGATCTGGGGTGCTCGCTGACGGAAGGGACGAATAGTTTGGACTGGAATCGAATTGATGATGCTGGGGCGCAGGAGATTGCTGGAGCGCTCAAAGTTAACACGACGCTGAAGTGGCTCGAGTAAGCTGCTGCGCTCTTTGCTTTGCTGATCTTGCTCGTTGGGCCAGCGTCAGCCATACTTTGCTCACCCTTCAAGTGATAGTCTACGATCCAATTGCATTGGCAATGCTGGTCTTCAAGCGATTCGTGAAGCGAGTCAAGTCAACCGAACTCTGTCTAACCTTTGGTATGTTTGTCCGAACGATTTGTGCTCCTCCAAACCAATGGAGTCGCCCTGCTGAGTGCTCATTCACCTTGCTTGCACAGCATCCATAGCCAGATCAACCCTCTTGCATTCTCCTTGCTTCCACGATTGGCAACTGCTGACGATCTTCAGACCGTGTTGCACTTGCTGACCTGCGAACCAGTGCTGGAGGATCAAGCCACATCTCTACCAGCACTACCAACCGAGCTTGCCGAGCTCATTATGGACAAGGCGCACTACTGGCAAGGCGTACATCGCACCAAGCGATGGGAGTTTGATGATTATACCACCAATATTCTGAAAGTCACGCTGCCTCAAGGCCTCAATGGGAATTCAGTCCGTGTGAAAGCAATTCAAGTGCTTCGTGACACGAGAAACCGTTCTGACAGCATCGATGACACCGGCTTTGATTTGGTTGTCCGAGATGAGCAAGGTGCTATTCGATACGAATGCTCGGCGGCACCGACTTTTGTCGATTCGTTCTTCGAGCTTGTGACAATCCTGCCAGCCAATCATCCTGTCATCCGACAAATGCGCGCGGGTTGGCAGGTTCAAGTTCGACCCAACATGTCTTTAACCGCTGTGCTATTGGAAAGGCTTGACGTCGGGTACATCTAAGAGCAATCCTTGCAAAGCACCCGCCTTTGATTTTGCTCGGTCCTACTGTACATTCCAAAAAGATAAATTTCTCTACCTTTCGCTCTTCACTTTGTTCGAATTCGTGGACACGAATGCGTACTCTGTCCATCGCATCTTTTCCACTCTTCTTTCGGTTGTTTCCAATTGCAAAATGTCAGCAACGCCGAGCGTCACGTCGATTCTCGCTCCGGACTGGGGCGAGGACTTGTCCGCCACCGAGCTCATCGCTCAAGAAAAGTCCAACCTGGTACAACAGCAAAGCATAAACCAAACCTCGCAACTTGAGCTTACGTCGTGTTGGTGACCGCGTTTGACTATTGGGGCGGGGGGAGAGCGAGATTGAGATTGAGGGATGACGGCTCGTTTCGCTCACTGTCTGTCTGTCTGTCTGTCTGTCGATGGGGTTGCATCTGGCTGTGCTGTTCACTCGCTTGGTATTGACTCAGCACAAGGAGCTCGAGTGGCTGCTTCGCATGGAGGTGCCTGCCGTCTTTATGCAGCTCGGGCTCATGCTCAAGGTCGGTTGTTAACTGAGCCTCAGTCATCGCTCGTCACTCTCTGACATTGACAATCGTGTTTGTGTGTGTGCTTGTGCGTGTGTTGCTGCTGCTCTGTGCGGCTCGTTGAGCAGGACTGCGCGCAAACGCTCGCTGGACCGTCCGGCGTCTCGTCTGCCGTGGCTCAGGCAAGCGTCTTCACTGCTCCCATCACCAACACATCGTGAGTCGACATCATGATGAAGAGACAGATAAAACGATTTGAGCTTGTGTGAGCGCTTGGCATTGAGGACCTGTCATTGGGGGTTTTTGCTCATTTTTTTTGTCATTTCGTTTCACTTTTCGCTCTGCAGTGATTCTGTCAAAGGATTTGCCATGCTCGAGGGATCGCGCATCATCAAAGCGGTAAGGCGATTTCACTTGATTTCAAGCCCGCCATCTGTACCCTTACCAAGGGACTTACACTCGCGTTTCTCCACACAGGATGTCACCGTCAGGTTCTCCAAGTGGAACAAGTCTCTGCCAATATCGACCTCCATCACATCAAAGGAGCCCTGGATATTATCTCAGGTGAGTGTGGTCCTTGGTGTCAGTCCTATTAGCTGTCGACTTCAGGGTTTTTGGCCCGTCTCTGACGTTTCGTGTTTGTGCGATTTTCAGATCCAAAACGCCACCAACTATGTTCAGTTGGCACTGTCAGAGTTGGATGATTCTAGTCTGCAACATGGTCTCTTTCACACCCGGGAACAAGTTCAATCGGTGCGTATTTGTGTGTTTTTTTTTTTTGCCTATTTGCTTTTTGACGCGTTTCCTTCGTTGACTTGATATTTTCCACAAACCGCAGGTCATGGATCGCGTTATGGCCTTCTTGCGGAAAGCCCAGGATCAGCTGTTGTTCCAATCCAATCTTTTCCCCTACAATATCGATGATCTACAGCTGGTAACGGAACCAACAGGCGTCTTGATGCCATTGGCTTCTTTTTCTCCACCAACGCGTTTCTGCATTGTTGTCGCTCACCTCGATTCCTCCATGCTCTTGGTTTGTCTGATCACAACCTCCCAGAACGCGTTCAACCCTCGACTCCCGGCAGATTTGTTTGTGGACTTTTCCATCAACTACGCTGCCTTGAATGTCTCGGTGTATGCGTGCACTCTGCTCGGCACCAACCAACCTGCTCGAAAGCCTTCCTCCGTTGCTCGCAAGAAGGCCGACATGCTGATTGGCTATGTGCAGTACGTTCCGAAAGGGGTTCTTTCTCTCTCTCTCTTTGCTGTCGTTTGAAACTGAACGCGACTCGGTGCACTGACGTTGATCGTTTCCTACTTGCCTGCACACCAACCTTGCTCAGTGAAACACCATATGGCACGCGATTTGAGATTGTCGATCACGACGAGGTCGAGTGCCCGATTCCTTCGCTTGCACAATCTCTGGCGCATCTCAAGAGCGCCTACGAGCTTTGCCAGCGCATGAAGGACAAGGTGTGCACTCTCAAAATGGCATGAGTGTTTGTTTCCAATGTCTCGACCGCTGTCTCGCCCTGCAATACACGTTCCAATATTGGTTTCGAGTTCATGAAGTTCTGCGTGAATTTGAACGTCTCCACCCCCCACCTCCCACCTCCCAAATTACTTCCACACATCATCTCAAATTCAACAAGCTCAGTCTTTGTTTTTTCTTTTTACAACCATACCAACAGTGTACCGTGAGGATGAGCAGACTCAAACCAGCGCCCGCGACAAAGCGACTCGGCGCCGAGTACGCGCTGATCAGCAAGCAAGACCACGGCGCTCCGTCGACGGGCGTCTCACTCAAGGATCGAGCTGCACAAGAGCGACTGTTTCGGGATGTGCTGGAGCAACTCCAGCCCCACATTGCCGCTGTCGAGTCGGGTCAGTGGATGCAGGCTCAGGAGGCTCGCACAGACAAGCTCGAGCCGATCGTTGCCGCATGCCGCAAGCTGCGTGAGGGCGTCTATGCACTCGCTCAGCTCGACGAGTTCAGCGTGGACGTCTACGAGGCGGCGGCTCAGGCATGCATGGCTGCGCAACGCAACGACGAGCTGCACAAGACACTGGTCGTGCTCGTCCGCGAGATCTACCCCGCTGTAGCCATCGGATTGGATCCTGCTCGTGCTCGGAGAAGGCGCGATTTTATCGGATGCCTCGCGCTGCGGCTGCTGTGTCAAGACGCAAACTCTGGCGAGTTCAATTCGCTGCTCCAGCAGCTCTCTCGTGCGGACATCGAGTCGCCTCCACTGCAGTTTGTTCTGGCCGTGCATGGTGCAGTGTCGTTGCGGCGGTTCCGGGCTTTCTTCAAGCTCTGCCGGTCTGCGTCTCCGTGGCACGCGCTCGTCCTTGAGGTGAGTCGGATTCGAGTTTTGCTGATTTTCAATTTGTGTAAGCGCTGTGGGGCATGTACTAACCACCAATCGGCCTCTCTGTTGGCAACGTCCTTATCTCATTGTGCGAACGGCGCGCGGTGTGTGTGTGTGTGTGTGTGTGGACTAGACGTTCAAATCGAACGTTCGCCAAACGGCAATCTCGATTTTGACCGCCTCATTCCCTTCCCTGCCTCTCTCCGTTCTCGCGCATTGGCTCGAGTTGACCGACGACAACTGTCGGCAGTTTTTGGAGCAAACCTGCAGGTTTACCGCCGACCAGCTGGGAGATGGGCTGACTGTGACTTTTCGTAGCGCACACAGCACTCGCGTCCCTGCGCCTGTCAAGTAGCTTCAGTCGAGTCTCGGCTCTAGTCAAGTTGCCTGACTCCCAAACACTCTCATGGCAACTTACGCAGAAAAAAAAGGACCAACCCCGCTCCTCCAACCCAGCGATATTTAAACAACCCAAAGACGAATCTGTCGCCGTTCGTTTGAAATTCAAACAGACAAGACCAGCTACAACAACTCGCAAGATCTGATTGCACTTTGTAATGCTTTACAAGGCTGCATGGATGACAGTCATCGCGAAAACAACACCAGTGCAAAAAAAAAACACAAACTGATAAAGGCAAAAAAGTGTTTTTGCTTTACTTGGAAAGAAGCTCGATAACAGCCTTAACGTTGGCGCCAATGACCTCGCCGACCTTGGAGCCCTTTCGGAAGGCCTGGAAGGTGGGCATAGCGCTAATGCTGCAGGAAGCAGCGACGTCCTGTCATTGTTGTTGCAAAATGTGGTGGTTTTGTTGGTGAGAAACAAAAAATTAAGAAACAAAACAACTGTACTTCATTGTCACCCAGTTCACGAAGCATTGAGCATATTCTAGATGCATTGAGCGTATTGCTGTTGATCTGCACGATGGGTTGTTACCTCAAGCTCGTCGACGTCGACCTTGAGGAAGGTGATGCCAGTGTTCTCGGCGGCGAGCTTCTCGATTTGAGGGGCAATCATCTTGCATGGGCCGCACCAGGTGGCGTAAAAGTCGACAATGACCTGAACAAGAGACAAGAGACAAGAGACAAGAGACAAGAGAGCGAGAGTGAGCGAGAGTGAGTGAGAGTGTGTGTGTGATTGGGAGAGTGAAGCAGCCCTTCCCCAGTTGAACAGAAGGAGCGACCGTTGAGCGTTTTTGCAACACAGTCCGCAACAGAGTGACCTTCGAGTGACCAGAGAGAGAGAGAGAGAGAGAGAGAGAGAGGCTCAAAGGACGGCGATCTCTGTCTTTTTGTGAACACGTCTTCTTTCTTCTTTCTTTCTTCTCCCTTTTCTTGGTTGGGCGCGCGCTTTCCAAACCTCATCTCTGCATTGAAACTGAGCTGTTCTGCCGCGTTCCTCACACGCGCATGGCTGTGCGTTGCTGTGGCTTCCGAAGCACGAGAACGGAACATCAAAGCCGAAGTAAAAAAAAAAAAAAAAGCGCGGAAAACAAGATAAACCAATACAGATACAGGCAAAGAAGGCGAGGTGAGGTGTCTGCACGTACGAGCTTGTCGCCGTTGATGTGAGTGTCGAACTCGGCCTTGGAAGTGACGTGGATGGTGGACATTGTGTGAAAATGTGAAAACTTGGATTCAAAAACTGAATGAAAGAAGACTGAGGAAAAAAAGAGCATTTTCACCGCGCTTTTTGAATGGCCAAAAGCGCGAAAAAAAAAAAAGAAAAAAAAAACAAGAAATCCTCCGTGATTTTTGGGTTTTTGGTGCTGATGGTGCCAGATTCTCGCTCGGTCGCCTTCTCGAAGCAAAGCACCCCCATTCTGCGAGGCGAGTCGGAGCTATCATTCTCCTGGCAATTTTGGAAAAAATCTGTGAACAGCCGCGCGCAAAAAACTCTTTTCATGCTGGCCTGTTCCGATTTCCTCGTTCACGTGTTCGCACAGCAAAACACACCTATGGTAGATCTACACAACAGACAAGCAGGACAAGGACCAGCCACACAGATTGTGACGCGGCAAACACGGGTGCCAGGAGCATTACGGGACTTTGAAACAATTATCTCAAACGTTCAACTCAGAAAAACAAATCAGGTTTACCAAGAAATCAAAAAACACACACCCACACACTCACAGCATAGCTATCAACACGGCACCGAAACACCACCCCTCCTCCATCATCACGGTTGGGGCGCCAACTCGTTATGCTGGACGACGCTCTCGGTCGCTGACCGGCGCTGGAGAGCGGCAGCCATGCCGGCACCACCGTGAGCACCTTTCGAAGCGGCGGATGACATGGCGGCTGCAAAATTTGTGCCAACACGCGAGCGGCCAGCGGTAAATACGCCAGCCATGAACCTTGTGCAAAAGCGGCAGGCCGCATCGGCCTCGTCGACAATCTTTGAAAAGCTCAGGAAGCCGTGGGGAAGCGTGTCAAACACGTGCAGCTTGACCGGGTGGCCGACGCTGCGAAGACGACGGGCAAATTGGATGGAGTCGTCCAGCAGCGGATCGAGCCCAGCAGCAACAATCTGGATTGGCGGCAGACGTCGAAGCGCCTCCTCCGACGCAACCAACGGCGAAATGAAAGGATCCATGCGCCAGCCAGCCGCGGGAGGCCCGGCGCTGGATGGTGCGTTTGCGCCTCCAGACTCGGCTGCGGCCTGCATTGCCGTTGCCGCCGTTTTCGCGGAAACGGTGACTGTCTCGCCTTCGCCGGCGTCCGTGGAAATGACAGCGTCGGCTTTGGATGAGGTTCGACGAGGTCCGGAGCGCTCAGCCTTGGTGACGGTGGTTGGAAGCTTGTCTGTGCCGGTCACATACGCAGCGAGGCAGTTTTTCAGCACGGCGGTCGGCAGCAGCGCGTCCATCACACTCAGCATGCGCGAAGCGGCAGGCCAATACTGGATCAAGCACGGCGGATAGCACGCCAAGACCGCCGCAGGGCGTCGAATGCCCAGCTCGACGCATTTGAGGGCAACCGTCAAGCAAAGGTTGGCGCCTGCAGAATCTCCCGCAAGAATGACCGTTTCGGCCGTCGTACCAAGCCGCGCCGCATTCTTGAGCGCCCACACGTACGTGAACAGACACTCAAACAGAGCCTGCGGGTACGGGGCGTCTGGGGCAAGCGTGTAGTCCACAGACACAATCGGGCAGTCGAGCTCGCGTGTCCATTCACGCAGGTAAATTTCGTGAGACTTGGAGCTCTGAGAGATAAAGCCGCCTCCGTGGAAGTGGACAATCAAGGCATTCGACATTGGCTTTGCCTTGGTGAAGAGGCGCGACTCGGATTCGCCACCTCTCTCAACGTGGGCGCACTCGTACATTTGACCAGCGTACCACTCGTGCGAAATGAGACGGGCATGGACAACGTCGAACAAGCCATCATTGGTAAGCGTTTCAACACTGAGATGCACATTCCCGCCCGCCGGATAGCGACTTGGATCGTCGGCAGGGCACGTCAACGCAACGACGGGAATCTTCATGACAAAGTTGACAGAAACGTTCGCAGAGACGACTTTGGAGACGTGCTGCAAGAGGGTTGTATCAAGAAGTTGGTGAGAAAAATGCACGTCACGGAAGCTAGCTCCTCCGTGGATCCTGCTCAAAAATCAAAAACGGAAAAAAAGGTGCATGCATACCTTGGCCATCGTATTCTCCGTCAAGTTCCAGAACGCCTTGGAAAAGGCAAGATCGCCACGCAAGAGTTGCTTGCTGAGACTGCGAGCGCGATCCTCCGAGCCAAACACGTACAAGGGGCTGGACGCAAGCGCAAACACCTTTTGCGCCAGGTCGCTCTTGTTATTGTTAAACCCATAGCTGTACGACGCCATGGCAATCAGAATCACCTTGAGGGTGGTTCGCATCGGCTTTGAATACTGTTTTCATCAAGGATTTATGTTCGTGTTGTGAGCACCAGAGCAAAGCTAAAGCCCCCCCCTCTTTCCCCGCCATCGAACGAATCAAACAGCCACCAAGCTGTGCCATGAGATTTTTTCCAAAAAAAAACAAACAAACCAACGCCGCTTACCTGAAACCCAAACTTCCGGCCATAGAAACGAGCACATTGAATGCCCTCGACTTCGGCGAGAAGAGAGTCGGCTGCGGCAAGGGTCGACGCCGGCAGAGGCCCGAGAGACGCGTCGCCAGGGAAAACACTGTTGCTGTGCCCCAGCGAGGCCATGCGCAGAGCAATGTTCAGCATGGCACTCAGCAGTTCGAGCGTTTTGATGTAGTCTTCCATGACGACAAAGCTGGCGTCGGCGCGAAAGAGGAGCGAGTCCCGGCTCAATGTAAACGCACGCATCTCTTTGGCCAACTTGCTCAAGCAAGCCATGACGACGCGCACGAGGGAGCGGTACCCACTTGACTTGACATGCTCATCAAAGTCAAACAGTGGCGCGAGCCAGCACAGCGAAAAGGTGTCGTGCCGAATGGCCAGCACGGTTGAGTGGGCACGGAAGAAGAGCATTTCAAACCGCTCGGCCGATTCGGCGCGCGGGCGACTGCCAAAGGTGGGCTTGACGGTGGCCTTGTTGCGAAAGTACGCGGCATTGTCCTGGGCGAGGCCCAGCATTTCGTCCAGCAGATGCTTGACGTGCACACTTTCGGTTGCGGCCCACGCCGTGCGCTCGTTAATGTTGTGCTCAACGTGGATGCGCTGCAGATACGAGCTCAGGTCGCCATGGTACTCGCGCACACGATGCCAGGCGCGCGAGCTCTCCTCTGCATCCGTCACCGAGTCGCCAGAAGATTCCGGAGTCAGGGCCCCGTCTTTTGCTGCTACCGCGTCGATGATTTTGCCGCCATGTCGATGAGGAAGATGCACGTGCTGGTGGGTTGCATGCAGCATGTTGTGAAGGCGCTGGCCCAAATGGCGATTCTTGCTTGTCGCATCCTCGCCATCTGCAACAGATGGCATTTCGTACTCGTCCTCGTCGTCGTCGTCAGACTCGTGGCGATAGTCGGTGAAGGACATGGCGGAGGTTGGCGTTGCCGGCGTGTACAACAGCTCGCCCCGCCTGGTCTCCGGTTGGCACTCCTCGATGCAGTTTGCCGTGATGGAGGCCAGCGAATCCTGCTCGGATGCAGGCAGGCTGTGCATGCTGGCATTTCGCTGAATGGCAAGCGAGAGCAAATCCGCCGTCGAGTTGGATACGTGGATTGTATCTTCGCCCGGAACAGCCAATCTTGGCGTATTGTTCGACTCGTCATTGTTCGACGATGCAGAATCTGACGACGACGAGTATTCCATCATAGCATTGCCTTCTTGGTTCTTGACGTGAGTCTGAGTGTATAGAGCAGCAGCGTTGGTCTTGGCGCTCGGAGTCGGCTGCTGTGGATCAGCCTCAGTTGCTGCAATCTCGTACGGGACTGGATCAATGGTGACGACGGGCACCGTGGACGAGTGCGTAGACCCGGTTTCAGGCAAACTATGCTCGTCTGCATGTAGCTGTCCAGGGTTGGCATCGGGAGCAGTGTCGTCACCGTCGTCGTTGGCTGGAGAGTGCGTCAAGTGCTTGAGCGCACCGATGACGGCGCGACCGAGCTCGGCTCTCTTCGTCGACTGCAACTAGTCACAAACAAAGAAACAAACAAACAAACAAACAAACAAACAAACAAACAAACGACGTGTTGCATTGACAACACAGAGTGAGCAAAGTCAAAGTGCACGGCGATCAGAGGCACCATTTTCAATGTAGGAAACCAATCCAATTGGAAAGCAAAGACGATGAAGCGTTCGTCCGTTCGCTTCAAGCCAAAAACAACTCTGGTTGACAAAAGCAACGAGCGCTTGCTTTTATTATAGTAATGTCAGGGGAGGGAAGGATGAAAGAGATGGATGGCTGTGGGCAATGAAACGAGGTCAGTGCCAAATTTTTACCACGGCGAGCTTTGACTGAGCATTGTCTGGATATGAAAATGCACAGCGTAAGGCAAAAAATAATGTGATAATGTGATAATGTTAGGAAAACAAGCGGCACTTCTCCCGTGCAGTGGAGTCGAGTAGGGTCAGGAAAACGTCACTTCAACCACTGACTGCTCGGTTTACATACAAGCAACGCGACTTGGAGACCAGATGGATCCTGAACAGCTACTCATTCTGCAATGACAATGTATTGTAATAGAAGCTGCATTACACTCAGTCATCTTTGAACGTGGTTGGTGTTTCACATGAGCTCTCCGAAAGCCATTCAGCTCAATGCAAAGTCTGTCCGGTGAGGCGCCTCCCAGACTTTGAGCGATATCAGTCTGCATTATTGATGCCATCTTTTACATGTATCACATTTTGCCAAGTGGATGGTGCTGGCGACGAGCTGGGACGACTTGGATAACTCACAGCATGCTGCACAATGCGACTCGTGCGCCAACGCTGATTTCTGTTGCTGCGAGTGTGCAGGGTCAGCTCGGTGCTGAATCGAGATGCCAAGCAGTTTGGGAAACAGTTTATGCTGGACGGGCGCGACGACACTTGCTGGAACTCGGATCAGGTACACGCGGCCAAAAGAACCAATGCAATGTCAATGCAAAAAAGATCATCGACTTGATGACATGGTGAACTCACGCTCGATTAATGTTTGTGGTGCAGGGCAAGTCACAAACTGTCTCGATTGAGCTAGATCAGCCAGTCACGATTGCTGGCGTGCGTATCATGTTCCAAGGTGGATTTGTTGGAAATCGGTGTCGGATTGAAGTTGAACGCTCGCCTGCGCAACAAGAAGCCGCCGCTGGCGTCAGTCCTAGTGGCGAATCATCTCTTGCTAGTAGTGCAAGTGCATCAGAGCAGCCAGGGTTGGCAAACGATGCATCGACCGGGAGCACGACGGCTCGCAAGTATGATGTGCTGTGCACCATCTATCCCGAAGACAACAACACGCTGCAAGTAAGGTTCATTGGTTGCACACCACTGACGCCGGCGAGCAGAATTGGAGAGAGAGAGAGAGGATGTGAGCTGGAGCCGACTGTTTCTGTTGCAGGAGTTTCCATTCCCATCAAGCCAAGAAGTTCAACGCATGCGATTCGTGTTTGAAGCTAGCACCGACTTTTTCGGACGAGTCACAGTGTACCGACTCGAGTTGCTCCAAGCAACATGTTAGTTTCAATCGTGTTTGAAGCTAGCACCGACTTTTTCGGACGAGTCACAGTGTACCGACTCGATTGTACAGTATTGGCACTGGCTTTACTGTTACCTCAGTCATCATCATCATCACTTTGTTGCTGCATCATTCAAAACACATTGTACAGTATTGGCACTGGCTTTACTGTTACCTCAGTCATCATCATCATCACTTTGTTGCTGCATCACCAATCACACTCAATACTCAAATCTGAGCAAGACGAGCAAAAAAGTTCCCACGATGAACTTTCTGCAATTCTTCGAACGCCCGCCAGCAACCGCGCCACCAGACGCATCTTCACCGCACAGCAGCATGAGCACTAGTCGTAGCGGCAGCCATAGTAGCAGTGGCTCGAGTCATAGCAGTACTCATAGCAATACTCACAGCCTGGGATTGACCAGCAATCCCAAATCCGCCGAGCACAGGACAGGCTGGCTGACCAAGATTGGCGGCAACATCAAAACATGGCGACGACGCTACATGATACTCAATGTGCTTGACGGCAAGCTGTCGTACTTTCGGACGCCTGGGGACACTGCGCCGCTGGGCGTGATTGACGTTCAGCACAGCCAAGCAGTGTACATGGCGCCGTCCTGCGAGACGCACCGCGAGCACTGCATTGCGATTGCCACTGCCACTCGGACATACCTGATGTACGGCGACACGCTCAACGAGACGGAGGCCTGGCTGCACGACCTACGCGTGGTGGGAGGCCACCATCATCATCATCAACAGCAATCTCCGACGGGTGCGTCACCGTCGACGACGGGCGCTGACGACGGCAGCAGCGAGCCAAGCGCAGTATTGCAGACAACAGCAGCAGCTCCATCCGCAAGACGGAGTGTGGTCGAGTCCGACCAGCTGGCGGAACTGGTCAAAGACGATGCCGTGGCACCAGATGGAGATCAACGCCGAGACGCCGACCAGCCGGCAACCGTTAACCGCCAGCCATCGCCGCGCATTGCTTCGACTGGATCAAGCGAGGCAACTTTGAGTGATTTACCGCTCGGTTCCACGGCGCTGCACAGTCCTCGCTGGCCACAGCAATCTCAGGTTTGTTGGAAATCAGATGTCGCGCTGTTGTTGTTCTGCAGTTCACATTGTTGTTCTGTGCGCCATGCAACTCACGACACATTTGGTTTGCTCATGATCAACCTCCCTTCCACCCTGTGCTTGAAAATTCACACCTCCTCCACCAGTTGACTTGCGAGGTCTGCTCCCAAAGATTCAAGTTCGACGACGGATCGACCTGCACGCACCATCCTGGCTGGACACTCAGTGCTGTCTCTACCTGGGGCTTGTGCAGCTTGTGCAAAATGCCGTGGACGCCCTCGGGCGGATGCACGCAGTCACGCCACACCTTCACGCGAAGTCAACGATCCGCCAGCGGCAGCTTGTTCAGCTCGCGCGCACAACGATCCAACACGACGATTGGACTGCCGGATGCGAGCAACAGTGCTGCTCCTCTGCGCGACGTGTATTCGAAAGAGCAGTGTTGTTTCGCGTTGCTGCGCATGCTCAGCGCGGGAACGAGTCCCGTCACCATCTCGCGCTGGGCCTACCGTGTTCTGATCATGTCGTTCGACTTGCTCGAAGACGGCGTGGAGCAGCCGCTTCTCCGACTCATCTCCATGGACGAAAGCAATCCCCTCAGCTACGACTCTATGCTCGCGCTGGCTCGTGAGCTCCAGTCGGCTGAAGTGCGGTGAATTTTTTTTTGGATTTTTTGGGCATCAGAGCTAGTCTTTTCAGTTGCACTGCAATGGTGCATGTAATTTCGTCGTGTCTCAGTATTTAATAACAAATAATCGTGTTGAACATGAAGGATGCAGAAGAAAGGATAGAAGAAAGAAAGAAGAAAGAAGGAGGAAAACGGAATGGAAAATGTCGCTGGGTTCTCTTGAGCCCCCGCCATGGTCTGCACACAAACCGCAAAGGAGTTGCCTCCCTACGAATTTCGCAGGCAGATTGAGGGACGAAGGCGCTTCTTGTCAAGCGTTGCTCTTGGTTGCACCTGGCGAGGAGCGTCACAGCGTAAAAAGCGTTTGCGGCGCCCACAAAAAAAACCAGCATCAACCGAATGATAATTTCTGACGAGCAAACACCAAAAAGCAAGACGAGCGAGTGCGAATGCGGGCGGGGGGCACTCACGCATCAGGACGAGCGATCGCACACACGCCTCACTCAGTCGGGAATCAGATCAGAGACGAGCAGAGTGAAAAAGCCACCAACGACAATCCAACCCGTTTCAGCATTTGGCGCATTTACGTTTTTGGTTCGTGTTTACGTTCTGTTTTTTGTCACTTTAACATCTCAGATTCTCTTGTTTTTAATTTCTCATTTCTTATTTTTTTATTTTATTTTGTGAAAAACAAATAAATGAGCACTTTTGGAACCTTGTTTCGCGTGACGACGTTCGGCGAGTCGCACTGCGCTGGCGTCGGCTGCATTGTGGATGGAGTGCCGCCACTGGTAAGCCAAGCAACAGCCAACTAATCCCCGCAATAAAAATGCTCATCTCGAACCTCGAAACCTGCTTGTCATAAAGCAAATAATAAAGCGCGAATGTGAGCTGATACCATGGTACGTTGGTAGATGGCTCTGACTGAGGCGGACATTCAACCCCAGCTGAGCCGGCGACGCCCAGGCCAGTCTGCCCTCACCACGAAGGTCGGTTTGTTTGTGCTATTGTTAGATTCATGATGATGGGGGGGGGGGTGTGAAACGCAGCTGCTGTGGTAGAATGGTGAACGGTACCTCGCTCAGTTTGTGACACGGCTCCCTCTCTGTCATTGACAATCCCCGCGCGCAACCTCCCAGCGCGATGAGAAGGATCTCGTGCGCATCATGTCAGGCACCGAGCATGGTGTGACGCTTGGAACGCCGATCGGACTGACCGTGCCGAACGAAGGTGAGCGAGAATTGGAGCGGATTGTGGGCGATGACAGCATTGCCAATGGTCAGTCACGAACTCGCTCCTATTGCTCTGGCTTTGGTGTATGTATATTGGGTCAGATATGCGACCGGGTGATTATGGATCCATGAGCGACATCCCGCGACCCTCGCACGCCGATTACACGTACCAGTACAAGTATGGCACCAAAACGTCAAGTGGCGGTGGTCGTGCATCTGCGCGAGAAACGATTGGTATGGTGCTGGCGAAGGATCCATTCTGCTATTCTGCTGGCTTGTCGGTCTTGTTGTTGACGAGTTGTTGAGTTGCTTGCGTGTGGTGGGAACAATTCCGATTTCATTTGGGAGATTGTTTTGAGCTCACTGCTTTGGCGTTGCGTTTCAAACCCCTTCTCCAGGCCGCGTGGCTGCAGGCGCAATTGCCGAAAAGTTCCTCCGGCTGCGCTATGGGGTGGAGATTGTTGCGTGGGTCAGCTCGATCGGCGACATTGAGATGGTGAGAATCCATCCATGGAGATTGCTTGGATCGAGCATTCTGCACACTCAACTTCCCTTCCCTTCCTCCGGCACCAACCACTCTCTTCGTCGTCTGCATGCCATTCCCATTGCGTAGAAGGAAGACGTTGTGGACACAATCACGAGAGAACGTGTCGACAGCCACCCGACACGCTGCCCCGACGCCGCTGTCGCCGACCAGATGACTGCGCTCGTGCAAGAGTGCCGGAATGCCGAAGACTCGGTGGGCGGGGTTGTCAGCTGCGTGATTCGGAACTCGCCAGTCGGACTCGGGGAGCCGTGCTTTGACAAGCTGCAGGCGACGCTCGCTCACGCGATGATGTCCATCCCAGCCACAAAGGGCTTTGAGATTGGCTCTGGGTTCCGCGGCACAACGCAGCGCGGCTCGGCGCACAATGACATGTTTGTTCGCAAGGGCGACCGCCTTGGTACCGTGACCAACAACTCTGGCGGCGTCCAAGGCGGCATTAGCAACGGAGAGCCCATCGTGTTGCGTGTCGCGTTCAAGCCTCCGGCTACCATTGGCAAGGAGCAAGCCACCGTCACCTACGATGGCACGAGCGCAGTCCTTGCCGCAAAAGGGCGCCACGATCCCTGTGTTGTTCCTCGTGCCATTCCGATTGTTGAGGCGATGGCTGCGTTGGCTCTTGCCGAGTAAGTGTGAATTTGGCCTTGTTCGTTTTGCGTGTCTGTGCGTTCTCATTGTTGTCGGGGGGGGGGCGGGGTTGCTGACTGGCCGTTCTACTCTTTCAACGCCAACAGTGCTGCCCTGGTTCAGCTGTCACGACATGCTGCCGTGCTGCCATTCAATGCATTGCCTCCACTTCAGAATGTTGTCACCCCGCTCAATCCCGCCAAAGCCCAAGATCCGACCAAGCCTGCGGACGATCGTGCTCATTCATGAAGCGCGAAAAGTGTGGGGGGATTTGTTGTTGGTGATTTTGCGTCTACCTGAGCTCGTGTTCTTGGACGTTCCACCCCCAAATAGATACAGCGACTCACATTCTACTATTCTAGAGCACCCTTCACCTTATTTGACTGTATTCCCAATGATGATCGAAACGAGAGCGACACGACAAAAAGCGCTCACTTTTTTTTTTTTTTTTTTTTTCCAACTTCTAAGCCGCGCGCCCCCTTTCTCTCTCCTTCTCCTCTTCTCCATCGGTCGATCGCACTTGTTCCCGCGCGCGTTCTTCTCTTTTGCTCTTCTGCTTCCTCCTCCTTGCCTTGCAACGGGAACAACCTCACCATGTCAGGCGCTGGAGTTCGGCATCGGGGTGCGCAGTCCCAGTCGCAGGCGAGCCAACAGCAGCACTACGTCGACGACCAGAACCACGGCCACGGTGCTCCGCCGCAGCAACACTATGCGCAATATCAGCAGCAGCAACAGCAGCAGCAGCTTCAGCAGCAACAGCAGCAACAGCCATCGCATCTGATGTCCTTCCAGGCGTACCAGCACCAGCAGCAGCAACTGCAGCATCAGCCACCGCAGCACCAGCATCAGCACCCGTTGTCACACCAGCAGCACCAGAACCAGCACTACGATGCGCTCGACGCCAGCGATGCTCGGATGGCGCGTGCTCGTGCCTCGATCCTGTCTGCCGGGCCGTCCAAGCGTCGTCAGTCAGGTTTGTGCTTGATGATCGAGTTTCTGAGTTTTTTGGTTGGATTGTCTGAGTTTTTTTTTTATTATTTGTGGCCGTTGGAGTTCCTGAACGATTTTGGTTTACTCGGATTTGGCTTTTGGTTGCATTCTCACTCGTTTAATTCTTGCGTTGGTTTTTGACGTCCCCATCGCATGAATCTATCATTTTCTTCACACAGTGTCATGGAAGGACGCGCTGCGAGGAAAAGGCGACGACGGGCGTGTCTTGTTCTTTGTGCTGTTGACAATCGCCTCGTTCGTGACACGTTACTACTACATTTCGCAGCCGACGTCTGTTGCGTAAGATTTTGCATTCGTTTCTAAGTGTGTTGGAGACGCACCAACCCTACAAAAAAACAAACAAACAAACAAAAAAAAACCACACCTCTGGATCTCTAATCACTGCACGAATGGGCATGCTTTAGATGGGACGAGACGCACTTTGGCAAGTTTGCGAACGGATACATCAAGGGCGAGTTCTTCTTTGACGTGCATCCGCCGCTGGCAAAGATGATGATTGGCTTTGCAGGAGCCGTGACGGGCTACCGCGGCGACTTTGAGTTTAAAAACCCCGGCCAGGCCTACGAGCAAACACCCTACCTCGGCATGCGAATGTTCTGCGCCTTCTTTGGCGCTCTGATCATCCCGCTCGTCTACGGCACCATTCTCGATCTCGGATTCTCTCCAACTGCCGGCCTCATTGCTGGCTCGCTGGTCCTGTTTGAGACGGGCACCGTGGCCCTTTCCCGCCTCATCCTCCTCGACCCCATCATGATGTTTTTCATCCAAGCGTCGCTGTTCTGCACAGTGCGCTTCTTTTTGTACCGGGACGAGCCATTCTCCGACATGTGGTGGTTTTGGATGTTCCTGTCCGGAGTCTCAATCGCTTGCGCGTTTTCCGTCAAGTGGGTTGGCCTCTTTATCATCCTGTTTGTTGGCTTGACCACTGCCAAGGATTTGTGGGATTTGCTCGGTGATTTGAGCTTGACCAAGGTGAGGATTTGTTGCGGTTTGCAGTGTGGGCTTGTCTTTACACACTCACAAACTGACCTCCTTGCAACCTTTTTGCTCACTCTGTTTCTGTCCCCTTCTTCAACTGATCGCACCGATAGACCATCCTGGGCAAGCACCTCCTGGCGCGTGCCGTCTGCTTGATTGTCATTCCAGCCATCATTTACAGCTTCTTTTTCGCCATCCATTTCGCCGTTCTGACCAACAGCGGCCCCGGCGATGGTTTTATGAGCTCGCGTTTCCAAACTACGCTCAAGGGGAATGAATTGAACAACTACAATGGACCTCGCGGTAAGACATTGATTTTTTTTTTGTTGTTGGTCTCGGCAGCTTTTGCTTTGCACGGTAGTGCGCTCATTTGATATTTTTGTTCGTGATTTCTCATGTGTACTTTTGGGCTCCTGGTGTCAGAAATTGCCTATGGATCGATCGTCTCGCTGAAAAATCACCGCAGCGGCGGCGCACTCCTTCACTCGCACACGCACACCTACCCAGAGGCGCATGGTCCGCAGCAGCAGCAGGTTACCTGCTACTCCCACAAGGACTCCAACAATCACTGGCTCATCAAGCATCCCGGCACGCCAGATCTCAACGCCGAGTCCGAGAAGGCAATGGTCGAGAAGACCAACGTCGCCCCGCTCGAATACATCAAGCACGGCTCGATTGTTCGCTTGGAGCACATCAACACCAAGCGCAACATTCACAGCCATCGCGAGAAGGCCCCATTAACGACACGGCATTTCCAGGTATAGTTTATGCAATGTGCTTTTTTAATTGACTGTGTTTTTTTTTCTTTTGCAGGGCAGCAACAAACAATCAACTAACCATCAACTTGCCTTTGCTCGATGGGTCTCAGGTCTCTGGATACGGTGCTGACGGTGTGGGCGATGCAAACGATCACTGGCGCGTCGAAGTGCTGGATGGCGGCGGCGAAGACAACCGCGTCCAAACGCTCATCACTCGTTTCCGCCTCATCCACGTGAGTGTCGGCTGTGCGCTGCACTCGCATGGCAAGAATCTGCCAAAGTGGGGCTGGGAGCAGCTTGAGGTGACGTGCAACCCCAACGTGAATGATGCCGACAACATGTGGAACATTGAAATGCATCAAAACGACCGCTGTAAGTGTTTTTTTTTTGAGTTTGGTAGAGATGGAGCGAGTGTCGTCATGTTCTGGTTTTGAAACTACACCTTCTCGTCGCTCATTTTGCATGCTCATCGTTGAACTGCTGTTTCCCCCCCCCTTTTCCATTGCCAATTCAGTGCCCAAAGTCGAGGGAGTTTCGTACCGACCTTCTTTCATTTCCAACCTGATTGAAATCCACGTGGCCATGGCTCAGGTGAACAATGGCCTCAAGCCCAAGGAAAACGAAATCACCTCACGGCCCTGGCAATGGCCCATCAACTACCGCGGACAGCGCTTCACCGGCTGGGGCGACAACGACACGCGCATCTACCTGCTCGGCAACCCGGTCATTTTCTGGGGCTGCCTGGTCATGACCGTTGTATTTATTCTCTTCTACGCAGTTGATGCAGGGATCTCGCAGCGCGGATATCGCGAGCCTCCATGGAACCGAGGTAACCAACGCGCGCACCTGCGAACAATTGAGAATTCGTGCTGAAGGAATTGGCTTTGCTACTCTTCCCTTCTTGTCTCACTGAAAACTTTTTTGTTCGCTCTTGTTTTTTTTTTTTTTTTTTTTTTTTTTTTTTTGGGGGGGGGGGCTTGTGTGTTTTCCTCATTGTTGTATAGAACGAAAGGCAAAGCTTTTGGCGACCTGTGCCTGGCTGCTGATTGGCTGGGCAATGCACTACTTCCCGTTCTTTGTCATGGGTCGTATTCTGTATTTCCACCACTACTTCCCGGCGCTGCTGTTCTCGTGCATGTACTCTGCGCTTCTGCTCGACTACTTTATCATGCGCTTGCGCATGTGGACCATGTCCCCCCGCGTGACCATCATTGGCACCAGCATTCTCCTGCTGATCATGTTTGCCAGCTTCCTCTTCTTTGCCCCAGTCTCCTACGGCATGACTGGGCCCGTGAATTCGTTCTTCAACCGTCGATGGATGGAGTCGTGGGAGTTTTCTTGAAGCCAGCACCAGATTTCTTGTCCCTAGAGTTCGTGTTGTTTGAAGGCATTTGTGTGCTTGAGTGTGCCCAATTTAGTTGCCTTTTTTGCGTGTTTCCTGTTTGTATTGATCAAACCTACGTTGAAGTGCACCGTGCGCTTTGTGATCACTGTCGGTCGGCATATCCGACATAAAGCGATTCAAATAGCACAGAGAAGGCAACCTTGTTGCGCCCAACTTGAACTTGCCAGCCCTCGCGCATTTGTCGGATAATGGGATGACTCGCTGGCCAGATGGTCGCAAGGGCGAGGTTCGAATTGACGAAAGTCGGGTGCACAGCACATTCGTACTGAACAACACCTTGTTCATCTTGGACAGTCAAATCGAAAGCATCGTCAACGGTGTTGTCGGGATGTTCTCTCTTGTCACGAAGCACTTGAATTGCTTTCACACGGATTGAATTTCCTTGAGGCACAGTGACTCTCAGCGCAATGTAACCATGATTCCCTCGCATGGTGTGCTGCACGCCTCGCCAGTAATGCGCTTCGTCCATAATGAGCTCGGCAATCTCGGTTGGTAGTGCTGGAAGAGATGCGCGCTGATTCTCCAACTCCAACCCGCTGGTCAGCATGCGGAACACTTCTTGGATGTCTTCAGCACTCGCCAATCGTGGAAGGAAGGAAAACGCAAGAGGGTTGATCTGATCGCGGAGGCTGTGAAACGAACAAGCGAGGCATGATCAGTCAGTGACCACTCCATCGGTGGGAGGAACATTGTCTGACCATCAACGACTGTGATTGGCAAGAACAAACTTACATCAGCTGAAATCCGCTTTTGCCTTTGCATGCCTCATCGATCGCTTGAGAACCAAGGCCGCCCATGCAATTATAGTCAAGGCTGTCAAAACACTGTGTGAGCAGGATGACACCGAAGCAAGGTCTGGCTCAATGTTCGAGAACTTACGAGAGCTGAGTCACCGTCTTGTTCACTTTGAGTGCTGCAGCAATCGCGCACGCTCCAGCATGACCAATCTGATTGTGACACAGACTGTCCTTCCCCTTTCATCGGTGAGTAATCTAAATACTGTCTGTGGGATTACCCACTCACATGCATCAGTCAAAGTGAGATGACTTACTCGAGCGAAGCCACCGTCGAGTTCGCTTTGTGGGCCTCTGCAATTGCCTGAGCTCCAACATCACCAATCCGATTCGCCATCAGACTGTCCGTCCACATTCCCTTGATCAGTGAGCACTCGTAATGCCCTCTGCTGAATCACCCACTCACATGCATCAGCCAAAGTAAGTTGCATTACCTGAGGCTAGTCAGCACCTTGTTCATGCTGAGTCCCTCGGCAAGCGCCTGCGCTCCAGCATCGCCAACCTGATTCTCAATCAGACTGTCAATCAGTTAGCACTCGTAATCCCTCTAGGGATTCACCCACTCCCATGCAAAAGTCAGTGAGATGCCTTACTTGAGCGCCATCAATGTCATGTTCACTTTGAGTGCTTCAGCAATCGCCTGCGCTCCAACATCGCCAATCTCGTTACGGCGCAAACTGTCCTCCATTCTCGTCAGTACACGCGCTATCACACTGTTCTCCATCAATCTGGCTTTCTTCTTACTAGAGCTTTTCACTCGAGCGCAGTCAGCGTCGTGCTCACTTGGAGTGCTTTAGCAATCGCCTGTGCTTCTGCACCGCCAATCTGCTTTATGCAGACTGTCCTCCTTTGTATCAGTACACGCGTGATCACACTGTTCTCCATCAATCTGGCTTTCTTCTTACTAGAGCTGTCCACTCGCATTCTTGACTATGTCATACAACTCGCGTTGTCTCTCAGTCATACTCTCATACGACAGCATTGCGGAAGAAAGCGTTGAATGAACAGAAAATAGACTCACTAGGAAAAATGACCTATACTAACAGATTTGGATAGGATTTTTCCCCAGCCTCGCCGCGTTGGAAATAGAAACTAGAATGTATGTGGAGTATTCTAAAATTGAAACGGAGGCGAACGGACGCCGGGGAGTGGAGATGGGGCGGAGGGAAGGTCAGAGACTGGAATCGCTGGCGGGCTTCGCTCGGGTGCCCTGCCCGACCTGAGCTGTTTCTGGCGGAAATTCCAAAAGGGTATCCTTATAATATCGTGTAAACTCGATTGCGCTTGAAAAAACGGCGCTCCGAGCACTTGGCGTGGCCTGAAGCTCAAACAAGCGATTTGCCCTGACGAGTAGACACGAGCCATCACCTCGCGGATGGTATTTTCGGATTTCCCATGCAAATTTAATGTGGGTTACAATCGTTCGTCGGTCATAAAAGTCTCAAGTGGAAGTCACCAGGCTGAAACTCGAATTTTTTCGAACTTGGAAAAATTTTCCTTCCAACCCATCCCATTTCGACAAAGCATGTACAAACCTCCACTTTCGGCTGTACTTTGTGTTTTTACAATGTCGGCAATATACTGATAGTGGTGAAGCGGGATAAAGTCGACGGGAAGATGGTCATTTGCGACCCCTCTAAATCGGTGTTTTTGAGGGGTGGTTTGCACTTCACCCATACAGGAGGATATAATCGACGGTCTGATGATGGCAAATCATCTAACCCGTCTCCAATATGCGGGAAAGCGTGTCGGTGAAAAAATAATTATGATTGGAGCCGAGATCGGCACAGTCGGCTTTTGGGGCCAGGTTGACATATTTTGGCCAAGACTGCTGCAAAGCTGGCCGAACACCTGGAATTTGCTCTTTCCTTACTATGCAACTGTGCTCGTGTGGTGGGAGGAGGATTTTAGGGTGTACATGGCGTGAACGGCGAGCTGTCAGGTTTTCGGTGTCGTTTCGGCCGGGTTGCACTTGACCTCGTATCTCCAACTCATCTTGTTGTTACATCTCCCTCTTCTGGAATACGGTTTTCCACACGTAATTCCATGTCTGGAGGCTTTGGATGGTGGTAAAAACGAGCTCAATATCGCTGGGCGGGTTTGTCGCGATTTCAGGTGAACAAAAGGCGTTCCTGGGTTTCTGACCGAAAGCGAGGTCTCCCGGCCGTCCTAGAGCTTCAGTAGTATATTCATGCATACCAAACGTCGGAAACATGGTTGAAACGGATGGCATCGGGCTACGACCCAGAAGTACATCATGGTCGTTTGTGAATCTCGTCAGCCCATGAATACGCCCTTCCTGCGGCTCCTCACCTGGTTCCATCGCCGCCCGCAGGCGATTCTAGTGTGCGCTGGTTCCATATAGCTGTGGCTTGAATGGTGCAACCTCTAGTGGACCCTGAGTACGGAAATTGGTTCACAGTCAAATCGTGGCACTTTGCCAACAGGTAACAGAACACAGCGTTTCGGAGCCCTGAAGGCCCTTACATTCGCTTTATCACCAGATTCCATGTTTTAATGTTGTCTTACGCCAAAATATAGCATGCTATGACATGATCTTTGACCAGTTGGGTGATTCGGGCCTCCGAGCCCGTTTGGGCGGAAAATCCACCGAATATCGGAGCGCATGGCCTCTGAGGACCTTCCATGGCGATTCCTCTGCTGGAGCAAGTAGTTCTATGTTCGTAACACCTGTGGCTAGCGCGGCGCCGCGATCCCGTTGGTCTAGATGGAGAAGCGCGCGTGAGACGCCGCTGGAGCACCGATTTGAGCTGGATTCCATACACTGCCTACTTTCGGGGCCACCATCGTAGATTGTTCACTCTCGCTCGGGATTCCTGGTTTAATATGTGTTGTACTCTGTTTGCCAAAGTTTCAAAGGATTGACAGTCTTGTATCGTGAGATCGGTGGGTTGGGAGCACTTTGCGCCGGTTCCGGACGACGGCCTCCCACCGAGTCCCTTGACCTACCACCTGCCCTTCCTTTGCGCTTTCTAGCAGCTGACTGGGTTTTATCTTTGATTTATGACGCTGGTAGGTAAAGTAGGCCGTGTATTACGAAATCGCCACCGGCTGGCTGATTTTCAGGGGGTGGTTGGCTCTGTGTTGGACAGTATCTATACCGCTCTTACTTTTCCAATTGTTAGCCATCTCAATGTTTTGCTCAAATCCAAAGTTTGAGCCCAAAATCTCACTCCTGCTGCTCAAGCCAGGCCTCCCAAAGACGCGGTGTCGCGAACATCACGTCCTTGAATCCCGAAAATTTTGCTTAAAATTACTTCTATTGTATATGTGTGATTGTTTTCTGCAGTTGTGGTGAATCCAAGTAGACCCCATGTCGAGAGCCGGGTCGACTTTCGGCCAATGTGAATTCAGCAAAATCAGCATAATTGGGGGAATCCGGCACTTCCATGGTTTTATTGGTCTAAACATGTTCATTAGTGTCTATAAACATAGTCACATCGAAAAAGCGCCGAAAAGTGGGGTGGAGGGGGGACTTGAGGTCGAGGTCGAACGTAATGCAAATGACTGGGGCAAAAATCCCCAAAAATGACCACCATGCCCAACCTACTTTCCATCGATATTTTTACATTGTTAGATAGAACAAACTTTGGCTGATCCGAATCTTGAAAAATCGGCTCGCAAGGTCCAAACCCCGAAGTGCAGTAAAGGCGCAAAGTTCGCTTTTTGCTTCGGTTCGGTTCTGGGGAAAAAATTCTACGTCTCTCTACTCAGTCCTACCGTCCCGCCAGTTAGTACATTCGACTCGATTTGGTACTGACTACACGTTTCTGGTGGTGCGAAGGCGCGCGGACGCAATGGACCCCAATGGCGGCATTGGGTGGTGGGGGCCTGGCTGGCGATACTATTGGTGGCCCCAGGTAGCCGACGGAAGAAGGACGCGAAGATAGTGCGAACTAGGGGGAAGCAAGAGTGGAGAGAGGCGACATCGCGAGACAGTGATGGTGCTTTCATCTGTATAACTTATGACATGCGAGATGCACATAATGCGTAAGAGGGATGCTCGGAAGTGACAGTAGCACTCGGAATCGATAGTTATATGATTTATAAAGGTCCTGAGCACTGCGCTCTGGGCAACATGACGCATGAATCGGCGAGTCGCTCGACGAATCACGAACGACGAAAGCCGATGGACCAGGCGAGGATACGATAGG